AGCTTGTGACGCGATGCCGCTCTACGAACTCCTTGGAGTTTCTTCCAGGAAGTCGGCGACTTTTTTCAGTCAACACAAGTTTTGGACTCGTGAAAAGAAGCTTGAGCACCCCCTATTTAGAGACTATACTACATTTCATCGACAGAGAGAGTGCAAACGTCTTCCCAGTAGTTTCTCGGGGCTTCACAGATTCACAAGTGACAGGGTTTCACAATTCTCTTCTAGACAGAAACCATCACTTAATAATTTTTTCTTGAAGAGGCTTTACTCTTCCGGTTCCAAGAGAGACTATTATGATATCCTAGGTGTACCTAAAAATGCAAGTCAACAAGAAATCAAGAAGGCATACTATCGTTTGGCTAAGGAGTATCATCCTGACTCTGGCGCTAAGGGAGATAAAAATAAGTTTATGGAGATAGGCGAAGCTTACGAAGTTCTTTCAGATGAGAAAAAAAGGTCTATTTATGATCAGTATGGTCGTGAAGGTGTCCGAGCAGCCGACGCAGGAGGAGATGCTAGGTCTTCGGCAGGTTTTGAAGGTTTTGGGCCTGGTGGTTTTGCGTCTGCTGAAGAAATATTTCGAGAGTTTAATGAGTTTTTTGGAGGCCGTGGCTTCGGTCCGTTTGCTGGCGGAGGAAGAAGAACAGGATCGCAGACTGCAGTTAGAGGTTCCGATGTAGAATTGCGAATATCCTTAGACTTTATGGAAGCAGCAAAGGGTTGCGAGAAAGAAGTTCGTTTTACAGGTAAAGTTGAGTGTAGCAAGTGTAACGGCAGTGGCTCCTCTTCCAGAGGTATGGCTACTCAAGCTTGCACGGCTTGTGGAGGTTCTGGAACAGAAGCCTTTTCACAAGGCTTTTTTGCCTTTGAAACAACTTGTAGGAAGTGTGGTGGAAGTGGTCAAATCATTCGGGATCCTTGTGGAGCGTGTAACGGAACAGGTGTTACCACTGGAAGTCGTTCAGTTCGAGTCAAGGTTCCACCTGGTGTAGACACGGGTACAACTCTTAGAGTTGCGAAGAAAGGAGAAGCCGGGTTACGAGGAGGTGGTGCTGGAGATTTGTTTGTAAGAATACATGTGGCAGAAGATGAATATTTTCATCGTGAGGGTGCGGACCTACACGTAGTTGCTCCGATAACGTTTGCACAAGCTGCACTGGGGGGAACCGTAAGAGTCCGTACTTTGGATGGGGAAATCGAAGTAAAGATACCATCCGGGAGTCAATCAAATGATATGAAAGTTATCAGAGGTCGAGGTCTTCCAAAGATTGGCTCAGGTGGTTATGGCAGCCAGTACGTTCACTTTCAAGTGGTGGTTCCGACACAGCTTTCTCCGAAACAAAGGCAGTTGATAGAAGAGCTAGCAAGAGAAGATCCGGAGATTTTGCAGACAACAAACTCTGCAAATGGCAGAGGTGGAAGAAACATGGCAAAGCATTTCTTCCAAAAGCTGCGGGATATGTTTGGTAAAGAAAGTCACGCAGAGAAGTCACAGACCAAAGAAGGAACGGGATGATTTTGGTATGAAGAACCGAAGTGACTGGTTTTTCCTTGTTCTGTTTGCTCTTTTTGTTCTACCTGTAACGACTAAGTTTATATCTATAGAAGTGTATGCAAACGTTGTTCACAGACAAATATAGATATATATACATATAATTTATGATGCAATTTGTGCCGTTCTTGCAGAAAGGTTTTGTTGGCGAAATCTGGTCAGGAATAATATAAATACTATAAGAATAAAAGGTTCGTTCTCTCATTTAGTTTCTACGCTAAGTGAATTTTGACAAATTTCGGCCAATTCCTGTAAATCTTCGTCTCAGTCGGAACAAAAGTCTTATTTATTTCACATTCGTTCCAAGAAACCTTTTTTACGGAAGAAGCCAAAATTGGTCGCACTATTTAGAACTACCATTGCCAGCGTGGACGTTCACTGCCACTTGTGGAGCTGTTGTATCACTGGGAGGTTCTGGATTAACCCAACCGCAAGCTATCAAGTAATCGTACACTCGAAGGACCTTAACTGTATCGTACTTTATAAGGTCTTTGACATCTTTCCTTCGTAAAAAACCTGCTTTGGCAGATTCACGGATAAGATGTTCCTATAAAAAAAGACAAGTTATCATCAAACCTTCGATAGGCAATTAATCGTACCTTGAAAATCAAAAGTTGCTGGGGGCAGATTTTTAAATTCTTGCACAGCGTTAGTTCTGTGGTTGACAGCAGTTCGGCTCCATCCATTTCTTCAGGGCGACTAATATCCTCTCCAAAATTTCCCTTTTCTGACTGGTCTATACAAAATGTTCTTAGAAACTGTATGAAATGATAAATGAAATCATATTACTCAAGTCAAGAGTTGATAAATGCTTCGGCTCTATCTCGTTGTACTCTTCCATTGTCTTTGCTCCAGCGAGTCGAACTGGTAGTAAATCGGAAATTTGACTTCTTAGTTCTTTCTCTTCTGAAGATGATCTTATCAACTCAAGAAAATCCTCTTGTGGCATAAAACGAGCAAAAACGCACAGCTTTTCATATAGTTCACGTTCATATGAACTTAGGCTGTTCATAAGGGCTTCCCGTCTTTTCGTGTCCAACAGCTCTCTCTTTAGAAGGAAATCCTTCCTCATTTCTCTTTCATCCAATTTCGCATTGTATATTTCTAAAAGTCGCAGTTTTATCTCCTTCTCCTTTGCACGAGTTAGTAAAACAAATATCGACATATGCAAAGAGTTCAACTTAACGGTGTTGTTATCGTTGGGAGAGATTTCCATATCTGCTAAAATCTCTTCCGCTTCATTTGACCATTCATAAACAAAATCTCCTCGTTTAGGCATCCAACCTGCATTGTCATCCTCCGTATAATGATGCATAACACGCAATGACTTGGGGTCTGGATCCGTCACAAAAATAGAACTATCAAAAGAAGTCAGATTTCATTGAAAGATCAGAAACAATCATACTAATCAGTGTTATCCCGTGAAAGAACAGTATTAGGGTCGGGTAGAGGTGAATATTCGCTATTAAAATAAGTACGAACATAATGCGCTCTGGTCTCCAACGGGTGTCTTGTTTGAATATGCTGAGCAACTTCCGTCCAGTTATCCAACCCGAATCTTTCCAGGCCATCCAAAAGAAATTCCTCTTCTAAAGCAGTCCTACACAAAATAAGCGAGTTTGCTAATATTTATGACACAAGTTGCTTACCAGTCTTCGCAGTATAAGGGAGAGTAAATGGGAGATATCACACGATATGGACTATCTTCACGGTGTGGCCACAGCGTAAGGCCATTCCAAAAGCAGTCGACGCACAAGTCAAAATCCTGACACTCTGCACAACGAATATGCAATACTCTACTCACATCTCTTTTACCTAAAAATAAGATAAACGATTATGACTCAACATGTCGAAAGGAGCCATTCTCACAATAATTGCAATAATATACAATGGAGCCTTGACTCGAAAGTCTCGAGGAAGACTTTGTTCGTGCTCTCTTATTCCTGTGACCATCTTGTGAGTTTCCTCGATTGTCTTTTGTCCCACTTTCAGACAACTTTGGGTTGGTTGACTTTTTGGAAGAATCCATTCTTCCAAAAGTCACCGACAAGAACTGCAGGAATCAATCCAAGATAAGAAATCAAGTTTAGATTGCACTGACTGTGACGGTCGGTCAGCAAGTTATGCTTTATTTATGATGTATAGAGCACAGAAGGTTTATAATCATTAAGGATAATGTAAAGATGCGTCTTTCTCTAACATTCAGTCTTTATTCTTTCAAGACCTTGATACAATTATTTTGTAGGCCACTAAATTCTATTTCAGCACTTTTAAAAACGGAGAAGTTTCACAAAGTTGATTGAAATAGGAAGAAAGAATATGAAAGAAAACAACAGCAATACGAAAAGGGTATGAAATGGGAATGAATGACGTTCAATGTTTTGATTGCAAGTCAAAAGGAAGATGAGTTTGGAAGTTCCTTACAGTTGAATAGGAATTTGCGGGCCCTAGACTAATACGATTCTGGTAAATGGCAGTTTCTAAAAGTCAAAAGCGTCAGAGAATTCCACTTCAGTCACCTTTTGCTCATATATTTGAGGAGCAACAAAGGGACTCGGAATTTTATGAGGAGCGAGTGCGAAGAGCTCTGGAAACGCTGCCGCCTGTAAAATTTGCTTTCGCTTATGGATCAGGAGCAATTCCTCAGATTGGTTAGTTTGCGGTGCCGTGGTTTTTCTGGTAGATTGATCTTTTATGATAGGAAGCTATAAGGAAGCTACTATGCTTGATCTTATTTTAGTTCTCGAAGACTCGTTTGAGTGGCATCGAGAAAATATGAAGAAGAATCCATCACACTACGCTTTTATTCCAAAGTTGGTTGGTCCGAAATTGACCAGTTCAGTCCAAACTTGCAAAGTAGGTGTACCTGTTTTGTACAACACGCTAGTTCCTTTCCAGGGTGGTCTTATGAAGTACGGTTGTGTTGGTTTCTCAGATCTCTTGGAAGATCTGCAATCTTGGAAATATCTCTTTCTAGCAGGGCGGCTTCATAAACCTGTGAGAATGTTTGTTCCTTCAAAGTCCTTGAACTGTGATCCAAGAACAGGAGAGACATTTGATGTAGATCTTGCAGAGATGAATCAAGCTCTTATGGATAACTTGGAAGCTGCGTTGAGTGCAGCAATAATTCTATTGCCTGTAGAGTTTACCGAAGCTTCTTTATTTCAAAAGATATCACAGTTATCTTATTATGGCGATATCCGTTTCACATTCTCAGCTGAAAACCCACACAAAATTTCCAACATTGTCTCAGCAAATTTGCTATCTTTTCGGAACCTTTATAATGAAGCTTTAAGCTCTTTGCTTGGAGATCATCTTTTACGGGTTCATTGCTCTTCTGGAAATGGTCGCCATGTTTATGTAAAACAGGATAACCACAGTTCTTCTTTATTAGGCCTGTTGCAACGGATACCATCTCATTTTGTCAAGCGTTGTTATTGTAGTATGTCGACTAGTTCTCAAGACATATGCCCAGATAAACTTTATGTAGAAGAAGCAAGAAAAACAATATCACAGTTTGGAACGAGAACTTGTCAAGATATTTTGAAAAAGACTTTCAAAAATACGGTTAGGAATTCTAGCATTGGTCAGGCATTCAAGGGCCTTTTTAGTGCAGGTATCAAACTTCTCTCCTGTGAAAAATTGATTATATAGTATTCTCATAGGACCGTTGAGATCTTGTGTTTATCTCCTGAAGAAATGGCAGAAAGGTATTCGTTTCTAATGAAGTGAATTGATAACTTTTGGATTTGCTTTTGGTGGTGGGATGAACAACGACTTTGGAAGAAAACGAACTTCACCAAGTGAAAGAAATGTTTCTTGTTTATTTGTAGTTTACATTTCCGTGATTTGTGTGGTAGTATGTATATTCCTAGTGGTTAGAACGATGAGAAAGGGCAATTCTCCGGTGAATTGGCTTCAAGTAGAGAAAAAACTGCGGTTCATTGACTCTCGTTTCAACGCTTCAGTATATGTTATAGACTTGTCAGGAGACTTGAACAATTCACCTTTTTTCAAACTCTCTCGCTCAGCCTGGTCACTTTTCTCTAAAAATAGAATAGACTATGTTGCTTTCTTCTACAAGGAACCCCCCTTCCTAGTAAGCAACAGGTACTTTTATCGCGCTCTGGAATCCCTTGAAGAAAGTCCAATTCCTGGCTTTGGAATCGCACTGACAACTTGTGGCTGCTTAGTACCCAGTTATATTTTGGAAAACTTAGAAATAAGATTGGAAGGTCTTGAATGTTTAGCGTTACCAGGATTCGTCATTGATAAGGAGTTTGTTGTTTGGTTTGATAGTGATGCGGAAGAAATAGGTTCTCGCAATCTTAGTAGATACTGCCGAAATCCTAAACTTTTGAATATGCGAATATTTCCCTTGTTTGACAACGCGTTACGACAAGCAAGAAGCGAATTTGCCCGTTTACTTGAAAAACAGCGCAATGAATTGTTAAGAGCCTTTTAAGGAGCAATAGTTTCTATTATGGGCAAATGAAAAACTTTATAAGGGTTTGCTTAGACCGTATTGTAAGATATCGACCGCTGTCAACGTAATAATCTCTGCAGGTTCTTTCATTTCGTTAGGATCAGGTGGCAGCCTTGCTCCTGGAGGTCTATTTGCTAGCAATCCTAAAGAGATATTGGTATTTATTCAATATTGTCAACTGCTAATTTGCTTACTTTGAACTATCTTCTTTCTAGCTCGTAGATAGTCCTCTTTTCGCAGAATCGCCTGTTTCAGTGCAGCTGCCTGGTTTATGTACAAGATTGATGAGAATTGACCCCCTTTTTCGTTATCCAGTAGTTCTTCGACATAGTTTCGGACACTTAAAGCCTAAAAATATTCAGTTGAAAAAATTTCTGGTTTCAACGAGGAAACAACTGCACCTCTTCTTTAGCTTCTCTACTGTTTTCGCAACGTATACCAACTACGGCACCGCTTACCAAGAATGGCACCGTTTCATGTTCTTGTGCAAATTCAAACGCCCTCGAAAGGATCTTCGCGTCATCTTGTGCATTGTGACGGTACAAAAAGCCAAAAGGAGCACAGTTAACTCTCCTATGTTCTTCAGCTAAGAAACATGTGCCCTACCAAGAGACAAGCTTACGACGCATCTGAGATAGCAATCTGGAGCGACGATGACTCCACCAATAAACCCAATACTCTTTGTAAACCAGAAAGACTCTTTTGAAAGGAAACAGGATCTGTGAAGGTTTTCAATGCGCGACCAGCGCTGACTCCCATACTGAAACAACTCGACTCGACCAGCTAAGAACCGTCCAAAGAATTTTCAATCCTCATTGGCTTTTCATTCTTTCCTCTTCCTATTTATTTATCGTTTTCAAGCTTGACCTATTTGCACATTCTTGCCATCTGATTGACAAGATGATGCTTTTAACCTTAGTTTCGAAGGAGCACCATAGTGAAAAATAAATCCGTCCTTTTGTTCTTCAATGATGTCATTTCTGCTTTATGAAAGAATACAAATGTACTACAGAAAGAAGAATCTAAAGGCTACAGTTTGTTGGAGTCGGATTGTCTTTTTCGTTGAAAGTTATTTTACAAATAGACGAGACATGTCAACTGTTTTTCTAACATGCAAGTTGTTGACTGCTAAAGGTGATTTATAGAGTAGCAAATATAAACTTATTTGACGTACGAATAAACTCAAAACCTAGCCTTTCTACATGCATAAGTCGTCTGTGAAAGAACTAACGAAATGAAGCATCTGTATATAAGAGATCATCTTTCATCCCTTCACTTGTGAAAATTGATTATTAGTCCTTGATAAGATGTCGGCTTCAGCAGGCTTGGAATCAGTAACGGAAAGAGGATCCAACGTAGTACTTCACTCCTATTATGAAAGGAAACTTGACGAACTTGAAGGTTTTATAAGGGAGAAAGAGGATAACTTAAGACGTTTAGAAGCGCAAAGAAATGATCTGAATTCAAAGGGTACGTCCGTCCGTCTTTGTTTTTCTAAGTTTTAACAGCGAACTAGTTAAAAACCTTCGAGAGGAACTCCACATATTGCAAGAACCTGGGTCATATGTTGGTGAAGTTGTAAAAGTCATGGGACGTTCGAAAGTTCTGGTGAAAGTTCAACCTGAAGGGAAGTACGTTGTAGACTTGGACAAGGAAATCGATATCAACAGTATCACTCCCAACTTAAGGGTAGCACTAAGGAACGACTCTTACTCGTTGCATAAGATACTTCCTAGCAAAGTAGACCCCCTTGTGAGTCTTATGCGAGTTGAAAAGGTTCCAGACTCTACTTATGACATGATTGGAGGCCTTGACAAGCAAATTAAAGAGATAAAGGAAGTTATCGAGCTTCCAATAAAACATCCAGAACTCTTCGAGTCGCTCGGTATAGCGCAACCAAAGGGAGTTCTCTTATATGGTCCCCCGGGTACTGGCAAGACTTTGTTGGCAAGAGCTGTGGCACATCACACGGACTGTACCTTTATTCGAGTATCAGGAAGTGAACTTGTGCAGAAATATATAGGGGAAGGAAGTAGAATGGTTCGTGAGTTGTTTGTGATGGCTCGTGAACATGCTCCTTCCATTATTTTTATGGATGAGATTGATTCAATTGGTTCGACTCGTATTGACTCTGGAAATTCCGGTGGTGGTGACTCGGAAGTGCAAAGGACTATGTTGGAGCTTTTGAATCAGCTCGACGGTTTCGAACCGCACCAGAATATCAAAGTTCTGATGGCAACCAATCGAATAGATATTCTTGATCCTGCATTGCTTCGTCCTGGTCGGATTGATAGGAAGATTGAGTTTCCTAACCCAAATGAGGATGCTAGATTTGATATTTTGAAGATTCATTCGAGGAAGATGAATCTAGTTCGAGGTATTGATTTGAAGAAGATTGCTTCGCAACTGCATGGGGCAAGTGGAGCTGAGCTAAAGGCAGTTTGTACAGAAGCTGGAATGTTTGCCCTACGGGAGAGAAGAATACATGTGACCCAAGAAGATTTCGAGATGGCTGTAAGCAAAGTAATGAGGAAGGACTCGGAACAAAATATGAGTTTAAGAAAGCTTTTCAAGTAAATGGCAGGAGTATCTACGTTTGTTGAGCTGCGATCGGTTACTTGTCGCGTGCGATACTTGTTGTTGGGTATATAAAAGTCAATTGATTGCTGTTACCGATAGCTCAAGTAAATATCTTTCATTTTACGAATGCAACATTGTGAGATATCTTATAGTATTTTAAGCTTGTAACTAGGAATAGATATTTTGGATAAGATCACTTCACAAGTGAGGCTCATGACTACATTCGAACACAACTTCCTTTGCAGTTTTCTTCCCTCCCTTATTATTAGCAACTCTGTAAATTGTTCCTATTTCTGAATCCTTGAATTCCCAAAGAAATTTCATCAAAGAAAAAAAAAGCAATTCATCCATAAGAGGGACGAAGGCGCACATTTTGATATATTGCCGCGAAAAACGAGGTTTTGCCTCTTAATGTTACAAGTTGCAAATAAAATGAAGCCTAAGAAAGCAGAAAAATTATTCTTTGCCAAGTTGGTGAGCCTGCAAACAGCAAAGTTTCTAGGTATGTCTTCCCTTATCATCTTAATTATGCACATTTCGTACAAAGGTATCACAAGTCTTTCTCACATACTTTGAAAACATATGAATGAATGAATATAAAAAATAGAAACAAGAGAAATGAGAAGAGCTTTCAAAGCGGTGGATTGCAAGAAACACGCGAACTATCAATCTTCAACATTTGAGAGATCTCTTATTAATCCATTGATAGCCAATTTTACCTTGAGTTCGACTGAACATATCATTCATTGGTACAACTTCTGTTTGGATATAGATGATCACTGGCTTTGGATACAGTCTCACAAACTGCATCAAGACTTGTGTGTTTTCCAGTGCTACAAGTCTTCCTACGCATCCAAAAGGCCTGAAGTTCGAATGTGGGCCTCTCTAAAGTCTCGTCATTATACGAGTCTGCAAAGGAGCATACATCATTTGCCGACCAACGACACTTTATTAAGTATACAAACAAGAAATAATCCCCTTTTGTTCCCCTACCCTCTGTTCATCGCTAGACATAATCAACATCTTCCGGTAAGTTTGCTTCAAAGAGCGGTTGAACAAAAACACTTATAGTAAATACAGCATTTTCTCGAGGAACTTCTTGCAGCTTACTCAATAGTTTCTAGTGTGACATCCATGCCAGAGCTAAAACTCATCTCAAAACATAAGATAGTGTTTGTTGCATTTCCAAATGTTTCAGAGAAACTAGTATTGAATCCACAGACATGGCATGGGAACATTGTCCTCATAGTGAAAGAAACTGTTCAACGTTATTTTGGTATCGAGTTGGTAATTAAGGGAGCAGAAACATTCTTAGAAATGCGCAGAGCCCTAAAATCACCATTTCTTTGCTTCGAACATATATTTTACAACACTCGAGCAGCTCAAAGGCCTGAATCTTACACGCATTGGCTGTATTCGAATGATGCCAGTGAAAGACTCCAGAAGGTCATTCATATGAAACTCAAGAAGCCATCATTTGCACAACTTTCTCCTGAGCCACTCTCAAAAATAATTATGATACAGAGAAACACAACAAGACGCATACGGCGAGCTGAAATAATGACAAAAGAATTGGAAAAAGTATTTGGTGTCAAGGTTTCCATTATACTCTTCGAATATCTTTCTGCTTTACAACAGGTGGGCCAATATTTAAGTTGTTCTTAAAACTAAATTCCTCTAGGCTCAGTTAATGCACAGGGTGTCTATTGTTATTGCTGCGCATGGAGCAAGTCTCTCAAATATCATTTTTATGAAGAGGGGAAGTGTTCTTATAGAACTATCTCCATCTTTATGCTCGGGAGAGGGCTACTTCGGGGCACTTGCGAAATTTCTTGGGTTGACCTATTTCCATATTTCAGGCATGCATCAAGAGTCCAATGAAACCAACCAACTCTCACCAAGAAATGGATGCAGCAAAGTTTATCGATACAAGGACATTGATATTGAGATGGAAAAACTTTTGCAAGTGGTTAGTGCAGCTATAAACTATATCAGTGAGAGTAATAATAAATAATTGTTCCTTAACATACTCTTTGGATTGTACGGCAGATAGCAGAACGTCTCTGCGCAGCTGAATAGAACACAAAATATTCCATGATAAAAGTGGTATAGATTGCCCTTTTTGGAAACCTTCTATCAAGTATATAGTATATATTTACAGGTGCCAATGATGCCATTCCATGTCTCCCAAACATAATGAAAACTCGTACTTCAGGAAGACTAGCGCAAGAAGAACTTATCTAAGAATCTACAAATTGAAGTAAATTTAGCTCATTTTTTTAACTCTGGCGCAAGCTAACCAGTCAATCTTTTCAATCCAAGCGGACATAATTATTTAGGATATTCGCCTATCAGAATTATGTGCATCAAGAGAATAATGACCATCCTTTGGTGCCTGGAAATTGCAAATGACGAATCAAACATCGATTCAGTCAGTGAATGATGTCGAAATGGACGCGGGCTGAGGCAGCCTTGCAATGAATAGTTTGAGGAACGTACGTAAGAGGCAAAGACGTGTGGACGCAGTAAGTAGATTTCGCTTTTATAAACTGTATTACCGAAATAGTATTCCCTTTGAAAATAGGAAGAGGACCTCTCTTTCTCCAGATCTCGTGCACGTTCACTTGTTCTCGAAGCCAACGGCATAGAGAATCCTCTAGAAAAGTTTGAACTGGACAAGACCATCCAACTCGACCAATTTGAAATTACCTTGGATAGTTATAAGGGTTCCCAACTTTCTTTGGAACTGCGACAATGGTGTTTTCAAGTTGTTGAGAAACACACCCGTCAAGAGTAAGTGTCTATCGTATCTATTCATTCGTTCAGTCTTAATTCGTTGTTATGGATGATATTAAAGTTATGAAAGTGCTGGCCTTTGGAGTGCTGCTGGAAAGAAAGCGGAGCTGCGTTCCGATGCTGCACGATATCTTTTGGTTTGTTAACTTTTTAACAGGCGTGTTTGTGTCCTTAGTCTTTTAAAGGTCCGACACTATCCTCCTATGACTCTAGTTGGATTTGTTCATTACAGATTTACTATTGAAAATTTGGAAAATGTTCTCTATATTTATGAGTTACATGTTGTTGATAGATACCAGGGTCTCGGTGTTGGAAAGAAAGTGGTTCAAATTCTAGAAACGCTAGGACGGCATACAAGTAAGAAGATATTTGATCGTGCATTTTAACAGAAACAAAAATGAATATTTTAGAAATGAGAAAAATGATGCTGACGGTATTTAAAAGAAATGAAGATGCGGTTAGATTCTACAAAGAAAAACTTGGGTTGTATTTTCATTCTTATTTTGTGGAGAAACTGACATTCCTTAGGTTTTCTATGGATGCTTCGTCTCCGCAACTTTATGGGGACATGGAGTGCAAATATGAAATTCTTTCAAAGGACTTGATGAGTTTCCCAGAAGACTGTGTTGACAAGAACAGTGTCATGAGTAAATTATATCGAGTCCATGAACATTTAAATTAAATGCATTTCTCAAAGGAGCAAGTCACTTTTGATTGTTGAATCAAGTTGTCATTATCGATGATGATGGAGTCTTTATCGGCTCCTTCTCAGAATGACGATAGACAAGCTTATATAGAAAGAAGGAAGTTGAAAAGGCTTGAAGCCAGAAAGAGAAGAAAGGAGGTCAAGAGAAGTAGATCTCCTAGAAATAGTTTAATGAATTCCGTTACACCCTCTGAGGCTCCCACAACTCAGTCAGGAACAGAGAATAATAGACGTTGGAGTAAGAAAGACTTGCGAGAAAGGGTATTGACAGAGTCAAACTTTAAGATATGTTTTGACTTATGTGGTGGAGAAGCTTCTTGGGACAAAGTTCAAACCGATAGAGAAATTGTCTCCTTGGTAAAGCAACTGGAGCATTGTTGTTCGCTAAATAAAAAGGCCATCTTGAACCAAGAGAAGCCAGTTTCTATGCATATTGTTGGTATGGGCGAAAGAGTGAAAAGGCAGCTCGAAACTTCGTGTCCGATGTGGACAAAATGGCCTGTAACTTGGAAAGGTGAAGACTTTTTGTATAACCATCTAAAGGACATTATCTACCTTTCTTATGACTCTGCTGAACTTCTGGGTATGCAAGAATGGGAAGGACGTTACAACGAGTGCGATCTTGACCCTAGCAAAGTTTATGTTATTGGAGGACTGGTCGACAGAAATCGTCTCAAGGGAGCTGCGCAACAAAGGGCAACTTATTTAGGTGTGCGTTCTGCAAAGTTGCCGATTGAGAAATTTTTCAAGTTGCAACATGGAACTCCTATACTTTCTGTATTATGTGTTTTCCAAATTTTACTTTTGAAGTACAACAGTTACTCTTGGAAGGAAACCTTTCTAAAAGCTATTCCTGAACGTAAAGGACTTGAAACTAGGGAAGAAAACAAGCCTGCACATGAAGAAGATACTTCATTTAGAAACTGTAATAGATGTTAAACACCAAATAGTTTGCTTTTGACTAATTGATTCATCAATCCTTGCACTAAGTCAAAGCTTGTCCTTTCTGCATCTCGAGTAACTTGGGTCATCTTGTTTCCTTTTCTCGAGTCACGTATATTAGAAAATTCCATACTTTTGTATCCAAAGCCATGATAATAACTAGAAACCTAAAAATATTGTTCAATAAAGAAGAACTGAAAGACATGAAAACAAACCTGAGTTTGTATCTGTTCTAATTTTTCTCCAATATCGGAAATTTGTTTAGAAATATACTCTCGGTTTGTAACCAGTGGACTTGAAGACAAGTTGTTGATCCAGTACTTGTTCCAAAGCAAATCCAGTAATGAAGAATCTAAACTTGACTTAAAGTAGGAGACTTCCAGTTGATAATAACGCTTGCAGTGAACTCCAAAGTCTTCGATTTTATTCAGAGGAATGTTTTGATACTCCACAGCTTCTGAATCTGCGGGTTTATAGTCTGCAGGGTACGTTCTAAAAGCACCCAAGTCCACTTTACCCGAAGAAATGGTTCGTATGGGGTCCACAACGATAGCGACAAAGGGATCCTGATACTGTTGTTGTGTCATTTGAGTCGACACATCAATTCCGGAGAGCCAACAGCCGTATCCGGGGTGTGAATGATACCAACCAATCACGTGCTCGGGCCTCTGCACAGTTTTGCTCTTTTCATGATAGTCTACTAAAAACTCGTTCCCTTGTGCTTGAGCATTTACTCTTGTTTCTGTACCTTCCACTGGCAAAGGAAAAGCGTCCATAACTAGAAAACAGTCTCCTTTCACTTTTCCTTGCATACTTCCCATAACTTCAATATTACCTCCAGAGTGTGCGTGATTCAACATTTTGAGAAGTGCAATTGCAGATATTCGAACTTTCCTGAAGTAGTTGGGATCCTTAGTCCAAGGCTTGGCATCTAAAATAGATTTTTGTTCCAGTTCGTCGTATTCATATAAATAGTCTTCGTTTTGCCTAGAGGAAGTGGCGGAGGAAGAGGAACAAGGCAACATTGACATGACCCAAAAAGGGAAATGAAAAAGAATCGAATATTTATTCTTCTCAGTTCAAAGGAATATAGTCTCACCATCTCAATATGTCTAATGATATACGATAGTTGACTGAATTAGGTGCAGATAATTTCCACAGTGATAGCCCTTGTGAACAACCATGAAACTTGTGTCTTTCAAAATGAGCAAAAAGTAGTTGACCTAATCCATATGAAAGCTTTCATAGACATGATAGTGTTCTTCAAAACCTTTTGAAAAAATATTGGGTTGTATCCATATCATTCCACAATCTCAATCCTCAACTTGTACAAAACTATACTGATCGATAAAAATATATGTTTCTATTGCTTCTACATCTTGTCATAATAAAAGTTGATACGACATGGCGTCGTTACAAAAGATCCTTACTCCGACCTTCAAGCCATTAATATCCTAAACAACTTGTATAGTATTGTGATCCTCATTAAAACCCGTGACAGTTGCTCCAAATCCTCTCAATGTGTCAATAACAGTAAGTGCATCATTAGAAATTTCTTCTCCTGGTAACAAAATTGGAATACCAGGAGGATAGCATGAAACTGTACATGCAGCTATTCGACCTTCTGAATCAGCAAACTGCACATATTCTCTATGAGGATGATAAAATGCATCTCGCGGAGAAATTCTTTGCAATGGAAAAGGTGGTTGAAAGAGTCGCGAAGCAGTTTTCCCGAAAAATTGCCAATTCTTACAGTTCTGTGGCAATTCACTGACTAACATAGTGTTGCTATCTTTCTTCAATTTAGTTGATATCTCCTTCAAGGCATAAACCAAACTGGAAATATCAGACTCAAGATTGCCAGGAGAGATTATAAATACGAGATGATTAAATGAAGGCAATTCTGCATACACACCATAATCTTCAATAAGTAATTGATCAATGTCGAAACCATTACAGTCCCAATAATCTTCCGTCATCACAATATTCATTCTCGTGGGATCAAACATGTCGGTTGGATTTCTCTTCCCTAAGACTCGAAAACCCGGAACCTCCTCAAGTTGACTTCTGGCTAGAGATGACAAGGCCAATGCATTTTGTAACATTGCTTCGCCTTGTACCTCAAACTGTTGTCTTGAGGCATCAAGGGACGCCAACAATAAATAATTAGGACTCGATGTTTGAACAAGTTGTAATGCATTAGAGATGCGACTGGCATCAATACGTCCTGAAGATAAAGCATCTGAACTTACGTGCAGCATTCCTGTTTGAGTCAACGAAGTAAGACATTTATGTGTACCATGTACAACTATATCTGCACCACTCCTTAGAGCAGGAGGAGGAAAGGATGGATGAAATATAAAATGAGCTCCATGAGCTTCATCAACTATTAAAATAACATCGTTCCGTCGACATATTTCTGAAATATCAGAAATATTCGAAACATATCCATGATAATTAGGCGAAACAATGACTACAGCATCTATTTCTCCTCTATGTTCTCTTAACTGTTCTTCTATAGAGCTTTCAGGAATTTCGAAAGCAATATTATAGTTGGCATGATAGTTGGGAGCAATATATACAGGGATAGAACCACATAATATTAAAGCATACAAGACTGACTGATGCACGTTGCGTGGAACCAAAACTTTTCTCTTTGGTCGACAACAAGACATAATAGCAGCAAGCATGCCCGATGTTGCTCCGTTAACAAGAAACCAACTTTTGCCAGCCGAAAAAACTTTGGCTGCCAAATCTTCTGCTTCCTTAATAACTCCTGTAGGATTGGCTAGATTATCCAAGGCGGGAAGCTCTGGAAGGTCAGCTGAAAATATCAAGGAACCAAAAGAATCGCGCATGCAACTAGGAATAGCTGAACCCCTTCTATGTCCAGGGAAGTGAAAGGAAGCTTTGATACGTTTGGACTCTTCCACAAGTTTGTCAAATAGAGGACTTGGAACCGAATATTCTTGTTCCATATTCAAGAAAGTTCTGTACCTTGTATTGGTTTTTCGTTTCAACTTTATGCCATGTTTACGGCAGATAAAAGAACAGTCAACGACAAAAGCTGGCATCAACTAATCAAATGAAATCGCAGTAACTACTCGAAGCTCTCTTCTATGATTCAAAAAAAAGAGAATCAACTTATGCATATTCCTTTACTTTGTAGGATAAATCACTGTCTCGAATAATTCCAACAATTAAGCCATATCTATTTGCTATATCTTTGTTTGTTCCGTATATGTAGGCGGTGGTGGAGCGGAAAGGCCAAAATCTTCTTCTTTCTCTCTTTGAGACTGATATAAGGCAAGCGCTGAACTACAAGCAGCAAATATAGTCAACATCCAAGCAAATGCCGTGATAGTATTTGTCGCTTCGCTCACGTGATCGTGCTCTTTGGCAGAAAAACTTTGGAAATTAGCCACAAATTGTGAACGTCGAATAGAATAAACTTACACAACGGCAGCAATAAACCACCACACCCCCTCAACATGACAATGAAACTGTCATATAATTGCTTTTTATGAACAAAGAATAGCTTACCATGACACCATTCGCGATACATTCTTTCAATGGACTAAAGGAGGTATCTTTCAATACATGCAGGACGACCAACACAATAATTAGTATGGTAAGAAGCCATCCTATCACACCCCAAGCTATACCAAAGTTACAAACTGATACTGGTCCAAACTGACAAGTACCAGGCGGAGACTTGGCTTTAGAAGAGCTCACTGCAAATACCACGATGGCCCATATAACTAAGAGTTTGAGTTAGACGAGAGAAATAACTCTACAAATCAAACATACATTCTAAAGAATACAATAAGCACTTTAGGATAGCGATAACGTCGATATTTATTTCTTTTCCACTTAAGTATAAACGGAACATTAGTCAATGACTAACACAACGACGTGGAAATCAATATGAATGATGGTGTGATTTGGGGATCGACAATGTGGAACATCAAAGTGTGATTGTGAAACAAAAGAAAATATTATCAATGTTCACTCACAAAAATGCAACTAGTTCATTTTTAAACATTACTGTAGATGCATCAGTTTACTTCTTAAGAAGTTTACTTTTTTATCCTTTTGTTTTCATAGTTCATGACACAAAAGTGATGGTGCTGGGAATATTGTGTGACTCCAACAATACAATAAGAATACAACTTATTATAGCTGGATTGGTTATATGTCCTTAGCACGCTATGCTTCCATAAAAGTTCTTGCGTTTCGCAAAATGTAACTAGAAAAATAATCAAAACTTACTTCTTCATCAACTGCTACAAGGAATACTAGTTACAAAGATAACAAAAAGCTTCTTTAGTTTATTACGCGATGATGCAAAGGACTACCGGATTCCAATTCTAAATAGTGGAACTTGCTGTAGCAACGAGTCTCCTCTTCAATAGACGAAGCTTCTCTAAAGACTGTTGTTGCTAAGTACATCGAGATTAACTACAACCACAGAAGGAAGACAAAAAAGGTTCTATGATTGAATATATTCTGAGCAGCTTTGAAGAGTCCAAAAAGAATACCGGCATTTCTCATCTTTCTTTTAAAGTCATTTACAAAAGCAGAAAGCACTTTGTAAACTCATTTTTCATTATGAAAAAATAACCTTTCGTCTTCCGAATCTAAACGACACAACTGAGAATGAAACCAACTGAAGAGGCCCACTTGATGCATTTCCATAGAGTTGAGACATTCTCCATTTAAATAGGCTTCTAAACCTATCTCTTCCATTTCTCCATGTTTTTCTAAAAATGGAATTACCTCCAACCACAAAGTCACAAAAGTTCTTCTTCCTCGAACAGCTAAAGCTAAACCTTGACGGTCAACTTCAAAAACGCATTTGTGGCAACGAGCTATTAACTCCAAAGAGTGAAGTAGTCGCCCACAAAGTAGTAACGCGATAATGCTTGGGAGTTGAGAAATTGGACATTCAAAGCTAGGTGGATAATCTTCATCACGTGATATCCATGACCAAGAATGAGTAGAAGATACTTGCAAAACTTCCAACACTCCCTGACAATATACTCTGAAAGCTGGAGTAAACCAAACTGAACAAGGAGCAACAAATGTGGCAGTGCCTAAAAGAACTTGTGGACCTTTGCCATCTGATTTGTTTGCTGTCAATTTCACTTCGATTTGACCCAATTCCTTTCCATAAAGCCATTCTAATTGTAAGCCAAAATGTGATGCAAGTCTATCTGCTGTGGTTTCGAGTTCTTCCGTGCTTTCCAACGTATAGAGAAGATTCAAAACCTTGTTCATTTCCAATGAAAAGGACTTCTTACTCTCTCCTTTCATAAGTTGATCGAATGACTTTACTAAATTGCTAGGCGAAAATAAACTCCATTCACATAACCAATAACTGAACGCATCCCATTTTCTATTCATTGGCGAGTCTGAGACTTGATTCAACTCTTCAGGTCGAATCAATCCAAATACAACATGGAATCTTGGATGTACTTGCACATGTACACGATTCTGATAATAATACAATATATGATTACATTTGTTGCAGGCATTGACCAAATATCGAAAAGCTCTTCTCTGAAAGGCAAAGAACCTCGCACGACTGATAGCAATTAGAAGCTTTTTCTCGAGTTTTCTATCATTACTCAGTCTTTCCGTATTTAAGTGACTAGGAAACTTCACTTGACCAAGCCAATCTCCAGGTCCCGTGGCTATAGAAGATTCTATGACATCTTGCTTCTCAATAAACTTTTCTTCTGGATCTTCTAAATTAAGATTATACCAAGTATCATCGATTGCAACGGATCCTTGAACGCAAAGACCACTCGAGGAGATTCGAATACCAGTGCAACGTTTGCGCAAACGAATAAATTGCCTCAGCCTCTCTTGTTGTCTTTCAACTAGTCTTGAAAGCTTCTTATGTCTCTCTTCCATATGATTTGCCAATTTCATGAAATATGCCTGTTTCATGAACGCTTTCTCTGGTCTCTTTAACATTGACAACGCTGACCTTTCAGTTTCTGTAGTAAAAGTTACTTCCAGCAACTCATTTTGTTCCAGTTTTGAAAGTATAAAGTGAAGTTGCGACAACAGAAAGGCAGCAGACTCTAGTCGTGTTTGAACGTCTGTCAAACGATACTTTGAAGACAAAGGTTGACTTCCAGCTGAAGTGCTTTCTTTTTCTTCCTCAAAGTTTGATTCAAAGGTTTTTGTTCCATCCGGTAAGATTTCAAAAATATTATCTTGTTTTGACAAGTCAGGTTCTAAATAAGCGGTCTCCAAAAAGTCTCTTCCGTCTACTTGCCTAGTAGTTGACGATTCTTGTTCCATTGGCCCAATAGGAATTGAGTTTCCAAGATGACAAGGAGTTTGTTTCAAGCAACTCCATTGGTTATTGCTTGTTCTTCAGCTTGGAATGGAAAAAAGTGTATCGCTTTTAGGAAATGTTGTAGCTTGAAAGTTACTAAGAAAATGAGAATTGCACCCAGTCTTGTTGTACTATCCCAGGGGGAACTCTTCCAGTTTCCGACCCACGTTGAAGAGGTATCAAGTTCACTCTTGTTTGTTGTTTTTTACTTATGGAATTGAAAGGAAGAAGGAATTTTTGTTGAAGATGTTCACTTTGCTTGGTCCAAGACGCGACCAGTATTAAAAGGTTGTTCACTTACTTGGTTATCCGTTGAGCTCCAACTGAGAATAGCAAATACTACCAGGAATCTCGTTTCAAGTACCGAAAGGACAGTTTTGTATGATACTAGGAAGTAATGGTTCAGGAAAATCAACTCTTTGTGAAGTTCTTTATGGTTCACTTCTTCCTCATAAAGGATGCATTCGAACAGCACAGCCTATAGCTCTTATTCATCAAAGTCCCGATGACAATCTCGTTTTTCCTACTGTAGATACGGAGTTTACGTGTTGTATACGCAATGAGACAAAACAAAGAAAAGAAGAGTTGGCTAGAAGTGCTCTTCACCGAATAGGTTTAGAACATTTGTATTATTCTAGAGTCGATAGCCTGAGTGGTGGAGAGAAACAGAGAGTGGCTGTCGCCTCTTTGTTGTTACTGAATCCAGCCGTCTTAATATTGGATGAACCAACAGCTTCTATGGATGCGTCGTAAGCAGTAGAAGACTAATTATGTTTGTGCACTCATTCTATATAGAAGTAGGGAAGACTTTCTGTATCTAGTAAAAGCTCTTGTTAGTGAGAAGAATATGACAGTATTGTGGTAAGTGTGCATTTTCACATTCTCCAAGGAAAACTGGAATCAACAACATTGTATGAAATAGGGTCACTCATTTATTAGAAGAGCAAAGTTATGCTGAGCGTTTACTCAGGTGTGTTTGTCAAATAGTAACGAGTTTGAAACTGACTATTCAAGGAAAGAATTCAATCGGGTAAAATCGTATACGATAGTGAACCCAAAAGAGATATAACAACGCCGCTAACCAAGGTAAACAAGGTAACAACTAGACTTGGTTAATATTTTCGTTAAACCAACTCCATAAACTTTTTAATATCATAAATTTTCAAAATATTTTAAAAAATATTACATATTCTATAAGGTTTCACCTGAAGAAGATTGCTTATCACCTTGACTTCTGCAGGGCTTGGTTCTCGTAACAACGTAGCTACCGGATACTTTGGGTGTACAAGAAGATAAGGGGGACTGATATAAACATCACATTCTTCTGGTTTCTTAAACTTTGATATTTCAGGATCAAAAGCTGGGTTTGCAGGTAACCTACACAAGCCAATGTGGGGATCGATAGTAATGAACTGTCCTTCCTTTACACGGTAACTTGGTTGGACTACACGGTCACCGTTGATTCGCACGTGTCCGTGAGACACAAGTTGACGTGCAGCTCGTATACTTTTACAATAGCCAGTCCTAAAAACAATAGTCTGCAACCGAAGTTCCAGACTCTTCAGTAGCTCGTAACCGGGTGAGTTGGTTTCCTTCGCAGCTTCCACCAAGCGCTTGGTTTTCTTTGCTCTCAAACCACCATAAGTGTTCCTAAGTTTTTTCAACTCCAGAAGGCGCTCTATTAAGATACCTTTTGGAGCAAGTTTGGATTGCATGTTTGAAGCTCACGACGTCCGTTTGCTTCCCCAATAAGAAAATTTTTGTCCAATGAGAAAAGTTTTATTTTCAGCGAACACAAAACGAATCAACGACGAAAACCTATAAAGGACATCAAAGACTTTGGTTTTCCTGGACGCATATCCACACCAAATGTTGCTTCTATCCATTTGAAATCGTCTTTATCTATTTCTCTTCCTTTTGTATCGACATGAACGGGATCTAATCCGTGTCGGTTGAATAGGGATGAAAGGGACACTGGACTGTGCATCACAGCTTTGCGTTGGATTCCAAATTCATATGCCTCTTCAAAGTAATCTTCTACTCCAAATGTTTGCCCGAGAAAAGCTCCACCAGGACGCAAGAGACGAGAGACATGCTGAACAAATTTTTCATTATTTCCTGGTAAAATATGGAGAACTAAGTTTGCAACAATAACATCAAAAGGACGGTCTGTTCCAGCCCAAGCTTCTATTTCTTCTACAAAGTTCTCCTCAAGGGCATCCATGACACGAAATCTATCTCCAAACTTGGCTTTGTCATCCATAAAATGAAATCCAAGTTCCAAAAAAATTTCTGATATATCAACGCCATATATGTTTTCCACAGATATACCTTCTTTGGCAAGACAGCGAAGAGAAAGACCAAAGCCTGTTCCGATTTCCAATACTCTAAGATTCTTCATATTCTCCTTACGAAATGCCTCTTCAAAGAACGTGTTGCTATACAATCCTTCACGAAGAAATATCAAGCCTTCAATACAACTACACGACAATAAATACACATAATATGTGCTCGGTTCGTTGCTTCACTTACCGAAAGCTTATTTCCTTTTCAATAGCCTCCTGTCTGACTCGAAAAGCTCTCTCAAGGACTTGCTTCTCAGAAGCACCAGGAAATAACTCTAATATTTTTGGATTGATAGAAATGTTTTCTTCTGTCTCGAGTGCTTGTCTTGCATCAGTTTGCATAGTCTTCAAAGAACAAAGTTGGCTCAGAATTTTGCCAATCAATCCACAAGTCTGGGACAAAACGACACTACAGCAGGGGGTGCGAACCTTTCGATCTGTCCAAACGAAACCGAAACAAATCGGTAATCGCAGGGCTATTCTGTCTCTCAATATAAAATAATCCTTTATACGAAAAAAGTTCATTTTCTTGCAATAAAACTCATAAGACTCAAGCCACTGGCTTCGTTCTTATCAAAAGCGAAGTGGCGAGACATCCACTGAATATCTTCCTCCTCCATAGGATGGTCATTCAAGTTTACTTTCACGGTTTGAAAACCATGGGACTTTAAAAGATTGTTAAAAGAACTTTCCGAATGAAGAACCGCTTTACGAGGACTTATTCCAAATACGAACTGCTCATTCATGTCATTTGCATGTGCTGCAGTTTGTCCAATGAGAACGCCACCAGGCTTAAGCAACTTGTAAGCTCTTTCCGCAAGAACGTCATTATGATCCGGCAAACAATGAAACACGAGATTGGCTATAACCACGTCAAAGGGTTCAGGTCCAGCCCAGCTGTGCACAACGTCGAAAAAGTTATCAGCTAAAACGTTGAGCACACGGATTCTGTCACCAAAAGAAGCTTTGTCATCAAAGAATTGATATCCAAGACGAACAAAGGTATCAGAAACATCAACGCCAAAGATATTGTCACGCGAAGCACCATCAAGCACCAACTTTCGAAGAGCGACTCCAAAGCAAGAGCCTACTTCAAATATACGAAGAGTCGGTAGTTTATCTTTTGGAAACGCTTCAGAGTTAAAGCTATTTTTGTACAAGGTTTCTTTCAAGAAGAACAACCCTTCGACACATCTACAAACTTAAACAAATATCCAACAAAACACTTATCTCATACCTGTGTGGTGATTCCTTTTCCATAGCCTCTTTTCTAATTAAAAGAGCGCGGTTCACAATTTCTTGTTTGGTCATACCTGGAAACAACTGGTACAGTGGTTCATCGACTTGTATTTCTTGCAAGACAGTCTGCATCTCCTCCAAAAGGGGTTCGCTCCTAAGAAGCTAAAATCTGTTGAGGGATCCAATGGGACTGATTTGGGGTGATAGGAAATTAGGCCACGTGGACATCTCCTCGAGTCTCTTCTTGAAATTGCCAACTTGGGCCATTCAATAGTGGAAAGCCGCTCATTACTCTGAGGGTTGACAATATTTGCCTAAAGTGGATGAAAGCAAGACTCCATTCTCTTATGAAAGACAAGTGAAAATACTGGGGTATTTCAATGGAAATTTTCATCTCATGATCATTGTCCATGAGCCATCGTGCTATATTGAATCATTACAACAGGTACCTTGTAAGCAAAGTGCAGCAAGCATCATATAACTGCACTTATGTTTATAAACCATGATGAATTCTAAACCAAATATACAACCATCAGTAGATAATTTCCTAAACTCCGTATGCAAAGATTCCTCCTTCCTAGTTAAACGCAGACATGCAAATCAAAATAATTATATATGACGTGGTCAAGATAAGAACGATACTATGTATGATGATAGACAGAGAAATTACGTCTTGCTTCAATTTTTCCACAACGTAGCCTTTGATATCGTTATGCAAACAATTGCTGCAAGTGTCATAGCGGAGGTCATCCGCTCAAGGAGCTATCCATTTGAAACTCACTAAAGCAAATATAGAAAATTCTTTGTTGTCTTTCTCTTCTCTGTGTTTCACAAGTTATTCCCCTTTATTTGGAAAATGATCTCAACACGTATTAAGGAATATTCTTTTTTTAGTAGAAAGATCGTCTTCATACAACTTGAGATTAGAGTGTGGGATTTGGAACTTGCCATGTACAGTATCGAAATGGGAAATACTCACCTTTTGAAGAGTCGACTTTATGCACCAGGTTGTGGTTGGATATTGCTAAACTTTCACGTGAATCAAAGGTATTCCATTTACTCAACTAGAAGATCATCTCCTTCGAGTTGTATTCGTGGTTATCCATCTGTACTGTACTGTGTCAAAGGACAATTTGTTTCTGTAAAGATAATCTCACCAACTCGGCGAGATTTACGTTTGACACAAAAGGATCTTATGGAACAGTTTTGTGTAAACAGTGTGGTTTCCTTTGAGGGAATGGAGAAGGCTCCAATAACGAATGACAACAAGTCTCTTGAGTGGCACGAGTTTCCCTGGCGTTCTTTGCCACCATTATTGGATCCTCAGAAGCTTCCGAGACATATTGCAGTAATTATGGACGGTAATGGTCGTTGGGGTCTTAACCACTCTAACTGTAGAACACACGGTCACCAGGCAGGTGTAGCTGCTCTGGAAGAACTAATTGATTGTTGTGTACATTGGCAGATACCACTAGTCACTGTGTTTGCTTTCTCTTTTGAAAATTGGAAGCGACCCATTGAAGAAATTGACTTTTTGTTTCTATTGTTCCAAGAGACGGTTTCTCACAAGTTGCGAAGGCTTGTAGAGGAAAATATTCGAATTCGATTTATCGGAAATATGGAAGACTTACCCTCCTCGCTACGGCAAAGTATCTTCGATGCTGAAGAGTTGTCTCGTACCAATTCATCTTTGGAGTTGACGATAGCATTGAATTATAGTGGCAGACAAGATATTGTGAATGTTACTCGTAGAATGCTGACAGATGTTGAACAAGGTCGTTTGCATTCTTCACAAATAGATGAGAGACTGTTTCATGAATACATGCAAAGTAAGTGGAGACTTTGATTCAAGATGTTGATTCTAACTGCTATAGAATACTCTATCACTGACCCAGATTTGCTGATTCGTACAGGAGGTGAAATGCGCTTATCTAATTTCATATTGTGGCAAGTTGCTTATACGGAGCTCTATATGACTGAAACTTTATGGCCAGACTTCACTTGGAAACATTTATATGAGGCCTGCTTGCATTATCAAAACAGAAAAAGAAAATATGGAGGCTTATTAGGTTGAGTGAAAACACGTTGCTAACCCCTTGCATTTATATATTCTTAGAGAGCAAATCTGCAATACTTTGTATATAATAATCGGGAAGAATCTTGTTTTTATCAGAAAGCACCTTTTCTATTGTAGTGACTCCAGAGAGACTCAAAACTGTCTGCAGTCCGTTATTTTTTCCAAACAGGACATCCGTATCGAGACGATCTCCCACCATACAAATCTGATAAGGTTCCAGTTGATGCTTTTGGATGACATCATTTATAAGTAATGGAGAAGGTTTTCCAACAACTATTGGTTCCTTTTGTGTGCAGCCACGAATGGCACCCACCATAGCTCCATTTCCAGCCCACTCCTGAGCATCCGTAAGATGTGTAACACTATCCAAATTGGTTGCAATAAACAAACACTCTGAATTCTGTGAAAGACACAATTGGGCATACTATATTCCATTATCAAATCTTGCTTTCTAGATATCACTATTACTTACTTGAATTTTGTAATAATTGATGTATCGATCAAATCCGACCACCACAGCACCAACTTGGGAATCTTGCACCACTTTGCCTCCAGGTCGCATATCTGGAACTTTATCTTTATCAGATTCACCTCCGAGATAAGCAATATGATGCTTCTCTAACTCTTCTTCGATCCCCTTCTCACCGATAACATAAACCTTCTTCCCTTTTGACTGAAAATGAATACTAGTAAGATAAGCTGCAGCAGCATACGAAGAAGAAAGGATTTCTTCTGCATCGACGTTATCTAAACCCAGTGAACGGAACTTTTTCAAATATGATGCCCTACTCTTGGTAGAGTTGTTGGTGATGAAGTACACCCGTTTGCCCAAGTCCTTGAGTTGGGTGATCAGTTCCTTGGCACCAGCTATCAAAGAGTCCCCTTTCCATATCACACCATCACAATCGAAAATAAAGATTTGCACTGTATCCAACAAATGTTGGGGTTGAGAAAGTTTTCTCACTTTAGAAGAGGTAGTCACATCCATGTGAATTCCTCGCAAAGCAAAACCAGAGTTATTATGACAACACCTTCGTTTGCATAAAGAGACACACGTCTTCTTCTTCAGAAATAAATGAGAGACAGAAGAATCTTATTTTGAAATAAAAGGTCAATATGTCTTCAGAAGATATATGTCTATCACTTACAAGACAAACGATGGGTCTGAAAAGCAAACCTCGACATATAATTTTCGAATATTTTCAATCGATTGGCTAAAATACTTTTAATGGACAACATTGACGCAGTTGAAAATAGTGAAGTAGAAAGTAGTCAACATGCGTCTTTAGAACAACGCCCGCAACAACTTGTTGATACAGTAGAAACTGCGGTTGACAAAGGTTCTCCTTGTACAGAGTTTCACGAAGTTCTTGTTGCTCCGAATTCTAACTCGGAAGTCATACCGTTACCTCATGTAGAAACCAGTTCTTTTTCTGAGCAACCTTTTGGATTCGAAGAGAAAGCGCCAGACTTGAATGAAGAAGTGTTTTGTTTTTCAAGAGAGGACTCGAAGGAGAAGCTTATTCAGTTCGATGGTGTTTTTCGAGAAGATGGGAACGAGAGTTTGGAGGTGTCAGTTGAAAGACAAGACGATGAGCAAGGTTCAGGTTCTGCAGTTCGACAGGTTTCACAAGAAAAGCAAACAAACGTAGAGCTTCAAGACTTGGATTATTGGGAGTTGGAAGATGAAGAAAGCAGTGTGAAGAACTTGGAACAAGAACAGTTGAATGGTAGTAAAAACATTCAACAGATACCAGTTGAGAATATAGTTGAAACTGTGAACTCGCAGTCGCCTACGCAGTTCGTTGCAGTGGATAGTGATACAAAACTAGAAGAAGGAGAGCAAGTAATTCGTCAGGAAAAACAAGAAGTCAATGGAAACGATAATTGGAAAGAAGTAAAAGAGTTTCAAGAAGTAAGTCAACAACCAGAAGTCCAACCGATAATGCCATCCTCAACGGCAGTTTTAAGTGACACTACATTTCCTGTATTGGATATCACATCTTTCGGAACTACCGAGAAAGATCAGGAGAATCGTAATAATTTACCTGCCGCTAGTTCTCTTAGTTCAAGTATTAACCAAGAAAGTCAAATGATACATAATAGCGAGAACTATAGTTATCCGATGGGAGGGTCATTATCTGAGGAACATACTTCGTCTTCGTTGATGAGGAGCGACAAGGATAATAGTGCTTCCTTGACAAATACTAAAGAGAATAATTGCGCAGCAGATGAAAATGAGAGATGTTTAGAGAAGAGCAATGAAAAAGAACAAGAGAATCAGTATGATGTGGAAATAGAAAAGGGTCCAAGAAATGAAAGTAATGAAACATCTTTTGTGCAAATGGATGTCATGACGGAAGGTCCTTCAGTGAATTCGCAGCAACAAGAGGAAACGTCGCAGTCACAGTCAAAAATTTTGTCTTTGGAAGAAACAAAGTTTAGTGAAACATTTGAGTCCCGTGCGCGTCTTCATATGTTAGGGGACAGTCAGTATAAAGAGAAAGGATGGGGGCATGTTAAGTTACAGAAAGCGGCAAGTCATGGTGCTTGGAAGTTGACATTCTCAGTAGAACCTGCAACTAGCATATACGAGTCCAAGATTGACACGGATACCAAGTTTCAACGTGTTAGAGCTAAAAGTGTGAGAATAAGTGGATCCAAGGAACAAGGCAAAGATGATTTTGTACTGCAGCTTCCAGATACTCAAGTCGCAGATGATCTTGTTGAATTTTTAACAATGGTAATTACTGAACAAACCAAAACTGTTTCACCTGCTTCTTCCACTGAAAGAAATTTATCATCATCATCATCAAGAGCTCATTCCGCGGAAAATCACGTTTTGGCACAAAAGGAAGCTGAAATGGAACGTGTTCGTCAGCACATAGCCGAATTGGAAAAGAGAAAAGCTTTAGTTAGACAGTCTTTGCATAAAAAGGGAAAGACAAATTCGGAGAAAACAAGTCCCTTAACTAGTTCCATTCAAGATAGTCCAACCGTATCGAACTTGGATACTGCCAGTACTTGGAATGTTATTAGCATTGAGAAGGCAATGCTTCCTTCCAATAGCACAGCCGAGGAAATGGCCATGCCTAAGACAGATGTAGTAAGTGAACATGAAGCTGACAAAGAAGCTGTGGAACAGATGACAAAGCCAGGACATCAAAATACTCATTTAGAACAGGAGCCACCAAAAGATTCGAGAATTGGGCAAGAGCAGGAACCTATGCAACTTGTCTTGCCATTATCACAAGGAGGTAAGTGTAGTGTTATTTTGTATTTTCAAGGCTTAAGAAATAATCATATCTTATAATGTTATGAATTTACAGAAAATATCCATTCGGTTCAAGAACAAGCTGCAAAACATCCCATTTCAGATCAAATGTACAACCAGAATTCTATCCGAACAGGATTAGAAACGATGGATAGAATAACATCGTCTAGTGTAGAAGAGTTTTCCAAAGTTATGGAAAAGATTCACAAATTAGAAGAATATGTACAGGAACAGTTCCAGTTCACCCAAAGTTCCCTTTCTAATTGCCTGAAACGAGAAGAGCTGGACTCAAATTGGAACAAGCTGACGGAACTGTTTACAAGTGAAACAGAAAGCCGGATATCGTTATTGTTATCGGAAATAGACGGAGTTGTAAAGTTGCTAGATAGAAACAGAGAGGACAATCAATCGGAAGCATTTACTTCCTGTAGACCTTGGAGTTTTAGCGATTTTCTGACTCGCTTACATACTTTTCGTCCAATTACTTGGCCAGCAAAGCCAGAGTGTATTGATGCGGTGGAATGTGCGAGGAGAGGTTGGAGAAATGTAGGTTACAATCTTTTGGAATGTGAGGGCAAATATGTGTATTTTGATGAAAATGTTGCAAACTATTTGGAAGAAGTTGAAACAGTGAGGAAGAAGATTACTGGAAGAGGATATCGATTTATGTCGCTTTGGATCGGAAATCCTTGTCCAGACGCATTTCGCCAAGTGCCATGGAACACCATTTGTCGAACAGTAGAGCGAGCAAAAGAATTGAGAGATTTAGAGTTATCTGTGCATTTAGACAGGAGTTGTATCGATTTGTTAAAGGACGAGTTGGAGATGTTTTCGAAACCTACAATGGAAGATGTTATTCAGTCCTTTGCACTCGATGAAGAAAGAAAACGAAATTCATTTTTCTTAGGCATTTTCGGATGGACAGTGGAACCTTTAATGCAGCATTTTAGCACAAGTTGCCATGAAACATGTTTACACTGTGAATACTGTGATATACGTATTGTTTTAGACTCCTCGACGGATACTAAGTTTGATGCTGAAAAAGAACATCGTAGTTTCTGTGCTTTCCGTCGTGGAGGTTGGAAAAGTTGCCTTGAATATTTAAGACAGGTTTTGTATTCCGGTCAAGTAAAAATGGAGGAAGAAAATGAAAAAGGTAGTGGAGTGAAAAGGCTTCGTGAAGAAGACAAAGGTCCAATAGATTCTAGAGTGGAAGCTGATACTACAGAGTAGAATACTTGAAGGGTCAGTACGAGTTAATGGTCACAAATGAAACAGAATTAATATTGACAAGTCGTTTTGACATCAAACACGCTTGATAAGTTTTTCTACTTGTTGTCTAGAAACAAATATGTTCAAATAAGTTCCATGTATTCACAATGATATTAACAATTCTGCTCAGCTAGTAAAGAAGCAGTAGTGAAAACTTTCTTTTACATTATTTCCTAGTATTTGGCATTTTTCGACAGTATTTTGATGGTCAAGAGACAAAGACCTACTTTGAAAGAAAATACAAAGTCCTGTTGGACAAGTTGACATTTCAAATGAAAGTTTACGAAAATTGAAGAGTTGTTTCAAATTTGGGGAGACAAGTCGATATTTCTATTTGGTGGATTTTGGGATTGACTGACGACGATGACGGATATTCGACGGAGGAGGTTTCAAGAAAGAACAGACTTTAGAAATGGTTTCCAGAACGATAATTCTAGTGTGAACGGAGGAATGTACACAGGTCAAGGGTTCTCTTCCCAGCGCAAGTGGGATACAAGGAATAACTATGTCTCAGGAGCGCAGAACAAAGCCAGAGGCGTGAACGGGAAGAACAACTCGCAGACGTTGATACCCGTAGAGTGGACACCTGAATTAGTCGACAGGTTGCCGAAGTTTGAGAAGAATTTTTATGTAGAACATCCCCAAGTCAGCAAACGCTCAGAGGCTGAAGTACGTGCTTTTCGCGAGGAGCAAGAAATTACCACCGAAGGGGAAAATGTTCCGAGACCAGTAGTCAGTTTCGAAGAGGCATCGTTTCCAGACTATGTATTGGAGCAAATAAGAAGGTGCGGTTTCAAGGCACCCACTGCCATTCAAGCACAAGCCTGGCCTATTGCGTTGAAAGGAAGAGACCTCATTGCAGTGGCTGAGACTGGCTCTGGAAAGACTTGTGGCTATCTCTTGCCCGCCATCGTGCATATCAATGCACAGCCTTATTTATCTCCCGGCGATGGACCAATTGTTTTGGTTTTAGCTCCAACTAGAGAATTGGCGGTTCAGATACAACAGGAAGCTACACGGTTTGGTGCCTCTTCCAGAATCAAAAACACCTGCGTGTATGGTGGTGTTTCTAGAGGTCCTCAAGCACGAGACTTATCACGAGGAGTAGAAATTGTGATAGCTACCCCAGGTCGATTAATCGATTTTCTTGAAAGTGGTCGTACCAATTTGAAAAGAGTTACTTATGTGGTTCTTGATGAAGCGGATAGAATGTTAGATATGGGTTTTGAGCCACAATTGAGACAAATAATATCTCAAGTACGACCTGACCGTCAAACCCTAATGTTTACGGCAACTTGGCCGAAAGAAGTTCGAGAGATTGCTCACGAGTTTTTGAGAAGAGATCATATCAGAGTGACCATAGGTACTCTCGACCTCACGGCCAATAAGAATATCGACCAAACTATAGAAGTTTGCGAGGAAAGTGACAAACCTTTGAGGTTATCAAAGTTGCTTGAGAAGGTAATGAATGGCGGTAGAATATTGATATTTACAGAGACGAAGAAGAAAGCAGATGAATTGACACGTTCACTTCGTGGAAATGGCTGGCCAGCTTTGGCTGTTCACGGAGATAAGTCTCAACAAGAGCGTGATTGGGTTTTATCACAATTTCGTTCCGGTAAACAACCCTTAATGGTTGCTACGGACGTAGCAGCGCGTGGTTTGGGTAAGTATAGTATCCTTGTGGTGTATAGTGTTTGGTTGGGCACATCCGCCTGTTTTATTTGTGCCATAGTGTTCTGTGTCAGTATTGCTCGCTCAATACCGGGTATAGGAGAGACAGATTCTATGCTGCCTTGTTTGTGTTTCGCAATAGATATAGTGAGTGAAGGATTTATGCTTTCGAACCATAGACGATGGAAGAAACGACTTTTTGGAATAGATCCAAATCTACTACGATTGTGTTATTTTTTGTTTGGAGGACCAAGGTGCGACTTTTTGCTTTTTACAGTAAAGAGTCTTTCTAGCCTTGATTCTCCTGCATGATTGTCCAAAGCCGTTTTCTTCGCATCCCTATTTGTCTGCAAGTATCCTTTATCGTTCGCTTTGAATGTCTCTCTATACCCGATTTATATGTGTTTGGGTTACAGTATACTGAAATATCACATTGCAGAAATTCAATCCTTGCTCTTATAGTTGTTGTTCTTTTTACTTGTATACATACAAACACTCACACACCAAACAAAATAGTGCAGAAAAACTAATTATCTTGTGTATAGATATCAAAGATGTCAAGTATGTCATCAACTACGATTTCCCTCATACTATAGAAGACTATGTTCACCGCATTGGTCGTACTGGACGTGCAGGTGCTCTTGGAAAGTCGCATACCTTCTTTACTCCGGACAAGTAATTTTTTTTTCATGTCGAACGGAATGTATGTACTCATATCCAACTAGGTTTCGTGTTGCAAAAGAACTCGTGAACTTGTTACGAGAGGCTGGACAGGATGTTCCTCCAGAGTTAGCCAGATTGATAAAGCAGTCTTCTTTTGGTGGTAATAGTCGAAACTTTTCTCGCTATCGAAATTATTCTTCGTACTCTCGGGGTGGCGCATCTTCGAATTATGGGCGATTTAGTAATGGTAGTACTAGTCATGGTTTCGGCAAGAATCGTTAATTTCCAATAAATGGACCCGTTGAAGTTCCTGTTAAATAAGATTTTTCCAAGTCGTAACAACTTTTATTCTTTTTTATGTTCTTTATGTTTCTTTTTCTTATCCTTGTCATGTTTTTCTTCACCGGCAGATTCTCTCTTCCGTTTCTTCTTTTCTTTCTTTTTATGACTCGATGAAGACTCCTTTTCATTTTCCTCCTTATCTACTTGAACAGTTTTCTTCGTGGTGATACCATTTTCATTTCCTTCGTTTGAAGGCGTCTCCTCAACAACTTGACCTGTTGGTCGACTATCGGTCATGATAACAGTATCTGTCACTGTTTGATAGCCACTTGCAGGAGTACGAGGTGACTGATAAGCTTTAAAGTCTCCTCCACTAGTTCTACCTCTTCCAGAAAGAGAAAAAGTTTGTCTCGATTCTAACTGTCTCAAGCGTGCTTCTATCTTGGCTCGATTTTCTAATCCTAACGAATTGTCCAATTCGCCTTCATTCAAGGCATCTGCTCGTATCGACAATGCTGTCTTACTAGCCAATGCTCTCGATATCTTTCCTTTGTATTTAGGTGCGGCTTGACCAACCAAAGAAGCGTGGAAAATGAGACCTGTTGATTGAGTACAAGAATTCAAAAATGAGAACCCATGCTTACCATATTTTGGAGTAGCACTTTTTGTTTTCAAAGCGCGAAAGAGAGCTTTCTCTGCTCCCAAAATCTGTACTGTACTAGCTGGATATTTAGCCAAGTTCATGAGACTTCCAGCGTGTGAAATGAGTCTCGCACCCACCAACTCTCCAACCATCGCAGTCAAGTTGGGTGCAATGGCTGCCATCCTATTCTTTAAATATTCATACAACGTCGAACGATATTCGGACAACGTGATCACTTGGTCGCACAACTCACGAATATTCGACACATCTTCATCACTCAGTTCAGTTCCCATGGAAACTTCTGCTGCTTCTTTCACTTCTTTCTCCTCCTGGCCACCTATTATATCATCTAATTGGGTGTTCTTGGCATTCGTACGGATACCCACCCGGTGAACGATGCGTGCATAAATAGTATTATCATTGACAATTTTGGCGAGCTCTGGAAAATGCCAACCATACCATTCTCTAAGTCGCATAGAATAGGTGTTAATTTCCTTATCCAAATCGTCGAGTAACCCGATGGACTGGATGATCATGGTGTCCACCTTTTCCGTCGAGAACTTGAGCTTGTATCGTGATAACGAGTGTGCCAACCCCAAAATCATCGACTTTTGATTATCCACATACTCGTCTAAAAGTACATGTGCATCGTTTCTTATCAGACGAAATAACTGTTGTACTTGGGAGTCCACGACGCAGTGCAATCCCAATTTTTCCTGTATAGCACCAGCTAGTTTGGTCTCTGCAATTGCTAAAGATTCTCCTTTTGGAATATTTTTCTTCAGAAACTTCTTCAGTGGCTTACAAAGTTTGCCTTGTACTAGAGAAGCTGCACTGGTGAGAGCTTCATCCGTGTCTTTGAACTTATCAAACGCTTTAAGTTGAAAGTATTCAGTCGACGCATTCTTATTTTCTAGAGCTATCAAATCTTCTAGTGAAGACGATAATATTTTTTTCTCGTCCGTCAACTTGAAGAGAGCATAACCTCCAGGTGTTTCGAATAAAACAAACATGTTGTTACCTCAACGACGGTGGATCCGAAAATGGGCTTTCATTGGACGTAGTAAATGGCTTATTTATTTTCCTTGGTCAATTCATTGTTTCCCCAAAATAAACTGTTAAGAAACCTCCAATGGTGAACTAATGGGAGGCTTTGTTCTTTGTAACCATAATAAATCACAAATATCTCCAGCTATTTGATAAGTAGCTAATGGTCTTCCAACATTCTTGGCTTGTACTGACATCTGTCAACGAGGGTTCAATAATCATAAGGTCCTTCCAAAGTTAGTCAAGCTTACCTGAACCAAATGGGACTGTTCTCTGAATAACTGGATTACTCGATTGGCAAGTCTCATAGGATCACTTTCAAAAAAACCCACTCCGTTTTCTACTACAAAAGGAACATTTCCCGCTTCTTGGCCAGGTAAGAATCCATAAAGAAAAATAGGCAAACCACGTATGAGAGCTTCTGCAATTGTACCCGGGCCTGCTTTAGTAACTATACAGTCACTTGCGGCCATCCACTCACTCATATTGTTCACAAAACCTGGACAAATGGTTATACAATAAACAGCCTACCATATCAAACTACCTTTGACATATACAGGTAACGGCCATCGCATTCTTGAAAGTTCTTGTTGCAAAGCAGTATTTCTTCCACAAATAATGACCAATTGCGCACTGGCAAACTCTTCACTAAGACGACAAGCCAGTGCTCGTGCAATTCTACCCACACCTGACATGCCATCACCTCCACCTACTATCAATATGGTAGGAATCTGTTCGAGACCCAATTCATTTCGAACAGCAAGTTTGTCTCTATTTTCCTTCCAGAATGCAGGACGAACCTATCAAAACCATGTTATTTCCAAGTTGAGGTGAAACTGAAATGCATACAGGCAAACCATATTGTCTAATTTTATGGATACTGACGCCACATCTTCTTGCAATATCGCGAACTCGACTAGTCGGAACAAAGCAAATATCCACCTAAACACACATTGAGTTATGCAAACTCTATTCTCATATATCTACATACATCTTTATGAAACCAAAGAGGATGAGCACTTCCAAGATCAGTTACAACAGTCACGAACGGAATCCTCTCACGAATACCCATATCCTTCAAAACTCTCAAAGGCAACGTTTGACAAAGAGGATGCACTGATACTATGATATCTGGTCTGTACATTAAAAAGGCCTTTTTCACTCTGAAAATAATGAGTCAGCCTTACTATTATCATATACAACGAATAAAAATTACCGCTCATGCGCTATCCAATAAGAAAACTCTTCTGTGATACATCTGGAAAGAGGAAATACACCATAACTTGGGATTCTATTAGCATTCTATTGAAACAAATCAACATTTTCACTTACAACCAAGTTAGTTTCCACAACGTTGGGTTTCTTTGCAGAAACATATATTGTTTCGGCAAATTTCGGAAAGGACCCTTCACAATTTGAGTCCATAAATCCACTATCATAGTATCCAGTTGACCCGGATACAAGTCGTCAAAGGCAGCCCGAAGAGCTTCAGCACTTGCACGGTGTCCACCACCTGTATCAGACATGAGAATCAAAACACGTTTCTTGGTGTTTCTGTTATTTGAAAAAGAATGTTCTTCAAGTGCCCAGTCGTTTGTTCGTGAGTGAAAGAGTTCTCCAAGGTTCTGTTGCCCACTTGCATAGATATAGATGTTTGGGTTGTTGAAGGATGAGCCGCGGTGAATTCCAAAAATACAACGCCAGTTACTTTCTAGAAAAGGCGCGATATAAGTTTGCTTTCTGTTCGACATTTTCCACAAAGAGAGTTGCATATACTCCAGCAATATACTAGAATCAAGCGTAGGTCCAAGTAAATCGAGGGAATAAGGCACTTTCTGACAAGACTGTGTCCATTCCAAGTTCCCTTCCTTGTAGCTTTCAAAAGAAGAAAACGGAGAAAGCCGTCGTTGATAACGTGAAAGCCAACGCATCCGGCTAAAACAATAAATTCTCTTGGGACGAAAACAACAACAAGGACAAACATCCAAGGCGCCAGGCCTAGGAGAATCACGTGAACCCTGTGTTCTTGTGACTACGGAAAGTAGTGGTGCACATGTAGGAATGAAAGAGTCTCCTTTCATTGACAATAAATAAACAATTGTAACTGCCACCCCCACTAGTTATGTGGCAACGGAAGAGAATCTTCAATGACAGCAGAAAATGACTTTCCCGCCCTTCCCCTATCATCATCTTCGTATTTCAAGTTGACAATAGGAAAACGCACAAACTATGTGTCTTTTTAAATTCTCTAACATGGAATAAGAAAATGTGTCACAGGGAAAGGACAGTTTGAAAAAGCTAAGAACATTGTTTTATTTATGCTGCATCATCAAGAAATGATGGGCTCTTCTAGAGTCGACCATCGATGCCATTCCAAGCGACTGTCCACTAGCAGAGAAAATCAGATTGAAAGGATATGGAAAGATGGACGACGAGACCTTGCAAGGAGAAAGTTGGTTTTTGTTATTCTTCACCGTCCGTTTGGGTAGCTTATTCCTGTGGTCACTTACAAGGAGTTAGTAAGCGTTGCAAGGAAAAGTGGTTTAGGCATAATTGTTGGAAACAGTGTAAAGTATACTATAGTTCGAAAATGACCTTGGCGGACTCAGAAGTGGAAGCCATTCCTTTCAACTTTGTATTTCCATCAAGATTGAACGGCTTTGAAAGTGAAGGTGCTTATTCAGTGATGATAGCAGCAAGTGAACTTGAGAGAAAGACAGGAAAGAAAGTGGTAAGTGCGACACACCCATTGTTTATGTAAAATATCTCAGAAGAAAATCCTAGATTAGACTCGAAATAGGTCAGCCTTCGGAACCTACACCAAAGCATATTGTGGAGGCAGCGTGTAAGTCTTTGCAAGCAGGAGAAACTGGATATACTCTGCCCTTAGGACTGAGGGCGTTGAGGGAAGAAATTGCAAGGCACGTTACTGAAACCAGAGGTGTTGCTGTCTTACCAGAAGAAGTGGTTGTTGGTCCGGGTGCTAAACCTGGATTATTTTTCACTGCACTATCCATATTGCACCCAGGAGAAGAAGTTATCTATCCAGATCCGGGTTTTCCTACCTACAAGGCTATGGCTATTATTGCTGAAGCTAAACCTGTCCCAGTTCCTATGAGAGCAGATGGAAAGTCGTTTGATATGCAGGCATTAGAGAAAGCAGTCAGTTCCAAGACAAAAATGCTCATTCTTAACTCACCTAATAATCCAACTGGTGGTGTTATGCCTACAGAGGATATATTACACATTGCAAAGTTGGCAAAGCAACACAACTTTTATGTTATAGCAGATGAAATATATTCCAGACTAGTCTACAGTGATGAAAAGCCTCCAAGTATTTTCTCATTGCCCGGCATGAAGGAAAGAACGATTCTTATTGATGGATTTTCAAAAGCATATTCTATGACAGGTTTCCGTTTGGGTTGGGCTATTATGCCTGAATTGTTGACCAAGAAAATGGAACCTCTTTTGGTTCATGCGGTTGGCTGTACTCCACCTTTTGTACAGGCAGCTGGATTGGCAGCATTACGAGGCAGTCAAGATTCGGTACAAGAGATGGCAAAGGAATATGAAAAGAGAAGGGATTTGGTAGTGAAGGAACTCAACTCCATTCCTGGAGTCTGGTGTCCTGTACCTGAAGGTAACTAGTCCAAATAATGGGTTGCTATTAATATACTCAATTATGTTTCTCAAGGTGCATTTTATGCCTTTCCGGATGTGAGTAGTTTTGGTATGACAAGTAAGCAAATTGCAAATATTCTCTTAGAAAAGGGAATGGTTGCAGTCCTACCAGGAACTGATTTTGGTGCCAATGGGGAAGGAAGAATTCGTATCAGTTACGTTGCTCCAATGGATATGTTGAAAGAAGGTTTAAAGCGAATCAGAGAAACACTTGCGACTCTTTCAACTATGAATAATAATGGAATAGCATGAAAACATAAAAAGATGGATTTTGATGCGTTTATATATCTCTGAACTCTACCTTTTGTTATAAAAAACGACCTTTTTTGGTACTCTTTGATTTACAAGTTGACTTGACTCTATCTTCAGCTCCCAAAGCAATGGTTGCCTACGAGTAAACAAGATTATCCGTCCATAAATACACTTCAAACTAATATCCATCAATACCGTTGAAAAAAATTGCAAAGCTGTAAACGCCAATATAGGAGAAAAGTCAATTCCAAAAACTGGAGGTACGACAGCTGTTTTCTTCAACATAAATAAAACCATCATGCAACCTTTAGTTGCTACTTACACCGAAATAAGTTTAAATAGGGATCACACAACGTAAAAAGTGGTCTAAGAATGGGTTGATTCTAAAGGACAATATTTCCAGTGTTTCTCAAATAAACTCTACAAACTTACTTGAGCCGCAGGAAACCAACTCAGTAGAACGCGCACGATCAACAGATTGCTGTAGAGACTAAAAAAGTTTAGAAATCCTCCCACAAACACGCCTCCAACCTGAATCAGTTAGGTTAGTAGAAGTTAGAGATATCCAAGTTGCCATACTATCGAGTCCCCTGGCAAAACACTTGCTAATAATAGTTTACGAAAACAAGGCACGTGTGGGCATATAAAACAGCCGATAGCGGACCCTATTCGATAAAAGATGATAGTGTATCTCTCAAATAAAATAAGGATGGATGTGTTAGACAGTACCTCTGTAAGACCAGTTCTTCTCTAGTTTACCGAGTTGTACTTGACAACTTGTTTCAAAGACCAATCTACTCATTCTACAATCAATCCTATACAATCTCTTTCACCAACCAAGAAGAGCCATCCATTTTTGAAGTTGGAATTTATTGATGATTTGAGCAAATGGCTAAACTACTAAGCAGTGTTGCGGAAGAGCTACCAAAGAGTCGACATCTCTCATATTCAACTTAAATTCCCATTCGTTAGCTGAGTACATAGGAGCTAGACACAAAACCTACTACTTCTGGAGTGTCTAGAGGAGAAACTTCACGCCCGGCAAACAAGAACTTCATGTCTCCCGTTAACTTGCGACGACTACAGTATGCTTCAAATAACACCCATAAAGGACAACGGCGCTTTAGTTTAAACCGCGCTCGATTGCCAAACTAGAAAACAGTTTCTCATTAAGTATGAAATAAATATAGGAAACTTTCTGTACCTCATCAGTTACCCACAGCTCAACATATAACTGAGCCCCCTTTTTGGGTGCTTGTAGTTCCCCGTGATATGTTAGGGGAATCCCCATTTCCTAGCAGTGTTCCCAGGTATACGAATACCAGCCGAAAACTTGAAACACTGCAGTGCCCTTAGAAAATACAGCAGTGTTCATGTCAACCCTTCTTACCTGCAGTCACTGAAGTCCACTGTCGGTCAGACACCTTCCTCCCTCGGTTACTTTGGTCAGAAATTCCTGTAAGCTTCACAACTCTTCCCCTTTATTTCAACAAACCCTCTACAACTACAATAACTACACTTGAACAAACTCTTGCTCAAGCCAGTTACAAAGGTCCTCGTTCCTACAAGTACACGTGGAAACCGCTCGTGAGCCTCTGTGGCCTTCAACTCCCCAAAACCAATTTGAGACAACGGAATCTTCTCCTTTCCTGGAGAAAAAAGCCTCCCCCTTTCTGTCCCTACGAATTCTATTTAGATATTCTCATTTATGTCATTTCTTACTATAGAAAGCTTGTCGTTTTCAGTCGAAAGATGGTGAAGGTAAAGTATCCTCATCCGAAATCGGAGTGGTGCAAGGTCAGCTTTCTCATCACAAAACCAAAAGCTTTCAAACAACTTTACAACACCTACCTTATATGGTCCTTTAAAATGCATAGTTGCTCTCTTGCAAAGTTTTGAAAAGCAGACCAACTCAATCATAATCATTTGAAAAGCACGTGGGCAGCAGCGTAGGAGTTCACAACGGAAATCAACTTGATTTTGAAGTGTCAGCAATAATAGAAACCAACAACAAGACGAATTGAAGATATCAAGTGTTTTTGTCTATCACAACCTTACAGAATAATATATATATTTCAACTGCTACTCTATTCCATACACAATCAGGCTCCTTTGTTCTCCGCAACAATAACTCGTTTGTATCACCCCCAAAGACAACTAGTCAACTGACCTCTTCCCCTTGTCAAAGCGAACATCATTCACACCAAAACTAGAAAAAGCTTCCTCAATGACAGAAAGTCTTCCACAAAAACAACACTACAAAAGAGCAGGCCCATGACGGACGGCGATCACTCCCCCCAATCAATCACACTCGTTATCTCTTCTAATGAAAAAAGGGGATTTCGTTGTTTCTCTTTCAAAGCCTTTCGGACAATCCATCCAAGTCTATATAAGCGATCGTTTCATCATCTTCGATTTGATGTAATGCTATATCTTCAATATAATTTTAAAAAAACATATTATTTGAAAGACATCCCATTATTATTTGAAGAACGAGTGTATTAAGCAGTCTAAGTACCCTGCCATACTAAGAAAGTGGATATCATAGTTTCAAGTGTATCTCACCTACTACAATGGATAAAACAAAACTCGTAAAGGAGTATACAATTGCCTAATTCATAGGGTATTGTATAGCAATTGCTAGAGCTACTCAGTGCTAGGAAAGTATCATAAGAAACAACCTTATAAAACAAGGAAGTTTCTTTATTCTAGTTAATAGCCTAAAATAAGAACTAAACTGAAACTTATTCAAAACAAGTCTATATTGTAGCACATCCACAATACAAATGGATATGGTGTGAGACAAAAGGTTGCAAGTCACTCGACTTCTAAACCCATACCCTTTGCTGTTGCATAAATACTACGACAGATTATTTCCAAAGACTTGTACTTCATATGCTCGTCTCGCTGTTTGATTTTTCCAATTTCGTAAATGGCCTTTAAAGGTACCTATTTCACAAAAGCACTTAGCACGAGACAAACATAATACAAACCAACAACTACAAACTTTTCCAATGGTTTCATGTCCAGGTTTTGAAGCAGCTTTTTCCAGACCTGCTACTCTTTTCAGAAAATAGGAAACAGGAGGAGTTCTCGTTTCAAAAGTATACGTGCGGTCGTTGTAAGCAACGATCTTGGTTGGGATGGGTACTCCTTCAAGGATGTCCTTTGTAGCGTTGTTGAAATCCTTACAAAACTGCATAATGTTCAAGCCCATTTGACCAATTCTTGGACCCACTGGAGGTCCAGGAGCAGCTTTTCCAGCAGGTATATTCATAAGAAGACTTATTTTGATGCCTTTGGTAGATGCGCCAGCCATGCTTCACCACCACCAATTTCTATGTTATCCAACAATTGTTCACCCCTTATGACGAGTAGAGTGACATACTCATGAATAGATTCCTTTCTTTCCTCTTTTCTCCTATTGTAGATAAAAGTATCCATCTCAAGGAAAACTGTGTGCTACTCAACCCTTATGTTGTCTTTATTTCGAAAATAAGTATATTACCTCGACTTGTCGTAAATGCAGAATATTCCCATATAAAACCCTCCTCTTCGAATTGTTTATACGAGTAATATTAGTACAATACTATACTATATCACTAGGGATATATTTGCCTTTCGTATAAGAAGCTCTTTGATAACAGATAAAGTTTATCTGCAAGTACCTTTTTCTAGTTTGTCGTCCAAATAACTACTCTCATTCAGGAAATATATATATATATATATATATATATATATATATATATGTGTGTGTGTGTGTGTGTGTGTGTTGTGAAGAGAATTTCTATCCTGAAATTCTCTGTCCATTCATTTGGCTTGAGCCAACTCAGAGCGTCAATCATGCTTTCATTTGATTGGCTGAGAGGTGAATGAAAATGGTTAGATTGCTTGTGGAAAAGAATTATTTTGTCCCCGTTGCGTTATCTGAGTCTGTGTCGATTCTGACTGAACCGTCTGGTCTACGTATACTCGGGTTTCACAACTCATTTATTGCGACACCTTTTGAAACCAACGAAAGGAAGCGACAATAACCGTTACCAGACACAGTGTGTTTTTAGGGTTCTAAAGCCACAGTGGAGGTCGTGTAATGACTAAGCGGGGTTCCTCCAAGTTGACGATTGAAACTATTTCTCCTTATTTTACCCAAAATATACAAGCAGCTTCAAAAGAACTGGGAATTTGTTGTACTCTTTTAAAAAAGGTACAACATCCCTCTATTTATCTCGACACTCTATGATAACTTTTCGATGTACAGGTTTGTCGTAAATACGGGATAACTCGCTGGCCATATCGAAAGATCCAGAGCGTAGAAAAGACGATCCAACAGATAAAGGAAAGAATAATGTTCTTGGAAGCACACCTTACAAAGGATACCAGTGGTAGTATTCATGTGGAAGTTCAGAAACTACGTAGAGAATTGGTCGAATTGGAAAGAAAAAGACAGGCGCTTTTGAGACCGGATAAAGCTCTAAGTAAGTTATAATTGTTCAATATTGCGTTGAGTATTTTCTCACAGTTCAGTTAATCCTTACAACCTGCAACCCAACTATAGATTGCCGTTCTACTGGGGAGCAGATGGTATGCTTCCCCAAGTACCTTTCAGTATGCATCGAGTCCATTCTTCGTTCTGCAGAAGACTAACAGTCTGTTTTACAGATTCAAGGATCGATCAAATTGGGTTACCTCGAGATAATGATTACTCAGTCTCGTGGGAATTTCCCTCAGTCGATGACTCTCCTAGTTGTTCCGAACAGACTTTGTCGACCCATGTCGAAACCGTTGAAACCAAAGCTCCTGTAAAGTATACTACTCAAAGGTATTCAAGTTTTTGCCCCTTTAAAAGTGCGTGGAGTGACATGAATACCCTTCAGAGATGATAGCGAAGCACTGACGAAGACCCATATGCAGCCTATGTCTTTAGAAGATGATAGGAAGGATATTGGGTATTCCGAATCCTTTCCATCTGAAGACCCGTTCCCATTTTTTTATCGAGACAAGAGAGAAAGTAACTCCTTTGTAGTCAGTAACGATGCAGCCTTGCGAATGACGAATAACGATCAGTTGAGTCGTTCCTCAGTGAATCAAACATGCGGAAATAGTTCTTTTGAAGAACCTTCATTGCACCATTTTCTTTCCAGTCCCAACAATAGCAATTTAGATCACTTACTTGCAGATAGTACTGTTGGAGACTTTCTTGGTTTGAAAAGGAGTCGTGCTGAAAATTTATTTGACTGTTCTAGTTCATTATCGCAAGCTTTAGTTCGTAGACGTTCAGCATCTTCTATTTCGGGAGGAGAAAAGAGAAGAGGAGAGGAATTTGTATTGGAATCAAGAAGACGTTTATCACTTGCGGAGGAAATGATGTTGGGAAGAGCAAGTGACGTAGAAACTTTTCCACAAGAAGAACGTTTTCCAAATTGGGAGACGAGGAAGAATGAAAATGATATTCAAAGTACATTGTTCGGTCTTTTTCAACGAATGGATCAACTAGAGCAAGAAAACTTTCGATTACGTAATAATCTGAATCATTTGGTTGCTCGTATCCCTAATCCTCATGAGAATGAACAACTCTATTAAGAGTCGAAGATGAGTTTTCCAATGAATATAGACTTCAATATGATCGAGGCATCATGTGCATCAATTATATTTACTCTATCATCCAATAAGTAGATAATAGAGTTGTTACAGATGAAGTTTTCCAAATGGACATAGAATTAACAGAAACTTGTTCTCCAAAGAGAATGAAATAATTTCAATTGTGAAAACTAAAATAGATTTGTTATTTCTGTACAGAGTCTCACTTTATTCATCTCCTACTTCCCTGGCATCCACATCAATCACAGATATAGTCGACTGCTTCTTCTTGTTTCCGTCTTTCCTATTCGAAGAGTCCTTGGCAATAATGACTTGATCGTCCACCGTCAACAAATATCCACAATTACTACAGGGAACTTCTCGACCTTTAATTCCCACTACTGGTGACGAACAGTTGGGACAAAATACCTAATTGTTTGTTAATTATAGAGTCCGAACGCAAGATAGAATACTCACTTGAACAACATTTTGGGTTACCCACCAACGAAACACCAACAACCCTATTATGGGAATGATACTGATTACAGAGAAGAAAATCAAAAACGAGTCAAATATCCACGAAATCTTCCCAGACAACACAAGATAACAAACGAGACCAAACAAAATAAACTGCCCATTTTCACTTTGAAAAAACTGTACGGTCTTTTTCAACCAGTAAACAACGGTGGATTGGTCAAACTTCAGCTTGGAAAAGAGAAAAAGTGTACCACACCCACTTTGGGATTCCCGTGTCGAGCGTTGAAATACTCTGTTTTTGCCAGACAGTATAGAACGCTGAAACTTGCCATCACAGCGGTGACATAGAGCACGAGCTTTCGTTGGCAAACTATACAATGGACAGTCTAGCAAAAAGCACCACATCGATTCCAATCCCCGAATGAAAAGGATGGTAATTATGTCTTCGTTCCTTACCTTTCACAATTATCGACTGCTCGATTGGTCAACTCATGGTCGAAATAACAAAAATCCACAAATGGTCATATCTTCTCTGATAATGATATGCGTGCTCAAGGTAAAAACATTCAAGTCTCTCCGATAGATACAACACGATCGCTTTTCCTAGTTAAGGTTTCTATTATCAGCCATATTCTTCATATTCTACGCTATGAAGTATGATAAAATGTTATTGTTGCTACCAAATAATGTTACTATCTAATTTCCAAGACCAGCAGTTCTTTTCGATAAATATACAAGTGAAAAGGAACATAAACTCTAACATATCACTTCAATCTTCACTCAGCCTTTACAAAAACAGAAAAAACTCTTGAGGTTTCTAAAACCAAAGATATTTTTGCTGCTTTCCGTATCAACACATCACTGCTTACATACAAGAATATATATATAATACAACAACAGTTCTTCCAAAGACCAAAAGAAACACTTGAAAACTTGCTGTCACAGGATGGAAATATTCTCACGTTTCTTCAAAGTGACACAGCAACCACCTCTCAAAGTCTGTGTTGCAACACCTATACTGGATAAAGTAATAGTGAGATAAAACAAACAACCAAAAAAATATATGATTCTACGCCCTATACGCATATATATACCCCCAAAAAACAAGTACCAGCAGCGAGGCTCGAACTCGCGACCTTCAGCATGTTAGGCTGACGCTCTAGCCAACTGAGCTATGCCGGCATCGTCCTGACAAAAATGCGCAATTTCTACAAAAGCTTTCATTTTATTGTAGCAAAGATAACAATTGTGCTGCACTTTCTCGAATATCCATATTTTCATGATGTTCAAGATAATATTCAGCAAACTCAAAAAATCCAACACGTTTCAACTTTTCTAACCATTGAGAAGCATCCAAGAGAACCAACTCACTAGCTAAATTGAGAGCCCTTCTAATAGCTCGCAAGTCATCTTCGTTTTGTACAGCATCACGCAAGACATTCTCTACTCCATCGATAACTTTTAACATATCCGTTCCTTGTCTATTATCAACGATTGAAGATACAGCAAGAAGAGCTGTAGTTCTCACTTTTGATTCCTTATCTCCTTCTGCCATATGCAACAATTTTTCCAGTCGTGTGGGTTGCATCAGGTATGTCTGGACCCATTCATTATTTTGTGCACATACTGCAAGTGTGTATAACGACAAAGAACGAACTCTAGCAGAATGGGAATTCAAAAGTTCAAGTACTCTTTCAAGTCCTCCTAATGCCATAATATCTTTTGCATTCTCCATTTTGTGTGCCAACTCTGCTAGTATTTCCAAAGCTTTTGTTTTCTCTGCTTCATTCTTTGCTTCAAACAATTCCACCAAGACAGAATACAACAAATCCTGCTCAAGTTCTGCATCATACTTGGCATTCAATGAACGAGCTTTCCTACTCCATGCACCGTTTACGTGACTTCGAGCTTTGCGGAAAAATTGGGTCACATGTTGAATAAAAGAAACACTTTCCTCTCGTTTCTGTTTATCCATTCCAGTTTCAGTTTCCAATAGTGGCTTCTTCTCAATCACTTTCTCAGTATTCCTATTGGTTGAGGCTAAAATGGACCACTGAAAAAGTTTGGCAACTGTGTCTATATCATCATTTCCCCTTTCCACTGGATTTTCTTCGTTCCTCATCTCTAGTAAAAGCTTCTCTTGGTTCACAGCAACAGCTTCCGACATTTCTTCTTCTTGCTGCGTTCCATCTTCTTTCTGCTCCCTTAAGACTTCTTCTACTGCACGTGTTTCTCTATCTTGTGCTTGTTTGAGCACTTTTGCCACTTTCCATTGCGTCTCAGGAGCAACTGAAGAGGAGTTGTGTATTTGAACTGCCTTCGTTTCCTCGACATTGCTTTGAACCACGAGTGATACTATTTGGCTATTTTCAGTTATAGTTACTTGTAGTAGAGATAAACATAACAAGAAGAGCAAACAGAGCTTTATCCATGCCATACTCAACAGGATCACAACATTCCATATCCAGAAATGTCACTTGGAGAATCCCTCTTTAACCATTACCGCATATTATTGATTATATTCCATCGAGAACACTGTAGATCACAAAACATATTTCAACTTCATCACAAGTTTCCTAGTTACAACTATATCCAAAACTCTACAAGGTTCATGACCGAAAACAATCTCCCACGTTCTATGAATACCATTTAGATGCCAACGTGGCATACCCTGCAATATGTGTTTTCTCAAGGCCTTCTACATAACTGGCAACCCATCCGGTGTGCAAGTTCAACAACACTCTCAACTCTTCACAACTGAGTAACATCGTTAAACCACAAAGTACAAGTTCCCATTGTTCTGAAACAAATGCATGTCCAGTGAGATATTGCAACCGTTGGCGTATTATTTGATAATATTTCTCACCCTTGTAACCATTCAGCTTTTCATATTGAAAAGTTATCTTTTTCCAATCATACAACTTTTCAAACACTTGCTCCTCATTAGATACCAAAAGATCCTCTCCTAAAAGTCTCCATTTTTTACAAACCACATCAGAAGATGGAAAGGGCCACTGAAACGAGTTATGCAACGAGAGTAATACATGAGAAAGTGGCTTGTATTGAAAACTACTTTCCATTACTTTCCAATAGTCTGCCAATGATATTCCAAAGCACATGCTGATATTCAATGCCTGTCTCCATTGCATCCTTTCCAAACATTTTCCCATATTTTGCAATAACAAGGCATTCACTGGATGAACTGCTCTGTCATCATTGCAACCAACAACTACTCCATTCTCCAATAAGCGCTTGTCTTCTTCTCGTATTTCAAAATCGGGATAAGAAAATAATCCTTCCATAGCAGCACGTCCTAAAAAGAGGACAACTTGTTCCGCAATGTCTATTCTTTCTTCATTCAAACAGGACTGTAATAATCTCCACGCATGCATCGCAGCCACTTGTAAATCCCACCATTCCTGTATGACCTTTAAAAATGCAGCTGCTATCGTCAAACGCTTCGTTAAACAGCAATTTTCAAAAAGCAAACAAGGCTCTCCTACATAAGAAAACAATAAATTCCAATACTTGCGATCCATTTTCCGTGCACAACCAACAATGACATCTTCATACTCTCCAAAGTACTTTGCAAGTCGCATGAAACGATCCAATGCGTACTCTTCATTTATAGAAAATGTCAAAGATGTTGAAGGCAATGGTTCCATAACTTGAAGCTCAGATGTTTCTTCATGTGATAGTGAACGATTGTTCCGCTTGGCTTCAACGTGTATCAGTAATTCATAAAGACAACGTTCCAAACAATTTTCAAAATGCTCCCATTCGGAACATGATTCCATCCATTTCAAACATTGCATGTCTTCCAATGTTTCGTCTGCAAGCCAACATAAGAAGAGTTTGCTTATAAACTCTTGTCGCTCTATTTGAATTCCAAAACAAGGCAGCCGACAGTAAATATTATCCAATGTTATCGTAACACTGGCAGTCTGTAAAGGACAGACACCTGCTAGGAACCCACCAAAACCAACAACGCCTAAAGGATAGATATTCAGGTCTCCATGGAACCACTTGTGTGAAACAAAACGAGAATTGTATGCCATGTTTGAAGGAGACTGGGTTAAGGAAGGCGAAACGCTATCTACTTGTGTGCAACTGGAATCAAATAGACAATAGATTCCTTCCTCAGCAACTGCCCAAATGATCAGCGGCGGACTATTCACTGTTCCAACAGGCAAACAATCGGTGTTGTGAAACCAAAATGAATGCACCATTCGTAATAATGGAACGGAAATACCATTAGAAATGTCAAGTAAAATGAGACTGCCGGTACTCTTCAAAAGCAGTACTTGATAAGGAATATCATTTTCACAAGGTTGCTTCGGATACAAACGAACGGAAGAGACAAAAGTTCCACAAGATCTCCATCTTGTTATTCTTCGTGGAGATGCTAAAGGAGCTTCTACAGTGATATGAAATGTCCAGCAAGTCGAATAAGTAAACTTGGTTTTGGAACGATCACTCTCGAGTTTCAACAGTCTGAGCTGCAAATCATCTGCAAAGACCAATACGAAGCCATCTTTTCGAGCATCTAATAAAAGAGGTGCTCCTTGCAAAGGTATCTGTGCCTGAATAGCTGAAAAATACAGGCTATCCCTGGGAAATATCAGCAACTCATAGCGATGAGTTTTCCGATTTTGAATAGCAAGTTCGTTTCCAATGATAATAGAACGTCCATACCAACAAAGACTACAGCACTGAATCATTCTCTCCTCAACGACATCACCAAAGAGTCGCCATCTTCTTGAACGAGTATTATAAATTGCCACTCCATGTTTGCCAGAAACTGCTACAAAGCTCTTGTCATCGTTGACCGAAATGGATCTCAAAGGCCAATTATTCGAAACATATTCATAAGGTGCTTCAATATGCCGTATCATCTTCTTTTTTGAAGACATCATATCGGGATAATGAATCATCGCGTTATCTTCCGAAACAAAAAAGTCAGGACCCAACAAAAAACTACGTGTGGCTTCATTCTGACAGCTTCCCTTTGAAAATCCAGTTTTAAGAAAACTTAACTCAAATAGAAGAAATGGAACAAATGACTGTGCTTCCCAATGGTTTCTCGTGTAGTCAATGCTGCCTAAAACAAACAAGGAATATCCAAATGCACCCCAACATACTGCTTTAGTATGTCGGAACAAATAACCTTGTTTGAAAGATTCCATTTTAGTTTCTCCATAAATGGATGATGAAGGATCCGTTTGTCCAAGTTGTTCATGGTTGTTCTGCATTTCTTGTATAGTCTCTGCAAGATAGCGCATTTCTTCTTTAGGATGTTCAAAAGATGAAAAAGTATGAAAAACACAATGACCAAAGTTTGACCATACAACAACGCCTGCCTTTTCATAGCCAACAGCAATACAGTTTCCATCGGACGTCCACTGAAGTGATACAACTCTACCAATATCCGAAACCGAAAAATACAAACTATCCAAAGAAAGACTTCTTAGACAGACCGGCTGTCCAGTCAAAAATACACTTGTATTGTAAATTTCCACCGAACCATTTCTGAGTCCAACAGCAGCAAGGCACTGTTGTGGTTCCAGCGCAATACAAGAAGCGTCATTTTCTCGTAAAATAAAGCAATCGTCTATTCCTGGAAGACTATGTCCTTCTTCCCCAACTTTTAAGAGCAGCGCAACGCCAGAAAAATTCAAAGTCAACCCACAAAGGTCAGTACCATTATGATAGTCCAAAGAGACAGAACCTTCTGATCTTCCATTCTCACAACCGATAGTATCTAACGAAAGCAACCTCCCAATGGACGTGCGCCAAAACAACTCTCCTTCCCACGAAACACAAATCACTTCTAAAGTGGAGTTCACCAAGATAATTCCTGAAGGACAACTTTTACAAGCTAGGATGCTCTCTTCTTCGCTAGAGCTAATATCTTTCTCTATCAAAAGAATTGGCAAAATATATTCATCTGCCCATTTGTTCGTTGATTGACTCTCCTTTTCTTGGCTATTTCCTTCTGAAGAAGAAACAAAGTCAAACCAAGATGACCTTCCAGGAGGAGCGTGAAAAGGTTCGAGCTTATATATCAGCAAGAAACTTCTTTCCAACAATATCGCACACCTGTTGCCGTCATATCGAAAACAACAACCTTTCACAGAACCCTTCTCTTTATTATAACGACAAAGAGAAAGCTTTCCAGTCACTACTCTTATTCTTCCAGTGGTCCAAAACACCACTCTATCGTCATAAAGCACTGCAAGCTTGCTTCGATGTTCATCAATAACTAAGTCAATAGGGTAAAATGTCTCACTCTCTAAACTTAAACTTTCGTTATGGAGCTTCGGACTCAATACTTTAGGCCAGCCATAACCAAAACTCGCCATGCCATGAGAATTCGACTAACTGCCAATTCAATTTTCGATGACGTTTATTAGTTCATCATGTTGCTGTGCTAAGAGAAATCACACTTATCCTTTGTATGCAAGACAGGTTTCTACCAATTATTGTACAACTATCTATTATTGGAGTTTTTCAAAATATCGCTACTTTTCTGAAAGATTGGCTCATCCAATCAGTTGGAGACTCTTTCCAAGAGACAGAACTTCTTTGTTCAAGGCGTCTTCTTATAGACAAGTTACTGCAGTGATCAACTCGAATGATATACGTCCAGGAACGACTATTCTTGTCGATGGCTCTGTACACCGTGTAATCGAATTTCTTCACGTCAAGCCAGGTAAGGGCGCGGCTTTTGTAAGAACCAAACTGAAGAACCTGGAAACCGGATCTACCGTGGAAAAAACTTTTCGAGCTGGTGAACGTATTGATGAAGCTACCTTGGACAAATTGGATATGCAGTTAGCGTACATAGAAGGCGAGCAGTACGTGTTTATGAATCTAGAGAGCTTGGATGAGGAAAGAATATCAAAAAGTTCTCTATCTTCGGCAGCTCAGAAATACTTGAAGGAAGGGGAGAGTGTCAGTATTCTCAAACACAATGGAAGAGTTTTAGACTTGGAGATACCTCCCAATGTTGTGTTGGAAGTAGTTTATACAGAACCGGGTATCAAGGGAAACACTGCACAAGGTGGCACAAAGCCCGCCACTCTCGAGACAGGTGTCACTGTGAACGTTCCTTTATTTGTTGAAACTGGAGATAAAGTTAAAGTGGATACTCGAGAAGATAAATATATCTCTCGAGCTTGACTTTTTTGATCATTCATGTTATTTGTGGTATTTTTCATTTAATATAACACTGCCAAAGAAACTGTTGTTGTTTTTGTTGTATATCACTTATCATGAAGAACCATGATGATAAGACTTGAGAGATAACAATGAAACTTTGTTACGAGTCACCCACCGGCATATAGGATAGGCAGCGAGGTATAGACTGTACAACGATAATAAGAAACATTGCAACAAGTTGGGTTTTTTAGTTGTGCTTTGTCTCGATATTGTTGTTGCTTAGATATCTTCACAACTTGTATGATCGGCGATATAAAGCTATCATTGGATCCTCTACACAACGAAAGGAGAATCAAAGGCGGGTCGACACAATAGCATATCAATCCCATGGACAAAGGAGTTCCTTGAGCCACACGATTTCATCCACGTGCAAACATTTTCCCGCTCAACTTTGTACGAGTCCGTTGGTTTCAAGAACAGATCAGCTTCTTTCGGGCAGATCGAGGCTTCCAAGACACGTCAGGCACTTGCTCATGGGAAATTCTGATATTTTTGAAATTTTTGGAATTTTTGGCTTTGACAAATGAAAATAGCTTCCTACAGTGGATAGTTTGACAAATCTTTTAGAATTGCGATGAGCTTAGAAAGCACTTTTATGAACTTAGACTCCAAGTCCACCAATCTTGATGACCAGGTAATTTTAGAAAGCCTGAGTTCTTCTTCACTACATCCTCATGTTATCAAACCCTCCAAGTCGATCGAGACTTCGGATATAATGTCGACTAGTTTTCAGAAATCAAGTGAACAACCCGAACCTTCTTCAGACTGTATATCCAGAGAGTCCTTTACCAACTCTTGTCATACAGCTCCAACAGTTGAAGCTTATCAAAACAGAGAGTCTATGACCAAGAAAAAGGAAAATTCGGAGGGCAAAGCATTGTCACAAGAAGACTTGAAACGTGAAAGAAACAGAAGATTGGCAAGAGAATTTCGTGCGAGAAAGAAAGAAGAAATACGTTTATATCGTTCAACTATCGTCAATTTAACTCAAAAAGTTCGGACGCTAGCAGCAGAAAACCAAAAATTGCAGCAAATCGTAAAAGAAATACAAGAGAAAAAAACAACCAATCATGAAGAAAGAAGAGCTGAAAAACACAAAGATGAACAGATCAAAAAGCTTCAGAAACAAGTTCTTCTTTATCAGATTTTACTACAACGGTTGAAAGATAATGCCAATCAGGATTTTGGGCAAGAAAGAGAGAAACAACGTTGTTCTACTGTGAGTGGAAACCCACATTCATTATTAGAAAGTTACTCATCTCCGCTTCCCTCTATCAAAACTTTGACTCAGATGGATTGTGAGACAACACAACCTGTCTGTTCACCAGATCGAGAACTGCAACAAAGAAGACTCTCTAGAAGTTTTACAATTCCTTCCTTAGTTGATGTTCCATTGTCAAATTTACTGTCCCAAGAACTTGTCGATTCCGGGACAAGTCCCGCAAACATTCTTATGATAGCCATACAGAATCCAGGTGTACAGATTGCTCCTCTAGCAGTCCCCCTAATAACTTGCATGGTTTGAGTACTCATCTTTTTTGTACTCCCATGTTGGATTCTCCACTTGTTTACAACTCCAGATCAGGTAACAGGGATAGCTCGCTTTCCTAGCCAGCAATTGAGAGTAAAATTGTAGCTGAGATACTAAACTGTAGTTTCTATGTGGCTTTTTATCATATCTGAGATAGTTGTAAATTCAATAAATACCCCAAAACTTTATCATGGAAGAAGGTTCCCGTACAAGTCCTCTTATACCAATTTTAGAGGATCGCCATCAACATGGAAGAAATATCCATTTTGACTTTAAAATGGCCTAAGAGAGAATAGTATAAAGCCATTTGGCCACTGGTTTAAAAATTCTCTCAACAATCTTAGCGACAACGATGTCGTAATTCTAAACTATTGTTATCCTGAAGATTGCCTTCAAGGTACTAAAGGACAGAATGGTTTCAATTTTCATAATTTGAACAGTTTTCAGTGATCTTGACAGCAAGTTTGAGGTTTGCGGATTTCCAATCAGCTAGACAAAATTGGCAGTTTCCAAAGCTTGTAGACTTGTTCCTTCCAGAACCTTATTCTTGTCACCACCTTTTGTTATAACATATTTCCTACTATTTCCATTTCATCTGCTATCCGTGAGGTTCAAGTTTAACAGAACTGACAACGATTCTGTTTACTTTGGATTTGCAGACAATTGAAATCTTCTTGAGTTTGAGAATATATTCTTAGCCACAAGTTTCTTTATTATAAACAAACGATATTATGGCGGAAGGAAAGAAGAAATCATTTCTTGCTGAAGAAAAACTTACATATCCATCTGCGCAAAAAGGTTTCACTTGTGCCACTTCAACAAACGTAGCTATATACAAGGCTATTTACAAAAAGAAGCCCAAATGAGATATATACAGATATTATTGACCCAAAACGCTATCACCAAGTGCTTGTGCAGCGTTTAATAACACCGCCACACTATGACGCCACTGATATAAGGTTGGCTCCTTTTCGTGACCCAAAACTTTACGTCTTTTCGCTTCCGGGAGGAAAGAACGGGTATTTTGTGTTCCCTCCCTCTTCTCAGGAAAGTTGCCATATTCTTCAACTTTTTCATCTTCCGTCTCTGAATGCGATGAATCCAGTTCCAAAAGCGCAGGAGTCATATCCTCCATATCTGAATCTGAGTCTATACCTGACACAAACCAAACCCTTTTCACTTTGGCTCCGGACTGCTGGTCCTTGAAGTTTACAGGAACGGGTGCCACTAGTGGTTCTCCTTCATCCCCAACAATCTTGTTTCTTTCACAAGGGGAGTAACGCCACAAATTACCCCTTTCATCTGGTTGGTGACGTCTCCGAGAGTAGTTTTCGGCAGCTTTGGCCGCAATAGATGTTGCTGTAGGGGCAATGAGCGCTTGTGAGTACCACGCTTCTAGGTCGAACAAGTTGTTTCCCTTCCCTTGTTCCCTCAAATGGTCTTCTTTCTGCTTCCAGTTCTCAAGTTTTTTGACAGGGTTTCTTCTTTTTCTAGAGGATACCGGGTGGGGTAGCGGAACTTCGGTGGGGTGTTTCTTAAGAGAGTCGGATCTTGTAGGACTAACCCCATCATAAAGCTTGCCCTTTTTCCATCTCACACCACAAGCATTACATAGTGTTTTTGGCCCTTGGGGACCGGTTCTCCAAAGCGGAGTTTCAGTTGCTCCACATACCACACAAACGTACATTCCTCAATTCTCACTAATCGCTTTCCAGTTACACCGCCTTTATAGCAAACTACGTTGCTCTCCTTTGGCCAATCCGATTTTCGTTGAATGGGCAGAAATGGACAAAGACCAACTAATCCATGTGGTGCTTTCTAGACGCGTTTATCTGGAAGCATCCAAGAGAAGCTCAAGTTGGTTGAATCCTTTAGATAACTTGTGTTCCTATAGAAGAGAACACACAGAGAGTATACTTGAGTTCTAGTTCTCTCGTCCAGGTCTTTGAAAGACTTGAGTTTGCAAGACTGTTTTGATACCGCTGAAAGTTTGTTCTGAATAACGACCTTTGAAGGAAATAGCTGTTATCTCGTATTACGGTTGTCACTATACGATAGCTCAAAGAAAGGTAGTCAACGTAGCTCATTCATTTACTCATATTTCAATATGGATAGAACTCAGAATATGTAAGGTCTAGAATAAACATACCCTTTATCATGAATAAGAAATCCTCAAATAGTACTGTTTCACTATATAGCTTCTCATCAACCTCTTGCTTTTGGTTTCGTTAAAAACGCTACTATTTCAATTATCTATAGTCACCGTTGAAGAGTTTTAAATCGGGCCATTCAATCCCATGACCAGCGGAAGTCGAATGGATCAGGTTGATGCTCAACCAACTGACACTATCGTTCCTGTATTAGAAGAAAGCAAAAACTTGAAAAATGAACAAAATACACCTGAAACCTGGCACTTAAAAGTTTTACGTCTTTTAAATCTTAAGAAAGGAACTTCCAAGGGAGATAAACCCGCAGCCAATTTGCACACTTTTCGAAAATTGGTTGCCCTAGAGTTTAGAGGCTCACCTTTTATAATCTGTTTGGGTCTTCTAGCAGCTATCATGGAAGGTGCTGTGCTTCCTAGTTTTGCAATTATTTTTGGCAAAAACTTCAATCTGTTTACGGAAAGTTCCAGTGCCATACAAAGTACTACTTGGAAGTACTCTTTGGCCTTTTTTGCTCTCGGTGTAGGTGTCAACATATTGGCTTATATACGTGTATCCACCTTTGGAGTTGCAAGTGAGAAACTTTCCAAGAATCTAAGAACAGCTGCCTTTTCTAGCCTTGTTAGGCAGGTAAATGCTCATGCTTCTTTGTCTCATAGTAGAATGCTATATATGAATTACACTAGGAAGTCTCCTATCATGATATACAAAAATCAGGAGAATTGGCTAACAGACTGAGTTCAGATGTATCTCTAATTCAGACTGGATTGGCTAAGGCTGGACAGTAAGGAACATTTTTTCTCAATGACATGTATTACAACAGTTTATGTCAGATATATCATGAATATCTCGCAATGTGTGGTTGGAGTTATTATTGGTTTAGCATTTGGACCTGCTTTGGCTGGAGTACTGATTGCTCTATCACCTCTCATTGCGCTTTCGGGTGCTATTGAGATGATGCAGTTGAGTGGTTCAGTGAAAAAGGGTTCTGAAGCATATAATGTGGCAGGTTCTGTAGTATCAGAAACCTTGTCTAACATCCGAACCACCAAGGCCTTTTGTGCGGAAGACTATGAAGCCTCACGTTACGAGGAACGACTTGTTCCTGTATACAAAACGGGAGTAGTGAAATACAACAAGGAAGGCTTATTTTTAGGCTTTTCCATGTTGACCATTTTTAGTGTTTATGCCTTGGCATTTTGGTGGGGTGGGACTTTGATTGCAAGACATAGTCTTAATAGTGGTGATATGTTGACAGGTGTGTATCATAGAAACTTTCATAGTTCATAATGTATGGTTTGTAGTTTTCTTTTCTGTAGTGATTGGTTTTGTTGGTCTTGGACAAGCAGCTCAAGTTTGGCCTGATGTAACAAAAGGAATAAGTGCCTCAGAAACCTTATTTGAAATCATTTCTCGCAAACCAACCTATCGAAAATTTTTGAGTGTTGAGAAGCAGCAACTACAACTTGAACATAGTATTCAGTTTGAACATGTATCTTTTGCCTATCCTACTCGACCGGATGCCATTATATTGAAAGATTTTTCAATCGATATACCAGCTGGTAAGACAGTTGCTCTAGTTGGACCAAGTGGGAGTGGCAAATCTACGGTCGTTTCACTTTTGGCTCGTTTTTATGATGTGGAACCTTATCATGGAGAAATTAGAATCGATGGTCGTTCTATATTTGAATATTCACCCGAGCAAATTAGAGCCAATATCGGTTTAGTATCTCAAGAGCCTGTGTTATTTTCCGGAACGATAGAAGAAAATATTCTTTATGGCAACCGAAATGCGACAAGAGAACAAGTGGAGGCCGCAGCAAAAGCATCCAATGCCCATCATTTTATTATGAGTCTACCTGATAAGTATCAAACCCAAGTCGGTGATCGAGGTATTCAGCTTTCAGGTGGTCAGAAGCAACGTATTGCTATTGCAAGAGCTATTTTAAAGGATCCCAAACTTTTGTTATTGGATGAGGCTACTTCAGCATTGGATGCAGAAAGTGAGTCGTTGGTACAAGTAAGTTTTTACAAAGTCTCCATTTTGGGAAGATTGACGATTTGAATAGGAAGCACTGGACAGACTGATGGAAGATTCCAAACGTACAACTGTGGTGATTGCCCATCGTCTAACTACTGTTAGGAATGCCTATTTGATAGCTGTACTGGAGAACGGGGTACTCGTGGAAATTGGCAATCATGATACTTTGATGAGTAAGGAAGATGGCATTTATCGGAATTTAGTTCATCGACAAGTATTTGTGGAAACCAAATCCAATGATCTTTCATAAGCTTATTGTGGATTGGTCAACAATGCGTCTTGTGATTCGATCCCGTAGTGGAAAGCAACTTTGTGAGGTTCAAATAGAAGAATCACTCACAGTATATCAGTTGAAAGAGAAAATCACAGATAAAAGTAGGTACTTGATGTACAAAAAGTTGTTTGTAACCATAAAGTTTCCTTAGTTCCCCAATTGATTCCATCCAGACAACGGTTGAGTATTGAAACCAAGGACTCGAAGAGAACTGTTCTTGATGAGACCCAAAGTTTGAAAAGTTATCCATTACAAGACAATAGCATTGTTTATTTGAAAGACTTGGGGTTACAAGTTTCCTGGAAGTTGGTCTTTTTCTTAGAGTATTTGGGTCCGTTGTTGATCGTTTCCCTATTGTCGCTTCAACCGACCGCTATCTATCCTTCCAAAGTACTTGGAAGAGAGCAAAAGTAAGATAATCTTCATCTTTGATATTTTTTCCAACACGAGATAGGGTTGCTGTGATGTTGTGGTTGTTTCACTTTGGGAAGCGAGAGTTGGAAACCTTATTTGTTCATCGATTTAGTCATTCGACGATGCCGTGGAAGAATCTTGTGAAGAATTGTTCCTATTATTGGGGGTTTGCTGCTCTTATTGGTTACTTTTTGTGCCATCCTTTGTACACCCCCGTTCCTAGTCCTTTGTTCTATTTAGGTATTTGTATTTTTGTGTTGGCCGAATGTGGAAACTTTGCAACTCATTGGATGCTACGTCAATTGCGTTCATCATCTGGGTCCAAAACCAGAAAGATTCCTCGAGGCTTTCTATTTGAATATGTATCTTGTCCTAATTACACTTTGGAAATAGTCGCTTGGTTAGGATTCAATATGATGAGCAACACTTTATTAGGTTGGTTATTTATGTTTGTGGGTGCGATACAAATGACACTTTGGGCACAAAAGAAACACAGACAATACCTCTTAGAGTTCAATGGTAGTCATTCCAAACCTTTGTATCCTTCCCAAAGAAAAAGAATATTTCCATTGTTATATTAAAGTTGGCTTTCTATTACAATTTTATGTTGTTGGATGATTGATGGATAAACGAAAGCTTGAAAAAGGTAAGCAACCCCTGTTGTGGATATTTACAACTCAACTAGGGAAAGAGTTTTTAGAGGAGGAGGAACAAAGTCAAACAGAGTGGAAGAAACGAAGAAAACAAGACAACTTGGAACAAAGTTCAGAAACGAGTCAAGACGATGAACAGGACTGGGGAAGACAAGGGCAGGAAGACGACTATGAAGATGATGAAGAATACAGTGAGGAAGAAGAAGAAAATAACAAAGAATATTCATCTAAGAAGAAAAAAAGGTCTTCCAGGTTTATCGAGTTGGAGGCGGAAGTAGATGAAGAAGATGACGATGAGGAAGCTGAAGAAGGTGACGAAATAGAACGAGAGCTAATCGACGATGAGGAAGCAGAAGAAGTTGAAGATACTATGGCGTCTGTACAACAAAGAAAGGCGCTTTTGGACAGAATGCGTTCGGAAAATCCTGAAGAGCTGAGACGCTTTGTAAGAGAACGATATGGTGAAGTGGATGATGATGATGAAGAAGAAGAAGAAGAAGAGGAAGAAGAAGAAGTTCAAGGACTGCAAAGAGAATATATTAAAGACAAAGGTATTGAACAACAAGGTTTATTGCCTACTGTGCAAGACCCAAAGCTATTTCTGGTTAAGTGTCGAATTGGAAGAGAAAAAGAGGCAGTTATTTGTCTTTTACAGAAATATTACGAATATAATCAAAAGAAAACTCCTTTGGATTTCTTTTCAGCAGTAGCACCAGAACATCTTCGTGGATATGTTTATGTGGAAGCTTATACGGCAGATAGTGTAAAAGAAGCCATCGATGGTTTGAGAATTCTATTTCCAAGCACCTTAAAATTGATTCCAATAGAAGAAATGGTTGATGTACTAAGTATAGTGCCAGAGACTAGTCAAGTTGAACGAGGTGGATGGGTTAGAATATCTAGGGGAACCTATGCTGGTGATTTAGCCCAAGTGTATGACTTTAGAGAAGGCGAAACAAATGTAACAGTGAGACTTATACCTAGACTCGACCTTCAGGAAATGAGGAATGAGGACGAAACAGACAAGAAAAGACTCTCCGTCAACAGGAGGCCTCCACAGAAACTTTTTAAGAGAGAAGAAGTTGAACAAATTGTTGGCTCGGAGGTATTTCCCAGAAGAGATCGTTATACCGGAGAGGTATTTGACGTATTTAGAAATGAAAACTATCGTGATGGATTGCTATATAAACGAGTATCTATACGCAACATTGTAACCGGTGACGAAGTTGCACCCACTTTTGAGGAATTGGAAATGTTTCACAAGGCTCAGCGTTTGGCTTCCGACGCAAAACATGTCGAAGATAACCAACAGGAACTGGAAGATACGATGGAAAAGACTTTAGAATTGTCGCTGGATACATTATCCTCCGATGTTGAGAAAAATATGAACTTTTGTGTTGGCGATAGTGTGATTGTGGTATCAGGTGACTTGAAAAATCTTAGTGGAAGAATAGAAGCCATGGAATCAGATAATATGGTTGCAGTACGTCCAGATGATCCGGAACTTAAAGGAGAGCTCATTCAGTTCTCAAAAGAGGAATTGAAAAAATATTTTCGAGAAGGCACTCATGTCAAAGCAATCAATGGTCGTCATACTGGAGAAACGGGAATGGTAGTTGGCATTTCTGGAGATATCATTACCGTATTTTCTGATATTACAAATGAAGAAGTGCGGCTTCATATTTCTCAATTGACCGAAACTACCGAAGAAAGTTCTTCTAAAAGTGTAATTGGAAGTTTTGAACTTTTGGATCTAGTCACGCTTCATAGTGATCCTCGAGCTCGTGGAGTTATTGTCCGCATTCAAAGAGATCATGCCACGCTTTTGGATACGAATGGGTCAAATAGAACAGTTTCGGTGAAAGATATTCGCAGTAAATTGGATGCTAAACGAGCACAAGCTTTAGACATGAATCAGAAACCTCTTCAAGTAGGAGATATGGTAAAAGTGGTTCAAGGAGTACATAAGAACAGAGAAGGCTCTATTCGACATGTTGCATCACCTTTTGTATTTGTGAATGTAAAGGATGAGCCTCAAAACTGTGGCCTTATTGTTGTGAGAGCACAAAATTGTCAAGGTCCTCATAGTGTACATGGAAATTTCAATATGACTGGTCAAAACAGTATGAAGGGAGCTACCTTATCTTCCATGTTTTCTTTGGGAGGAAATAGATTCAAGACTGATGCCACGTTGAGTCATCCTGTATATTCCGGTAATATTGGAAAAGGTCACAAGGAAGACGACAAATTGGTTCGTCAAGATGTGTTGATCAAAAGTGGTCCGTGGAAAGGTTATATCGGTAAAGTGGTATCGGCTACGACAGCTTCTGTTCGAGTTGAATTGGACTCTGTCTGTAAAACAGTGACAGTGGACAGAAGTCGTGTTGTGCCAAAGGATACAGCGCATTTGGAAAAGCAGAAACAATCTTTACAAGGTGCTTATACTCCCTCTTATGAAATGGGGAGTCAAACGCCGGCATATTCTGGAGGGAGTTCCATGGCAACTCCTCTCCATCATGTCGGATATACACCAGTTTATGCCCCTTTTACTCCTACCTTGGATAGTGGTCGGCGTGATGCACCGAGAACACCTATTCATAATGCGTGGAGACCAACGACACCTGGTGCTGCTGATTATTCTAGCGGAAACAAGTGGTCCGATTTGGGTCTTTCCATGTACTCACCGTTTGCTTCACAAGAGACTGGATTAGCAAGTCAAAAAACACTTGCTGAAAACAACGCCATTTCTGAAAGTGTCGATGACAAGAAAGTTGACCATTCACTATCTGTTGCAAAGGCATGGATAGATGTTCTCGTGGAACACAAAACGAAGACAACTATTCGAGGTTATGTTGGTGGACATTCTCCTGATGGTATGTATCTGCAAATAGAATTGGAAGATGGGAACTCTGGCTCCTATGCCTTGTCAGATATGCAAATGGTAGCTCCCGAGAAAAGTGATGTGATAAAAGTAGTGGATGGGGAGTACACTGGTATGAAGGGCCATCTGCTCAACGCTGAAGGTGATGAAGGGATCGTCCAATTTGAAGATGGTGAAATTAAAATTCTCCCCGTTTCCAGTTTGGGCAAAATTCGTGGATAACGTGAAACCTGTTTTTCCATAGTTGGTGTTACATAGTATATGCAAATGGGTGGTATTTATGTCGCTTTCATCCTTTTTTTTCGCCCACATCTTCTTTTGCAGTCTTTTGAATCCCATAAATAAAAAACGAATCCGTTCAAGATTTTCTTGAAGCAATCCATCTCCGCAAATACGAGAAGCCAACTACCATCTGTATATATACACATGCACACACGCAAATATATATATATATATACCTATCCAACAAGCTTTTGACTTGCGAGTAATCGGTTCACTCATACATGTGCTATTGATCAGAAGACCCTGTTTTTCCTGTTTTTCCTTGCGTTCAGAATAAATAAATTCCGGACATGATAATCAATGAAAAAGACTCGGCTATTTTATTTCAATCATGCTCTTCAATGATGAAGCTCTCGGCGTCGATGTCAAAGTGCGTTATCAATAAAAATGAAACCGACTTTTTCTATTCTTTAGGATAAAACAAATTGAGACTTTTAATGCAGTAAAAGAAAATGAAAACAATATGGTTCTGTGAAAACGCAATTGTTTAAAAGAACGTTAACAAGAACAAAGAAAATTGGAAATAGCCAAAAAGGGTCCTCCTGTTATTACCTTTAATGAAAAAGAGCAATTAAAAAGAAAAACGTTTCAAAGATATCTTCAACAGTTTCTTATTAGCAAGCAAGTAAAAACATGAAACCTTCGGCATAAAAAGAAAGACGACAATTAAAAAAAACTTTATAAAACCTCAAATAAATTTAATTCGAAAAAGAGAGTCACACATTTAAAGGAAACATTGGCCTTTCCCATTTAAATTTTGTGACTGTAAAGAATGATGGTGAATTAATTTTGCTCAATTGCCAAATTGGAAAACAAGACAAATTTAGCAATGACACAAACTTTTAATATTAATTAGAGTTGCATTATTTTTTGGGGACAGAACTTTTGTCAATTTTAAAATTTTCTTTATAATTTTTCAATTTTATTATCCTGTCTTTATTTTTTGTTTGTCAATAAAGTTTCTTTTAACTCCGTCATAACTGTCTTGAATAACGCTTGATATCAGCAATCGAGTTTAAGAAAAAGCTTTTTCTGTAACAACATATAAATGTATGGTTGCTCTGCTATTCACTTTTGGATTAAAAGACCCTGATGTAGAGCTCAATCGTTCTGTGCGAATTGCTTTGTCTTTTCGGCGTGCAAGTGTCGTTAGATGGCCTCAATACCTTTTTCCGACCCCGAGGAATATCGGAAACAGTTCGGTTCTGCTGCAGAGAGAAACAAATTACCAATACTAGAAGCCCTGAAACGGCACGTTACGGTGGAACGCGCTAAAGCTTTGGAGGTATGACTTCAATACATTGCTATGACCACTGTCACCTTTATTTAGTTAGCAAGCGGTATTGGCACCCATGTTTCGTTCTTCGCAGAGAATTTTCCGAATTGGACTTTTCAAGTATGGTTTTTGTTTTGAATTATTGTGAGAAACTCATGATGGATAGCCAAGTGACGTTGATCCAGTTCATGTGGAGTTGATTGCTCAGAAAACCCAGCACTTGAAGAATGTTTTACCTCCAGTTGTTCTGAACGTGAGTTCGGATAACTTCGCTGATACTTTGAACGACGAGGTATTACACGTTCCCAGAGTTCTAAAGGACTTTTATTTACTTTTCGTAGTATGACATCGTTATGGTTAGCAATTTGCTTCATGTGGCAGGTTGGCAGGTTTCTATTGGATTGTTTCACGGTTGTTCTAGGTAAGCAAAAAAAGGGAAGCTTGATACAATAATAAGTTTGACGCTTTCTTGAAGAGTACTGAGAACGGATGGATTATTGTTTATTTATGGCCCGTTCAAACGAAACGGGACTTACAACGCAGGTATGTTTTATACCATTTGCAATTGAAAATTGACAAGTTGTTTAGAATCCAACCAAAAATTTGATGAATTTCTAAAAAGTCGCAATCCAGAGGTATCTCAAGTCACTTTACAAATCGATAACCCTTATTCTCTGTGGTCAACTAGTTTGGTTTAAAGGATATCGATGATTTAGAGCGTCTCGCACACGGTTGTAAGGTATGAAAGATACATCATGTACCATATGAAAAGCTCACAGCTATGTACAGTTTTCTTTATCACATATTCTCGATATGCCAGCAAACAATTACATTTTGGTATTTCGAAAAACTTCACATCTTTCGCCTTGAAAAGGGCCTTGCGTCCTTTCCATTGTGCTGCAAGTAACATCTGTCAAACTGTAAAGTTTTGAGAAAGTTCAGACTTGTCAGCTATTTCTTCGTCTCTTCAATGAATGGCTATTCCTATAGTAAGAACACCCGTTTTGTGAAAACAAAAATCATTCGTCGGTATTCTTGGCTTTTTGAAAAACTTGGAGTGGCGAACCACTCCGAAAACCGTGAATCAGCTTTTCCAACTCTGCTGGAACCGACTGGTTACGACTGCGAAAATATTTTGCAAGTTCTCTTGCGAAAGCCTTGTCTTTCCCTGTTAGTAGCGTATATGCTGTTCCTTTCCTTCCCGCTCTTCCTGTACGGCCAATGCGATGAACATACCATTCAATGTTTTTAGGCGTCTCATAATTGATTACAGTGTTAATTTGCTCAATATCTAAACCGCGGGAAGCTAAATCAGTTGAAACCAACAGGCGAATATCTCCAGTTCGAAAGAGCTTCAGAAATCCGTCACGATCTTCTTGAGATGTCTCCCCATGAATCGCACAGGTGGGAATATTGTGAGACCTTAGTTGATTCGTAAGGCTGGCACAACTCGCACGCGTTCCAACAAAAACAATAACGTTGCCTCGTTCCAAAAACTGTGGTAAATGCTCGCACAACCAAGATATCTTTTCGTCTTCCGAAGAAACAAACTTCACCACCTGCTCAATATCTTCATTTGCCGACCCAGCTTCACCAACAGTTATCCTTACAGCTTCCGCTATAGTTTCTCTCACTAGTTGCTGCACACGGTTACGAAACGTCGCCGAAAAGAGACAAACTTGGCGATCTGGCCTAATCTGACCTAAAATGGAACGAACTTGAGGTTCGAAACCTAGGTCAAGCATCCTATCTGCCTCGTCTAGGACCAGAAAAGTAACTTGTTGCAAACTGCAACCTTTGCTTTTAATCAGGTCAATTATTCTTCCAGGAGTGCCAACCAAAATGTCTACTCCTTCTCTCAGTGATTTGATTTGTTCATATTTCGGGTCGCCGCCTACTGTGAGTAGTACTCTCAGTCTAAACTTGATAGCTCCTAGTTTACGAATTTCCGAAGCTATTTGTTGAGCTAACTCTCTCGTGGGTGCGGTCACAAGCGCGATGGGTCCCTGTCGACGTTTCGGCCTCGGCTGTGCCCAAACATGGCGTATCATAGGCAGGGAATATGCAGCAGTTTTCCCTGAACCTGTCTGTGCGATTCCAATAACGTTGCAACCATATAATATTGCAGGAATTGCTTGCGCCTGAATTGGTGTTGGTTTATCATAACCAGTTTCTTCTATGACTCGAATCAAAGTTTCTGGTAGCCTACTTTCACAGAATGAATTTATCGGACCAGGGCACTCACCAGTCACGTGAATATTCTTCTCTGTTCTCTGTATCAACTTTCTGTGATCCCCTGAGTCTTTACTAGTTGAATTGTCACTCCAAAAGTTCTTCTGGAACGGCCAACAAGAAAAATTTTGAGGTTCTAGTGGTTCCAGAGAGTGAACTGTCTTTCTTTTCTTCACGGCTTCCACTTCTTCATCGTCAGTCAAACCCTCGTCTTGTGTTTCACTTGGGGTATTCGTCTCCGGAGCCTGCTTTTCTTTGTAGTCAAGATAACTTGCCACAGGGTCTTCAAAGTCTACTTGCAATTCTTCTGAAACTAACAGGTCTTTCTTCGTGTCGTTAATTTCATTTTGTTTCTCTAGATTTTCCATAAACGCGTCAAGGGGGTCTGTTTCCGGAAGAGACTCATTCTTTTTGGAAGTTTTCAGTTTCAGCTTTGATTCGCGGTCATCGAGTAAACTTTTGGAAACACATGTTTCTGGTCTATTTACTTGAATAGTCGATTTTTCCAAACGAAAACCAGAGAAACCAAACTTGCGACTGTTTTCAGTCATTTTGGCGCTTTTGGACAGAGAGAATCATATTAGCATTTTTTTTCAGAAAACAATTGGATGAAAATGATAGTGGAGTCCAACGACGTATTTGTTTTTCCTGGAGATAAACTCTTCAAGTTGGAGAACGGTGACAACATCAGAATAGGTCAAGGGGTTGTGAAAAGGGGAGATGGTTTAGTAGCGTTGAAACCTGGATATTTGCACAAGGATGGGAACAAAATTTGGATTGAAACAGCGCAAAAGCGAGTATGTGTGTGCATATTTTTGTTTGTCGTTCTTAAGATGATTTTCCCTAGTATATACCTACTGTTGGAGACCTGGTTATAGGTATCATCGTCGATCGTTCATCGGATTTCTATCAGGTTGACGTTGGTGGGTTTTCAACTGCGCTCTTGCCAATCCTGGCTTTTGAGGGAGCTACCAAGCGTAACAGGCCACATTTATCAGCTGGTTCTGCAGTTTATGCTCGAGTTGTTTCAGCTGATAGAGATTCGGAACCTCAGTTATCCTGTTTGTTGCCCGGAACGCAGCACAGTTGGGTGACAGGAGAAACCATTTTTGGAGAATTAAGCCAAGGGAATCTTATTCACTGTTCCATCAGTCTTTGTAGAAATATTTTATTGGGAAGAAATTCTGTATTTACTGAGTTGGGAAAATATATCCCTTTTGAACAGGCAACCGGAATGAATGGACGTATATGGGTTCGTTCTCAGTCAGCTGGTCACATTGTATTGCTCTCTAATCTCATCATTTGTTCAGAAAATATGACAAATGATCAGTTGAGTGCAATGATAAAAAGTTTGGTTTCAAAAATATCGACACAAACATCAACGACGACAAGTGTATAGTCGTTTAAATAGCCGAACTTGAACCATATTCTGATATCTTATTGTGACCTTTTGATCACTTTTATTTAGTTATCGTTCTATGATGCATGTCATCATGGATGATTATCTTGACAACTTGGAACAGCTGTCGGCTCATTTTGAATAGCATGTTAGAAGAGACTTTATCATCTTGTCGATTCTTTGATTTACGGCACTTTAGAGTTTGATATACAGCGTCCATGAGGTACCTGTGTTGTGAGTTTTCATAATCCAGCCAATAGCTACAGCAAGCATAGATGAATTGTGCATAACTGAATGGAGAGTCAAAGGAGTAGTCTATCATCTCGATGATGCTATGTGTCCACTCCCATTCGGAGCTCAACAATGCAAAATAGTCAACCTGTGTGTTTTGGTTCTTCAATAAATAAAGCAACAACTTTTGACGATAGAAATATGCACCATGATCGGATACATGTTGTCGTATGGCTTCTTTGCTTTTCTTGTAATATTCCTGAATAATAAACTCTCTGGGTAATATGCTAATATAGGAATCGACAAGCCACCATCGATAGTACCACAAGTGATAAGATTTTTCAAATCTATCCACCAGAAAGGAACACATTTCCAACTCTCTCTCAATAAAGTCACTAGAAATCGAGTTCGTTTGTTGAAGTAATATCCACTTTCTATGTTGCCAAACCTCACTTGTCTTTGCATTCCTCTTTAAAGCCATTCGATTCACCTCGAGCTCCAAGTCATATGATACGTGACTCTGTAGCAAAAGACACTTTCGAAAGTTCCAAACAGTAGATTGGGCTGGTTGAACAAATAACAAGAAGCGTGACAAACTGTCCCATAGTTTCCAATCCCAAGAAAAAGATCCTCTCTTCAAGTTTTGACGAAATCTACTGAATATTTGTTGAGCTTCCATATAAATGATACGCAATGGAGTGCCTTGAATCATCAGAGTATCTTCCTTCAATTCACAAACGAGAAGGTCGTTGGTATTATCTGACCAAGTAAAAGGTATCAGCTCCAACTCTGTACTAGAAAAGAAGTGAATCTATCAACAAGTTTATAAGTATATGATACCCTTACTATTCATACGACTCCAAAGCTTTGAGAACAACAGAAAGTTGGTTGGATATTTCAGGATAAAGTTCACAAGAGGTAGCTGCCATAGCGAGAACCTTTTGACAGTTTATTATACTCAAACTACAAGAAACATATATTTTCGAGGTTTAGAAGTGTTGACGAAAAGCTTTATAGGAAACCAAAGAAACAAGGCTCTCCTTCCTTTATGAGATTGATCATTCCTGATCCACTTTCCCATATTTCGCAGTACAGTCTGATATATTCAGATATTACTGTAAAGTCATTTCAGTAACATCCAATGTTGAACAAAATGAGAGCCTCAACTAGTTATTTGTGGTTTTTATCAAAGTAATTTATTGAAAGTACATCAAGGTTCATGGCTAGTCCTCGTATTATCATTCCGAAACATCTTCTTCTCTTTCGAATTCTCCTCTTATTCCTCATTTCTTCATATAATATTGTCCATAACATTTTAGTTGATGAGAAGCACTATTTATTCTTGTTTTTCTAGAGTTGATAATCGTTTTTCAGGAATGGCCATCATGAAATAGAAATAATGAAACCTTCATGTATTTGGAATCAGATAGATATCTGAAAAGGATAAGATCGGATTCTTCTTAAACAATATCATTCCTCTCCAAATGTCGTTTGTTTCAGAAAGATATGAGAAGATAGAATGGTTAGGAACTTCAAGGTAATGAGACACTGTCCAATGATATATCAAGAAACATGTCAATGAGTCACTCACAACACAAACATTTATATCTAATATATATCCTACATTTACATAGTTTAAACAACAATCTGGTACATTGCCTATTCTACTACTCTTCAACGATGGGAAATGAAAAGATTATTTCTTTCTTTCCAATTGTTACAACAAGCAATTCATTTTTTTTTCTCAACTTGTCAATATTTTTGCTAGAGTACTTCTTTGTGCATCTGTTTCTATATTCTTACTCGTTTCATGGAACAGAGCAATGAAATGGATAAAGTCAATAAGACTCACAATGGAAACTTCAAAATAGTTAATCAACATTGCCATTACTTGAATCTTTTAAAACAATGCAACGTATATACATGACTCAACAAGTGTTCTTCCAACTCTACAAGATATGGGATATTTACCACTTGGATGGAATCCACCAACGAACCATTCGGTTAACTGGTATAGCAAACGGATCATCCAATCGCTTTTCCAGTACAGGCTGCAACAAATCTGCTGTTGCAGCCAATGTAAGTCCCCAAAGCCATAAGGAATCATTTTTATCTTCGCGTGCGAATAAACCATCTTGTGCATATTGAATGGAAACTATCCAAGGTCTTAGCGAAATTGCAGAAAAATAAACTCTGTCCAGAGCCAACCACTCGAAAATGGGTTTCGGAAGTATATAGGAAAGATAACGAAATAATCCAATATCCCATTTTCGTTCGATTGCTTTGTTGCAAAGCAACTGGTTACCGTAAACCAGAAAAGTGTCCAATGAAACCCAAAAAGCAGCTGCCACTTCAGAGCTGCAGAGCTTCAAAGGGGGCGTTTCCACTTTTAATTGGATAAACACTACAAACTATTTCATATCATCCGATGAGGTAAATAAAGGATGCTTACCAAAGGCACAATAAGCAGAGTCCCTCAAGCCTCTGTTCCGCAGTTTTATTTCACGATCACTCAGTCTTCCTATGCAAATAAAATGTTGCGAGTTTCCTAGATCCAAACCTATTTCTTCTTTGGTTTCTCGAACAGCGGTTTCTATATCATTTTCGTTTCCCTCTCGACGGCCACCAGGAAAAGCTATGTGTCCTGACCAAGGATCATTCGCTTGTGTTGCTCTCTGAATATAAAGAATTTGAAGGTGACTAGCTCCTGTAGCTTCCACATGCTGCAAAAGTTCTCGAAAGCTATAAGCAGCATCGGTTGGAAAATCTACTGACAAAGAACCAAAACGCAATATTATTGCCACAGCTGCTCTTCTAGTTGCTGGTAACAGTCTCAAGGAACTACAAACCAAAGAATGAAGCAAATCCTTTTCGAGTTTTTTGACTACATAAGGATCTTTCCATGACTGGTTAACATTTCTACTCATCATGATCCAAAGAGCTGTGCAGAATCCAATTGAAAATGTGATGAGAATGCTCACAATACTTTAAAAAATACTCAGCGACAACGACCATTCACAATCCAAACAATATAGTAATGTCAAAAGATTGGTTTATCTACAGTCACTCCATTTCCATATTAAATATTACATGATAATACTCGTCAAAAATAACTTGCTTTCATTCTAGCTATATCTCAAATATTCATATATATATGGGATTGATGATCACCTTCTTCTGTTTGTTAGTTGTTCTTCATTCATTTCCTTACAAGATTCGTTGGGAACGCGAACCGGGTTACTGTTTTGGGCAGCAACAGCAAATATGTTATGAAAGACAGTAAAATCGACATATGTAAATAGACAATCATCATCCATAAAATGACCTAAACCAGATGCGTCCACTTGTACAGAAACCACACCAGGTGCGTGGGACGGAGTGACGCAAGTTAAAACAGTATCCGAATAAGTAATACAACCGACAACAATTCGACCAAAACGAACTCGTAAGCCATGACGAAAATGGTTGCCAATAATTTGAACTTTCGAACCACCACAACTGAGACCCATATTGGGATGAATTTCTCGTATTATAGGTCGACCTTCGAGGCAAGCCATGTCGGGTATTTCCTCTGCAGTAGTTTCTGAGACAGCGTCGTTGGAGTATACTTTTTTGGTGGAGTCAATTGTCAAGGAGTCAGGAGGCTTTCTTTCCAAAGAAGCAACAGAAGAATTCTTGCGACGGACAACACGAACTACATCTCCATCCATCAACCCGACACTTGACAAACTCAAGTCGTCATCTTGTAAACATCTTCCTCTAAAAACCAACCAAAAGGGACGTGAGCTGGTTGAACCTGTACTCTCCAAGCAACTTGTATTGTTAGCTTCTTCCAACGAAACCCATGTTCTTTCGACTGCTTCGTGTAACTTTCCAACTGTGGCATCTTCTTGTAAAATAAGACTAATTCTTGAACCTAGCTGGCTGTCTACGACGGGCTCTAGAAGAATATGCATCCAGTCCTTGCCTCTCTATCAATAATCATTCTATTCTTCTAAGATTTGGGAAGGGATTGGCAATTTGTTTAGAAAAAAAAAAAGCAAACGGGAGACATCATGGCGCCATCATCAGTTCACATAGTTTGAAGCTTTATGTTGTTCATATCTTTCACTGAAAACTTTTCAATATGTCTTGTATCCAAGTTGCGCTATCATACGAGAAGATCCTGTTTTTTGAGCCCAACTTTCACCAGTCGAAAGCACCCGACCCATCGGTCGCTGCAAGCTAGTTCTCAACCTTCACAAAAGTCTTATTTTCCTTTTAGTATCAAAGAATGGATTAGCAACCTACACTGGCCACTTGTTTTATACACTCCTCCGTTGTATTGGTTTTTACGCCAATTGGCTCTAGGAAGTGGCCTTTCTTTGAGTCAGAGAATCCTTTTTTCGACGCTGGCGATATTCCTTTGTGAATTATTTCGATGTTTATTGCAAGATTTGGCAGCCTTAGGTGTTGCTATTGGAAGAAGACTCGGTTGGTTGAGAAAATACCGAGATGGAAAGGAGCTACGTTTGTTACCTCATAGTGTTCCGTTGTGGGAGTTGCATCGTCATTTTTATGTTCTGATAGGCACAGCTGTATTGGAATTGATTAGTTTTTATGAAGCTATTTTTTGGAGTGAGCGCGTGGGCTTGGTATTATTGATTCTTTCTCAGTGTTTTTTCAATGTTATGACAGAGCTTCAAATTACAAAAGATGGCAAGTGTGAGAGGGTTCAGTCACAAGCACGTGCGCTGATGTTGGTTGGAGATGGACTGTATTTGTTCATATGTTTGTTGTATTATGTTGGAGTTTTTCCTTTGATTACGTCGAGTTGTTGTCTTATACTGTTATTGGTTTACTTGGGACTCAAATATACGCGTCCAAGTAGATAAAGAGATACATGCGTTTTCTCTCTTATTGCTAAGACGCTTGCATCTTTGTTGTTTTTATCTATTGTCGATTCACAAGAAATTGTTGTGTCTTTGTAAGGCGCTGGAAACCCTAAAACTTTATCCCCAACGTGTCTGAACGAATGTTGGTTTTGGCGGGTGTGCGTGTCTGTTGCCCATTTCTTTTATTCTTGTTGGAAAAGGACCAAAGGAAATTCCTTTTCCTATGCTGTATCGAGTGATTGTTGAGTGTGGAGGTGAACAGATAGTAAATACTATTGCAAAGTCATCATAGTCCACTTTCATTGAAAGGTTACGGTTATCGATATGGTTATGAACGGGTCTACTGCTACGAACCAAACCAACGATATCATGAAAAGGCATGATAGTTATGTCGCTACAGCGGCTGAGAAACTGAGACAACGATTGGTTGAACTTCAAAGACAGCAACAGCAGAATTCCTCTTCTCTTGATGTGGAACAAAAGAATCCATTTTTGCCGGATGAAATACGGCAATTGAAAGAACAGTTGAAAGCTCAATTGGAACAAGCTGACAAAAACTACGCTACGATGCAATCGAAACACGTTGCCAACGGATATCAGGTAAATGAAGTGAACGGGGAAACTGAAAATGTAAGCATATCCACTCACTCCAGAGAACCATTGTGGGATAACAAAAAGGAGATAAATAACCATGTCTCGATAGAGTCATTGGAAAAAGAGATTGCTATGCTTCGCGAGAGCCTTGCCAAGTATCAAAATATGCATCCACAATCTATAGAAAACAGAGACGCTATATCCGATGCAAAAAATATAAGCGAACGTCGTCCTCAACATAACATTCTCGTCCAGCCTTCTTCTCCATCGTTGTATAACAAATTGGGGAATTCAAAAAGTGACGATAATGACCAACAGATAAACAAATCTCATACGAATGAAGGAAAAAGGATTTCAATAGAAAATGCACAAATGCGACTATTACAAGCACAAGAAGAATATGAAAAGGCATTGGAAATGTTTAAAATGGCTTCTCAAACGAATCGAAAGACAACAGACTGCCAGACAATAGAGAATTCTTTGAATAATAGAAAGGAATTTGACAAGCTACTTTGTCCTCTTCATGAATATTTTAGTCTTTCATCTCCTTACATTTTGAAGCTGGAGTCTTATCTCCAATCATCAGGAGAAGAATGTTCGAAGCAGATGACTCGTTTGGTTCAACACAGTGGTGTTCAAGAAATCAAGGAAATGTTGTTTTTTTGTGTGGACAAACTTATTCAAAAAGATGAAGAACAACAAGAAGAAGAAAAAGAGATAATGAGATTGGAACAAACATTGGAAAGAGTAAAAATGGAGAACAATGAAAAAATTCAACAACAACAAGACATAGAAAACAAACTGAGAGATGAACTTGAGAAATGTCAGACTGACTTGTCGAAAGCCGAGTTGGCTCTCGACGTCGCACTTTCAGAAAAACTTGTTTTAGAAAACCGTACTCCTGCATTAGAGTTTTGCGAAACATTAGAAACTAGGCTGGAAAAATTAGAGACGCGTCGCAACAAACATGAAAAAGAGCTTCATCGTCAAATAGCGGAAAAGAATCAGGTGATTGAAGAACTGAAGCGCCAAATATCCACCAAAGATAAGGAAACAAACAGACTGTATGCAGAAGTGCAGCATTTATTACAGAATGTGGAGCAACTTCGTAGCGCATGGACGAGGCAACAAAGAGAGTCATTTCATTCAAGGAAGAAAGTATGAAATCATTTTCTGTTCAGGATGATTGCCAGCAAAGCTTTTGTGAAATATTTCATTAGGATTTCAAAATAGTGAGGTTGCTGCATTTCTTTACTGTCATAACACTTGTAAAGAACAGTTATCATGCTGTAACGATCCCTAAAGTGGTTCCATTTTGTTAATAAAGACCAGGATTGTTGGAGACTAGATTTATTCTTTTTTTATATACACATCTCTCCATCGCCATTTGATAACATGAGAAAGACAATACACTGAAAACAAGACATATTGTATACGATAACTTGCAAAGTATTGATTCACTGATCACTGCAAACTATGGAGAAACAAAAGCCAGTCTCCTCTAAAAACATATATATTCTTCCTTATACAATCTTCTTCGATTCACTCGCTGGCTTCAAACTTTTCAACTCTTTACTTGTTGCCTTATCTACCACGTTCTTTGACTGCTTGTCTTTGTTGTTACCGGTTGTTGGTCCATCGTCCACTTGCGGTTCCGAACTGCGTCCACTGGTCAACTTGGCTTCCAACTGCGATTCAAGAACGTTGATTCTGGACGTTAATTCAAAGAGTTTGCCAATCACGAAAAGAAGGGTAAGACTAAAACTTGCCAAGTAAAAGTTCTATTTAGCTGTTGTCAAAATTGTCGTTCCAAGCACAACATTCTATACATACTCTCTGAGAACGAAACTGTCTTTGTTTTAAAGTACGTACTTCAAAAGAAACTGCGTTTGAGAACATTCCATTCGATGTAGTTTGTTCTGAGAGCTTCAGTTGTACTCGATAAGCGTCCTAGCTCTGAATTGAACAAAACTGATCAAGAAACAAAAGACAGACAGTTCCCTACGGTTAAACTTTCTACGATTCCAAAAAACAAACTCAAGCTAATGTAGTTGATAAACTTCCTCAAGTGCAAAAACTGAGAACCTGTTGCCAACACTCGAAGTACTAGACGACGCACTCTCTTTGGCAAAGGCAACTAGGATAACGCGTGATGGAAGAGTCAGAAGAAGAGTTACCACTACCCACCACAAGTAAAGCTACTATAACAACTTCTGTACAAAGGAACAAATAGACGAGCAACCACAACATATTTTTCATTGGCTCTAAGAGAGTTTTGAATATCGTTGAATGTTTTCCAAATGTAGCCCACGTGTTACTTTTTCCCCGATGGAAGAGACAAAACAAGTTTGTTATCGGGAAGAGAGAGAGAGTGTGTGTGTGTGTGTGTGTGTGAGAATCTGATAACATTACATCATAATAGACACGAAAACTAAAGAATACGAAAAGCACAACTTATTGAACTTGTAAGATTTACAATACACAGAACATTTACTTCCTATGCCAAGAAATGGAAAATGAATCGCAGAATACTTCAAGTATCATCACGTTGTCAAGTGACATCCTATGCATGCAAAGACCAAAGACTATAACAACTCCTTAGATTCGATAGCCAACAAAATGCTGCAAGCGAAGGTCGTCGACAAGTGTAAACCAATCGGGGAATCGTTTTGAACCGCAAAGCTGATGGGATTCTGATCTCCGCCAACTCATTGTATTGGTAATTGGGACTTTTTGGATAGGAAAGCTATTTCCATCTTAAGAAGGAAACATTTCAGTTTCTATGCTATTTAATGGAAGATAGAAAGGGTCAACTGTTCAATTTTACGCAGTGTTCGCAGCCAATGGCCTCGTGCTGTTGGATCAGTCAACCTGCACAAGTAGGAACCCGCAGCCTGTTCGCAGACAAGAGAACTTGCTTTCATAAAGGGAATTTTTTGGGTAAGTATAAGAACTCTTATTTTACTTTATGCTCATTTATGTGAGAAGGTAACAATAAAGTGCAGAAAAACTGTGCTCGTCCCGGTTTCGACCTTTCCAAGTATAATGGGACCGTAAAGAGTATAGCTGCACCGGAAACAGGAGGCTTTCAGAGTGCCAAAAATAAAGCAAACATAGGACCTTTAAAGAAGGAGGCTTTCTCAGACGTCTCTAGCAAAGAAAAGGACGTTTTGAACCAACAGCTCAACGAAACCAACAACAAAGGTAGCGACAAGAGTAGAAGAAGGAAGATGACACAAGTTGTAGTGGTTGGCCTTAGTCACAGAACGGCTACAGTTGAAACAAGAGAACGACTCTCCGTCCCAGAACCCAAGTGGCAAGAATATTGTGGCAATTTGAAGGACTTTTGCCCTTCAGTGACAGAAGTCGCTGTACTTTCTACTTGTAACCGTTTTGAAGTATATTTTGTTGCTTATGAAGAGAAAGAAGCAATCTTGGAAGTAATGCAGTTTCTCTCGTCATACAGTAGTGTTCCTATCAATCAGTTACGAAAGCATCTGTTTGTGCTTTGTGAAAGAATGGCAGTTTGGCATATTTTTCGCGTTGCAGGAGGACTTGACTCTCTTGTAGTCGGGGAAGGTCAGATTCTTTCCCAGATGAAGCAATGTTATCAACTCTCTTGTGATAAGAAAGGACAAGCAGGAAAAGTTTTGAAGAAGCTTTTGAATTCGGCTGTTGCTGCAGGAAAACGCGTTCGCTCAGAAACCGGAATTTCCAAAGGAGCAGTATCCATTTCATCTGCTGCAGTAGAACTAGGTTATATGAAAGCACCTTTTGATATTAACAAGTCACTAACTGAGGCTTCTAACTGCATTATTGGTGCTGGAAATATGGCTCGTCTTTTGGTACAACATTTAATTGGTCGCGGATGTCATAATATAACGGTTGTGAATCGTTCTTATAAACGTGCAGAGGAACTTAAGGAAATGTTTTCTGATGTGAATATTAATATATGGCCTTGGGAAGGTTTGATGGATGTTATAAGCACTTCCGAAGTTATCTTTACTTGTACCAGTTCGTCGGAGCCTATTTTATGTGCCGATCATTTGCGAGGCATCTTAGCAGATTCATCAGGAACCTTGATCATTGATATTTCAGTTCCTAGGAATGTTGCTTCGGATGTGAAGGAGATTCCTTTTGTATCATCTTACAATGTTGACGATTTGAAAGCTGTAGTAGCACAAAATCAGGCTCGTCGTCGTAAACTTGTTCAGGAAGCGGAAACACTATTGACGGAAGAACTGAATATTTTCTGTAATTGGCACCATTCACTGGGAGCCGTTCCTGCTATTACACGTTTACAGGAGCGAGCTGAGAGTATTCGTGCTGAAGAGTTGGAGCGGGTTGTATCGAAACTTCGTGACTTGACTGAGTCCGAACGAGAAGCCGTTGAAAAGGTTACCAAAGGTATTGTCAACAAGTTGTTGCATTTTCCCATGGTTTATATCAGAGAATTGGAAGATATTGAAGAACGTAGCATTACTTTGAAGAGTCTTGAAGCACTTTTCAAGTTGTATTAAGGGAATGTTTCAAATAAAAATGGAACAGTGTTTATCCATAATGCTTTGAGGATATGTATGTTTATTGCACTCTTCAACACGAGAGAGTTACTTTTGTGCACTTCTTTTTGAGGCCTTACTTTCTAAGAGTCCCTGTCTTGCACCCTTGACAGCTTTCTTCTCTTTCAAAACCTTCTCCTTCTCCTTCTTAGCCTCCAATTGTTCTTGAGCAGCCTTTTCGCGAACTTTTTCCGCTTGCTCCTTATGAATGGCCTCCATCAATACTCTCTTGTTTTTAAAGACGTTTCCTTTGCAACGCAGATACATTTCTCGATACAGATGTTTGTCTATTTTGTTCTGGTCACGATATTTCTTCAACAACCTGCGAAGAACCCTGATTCTGTGAATCCATACGGTCTTTTGAGGCAAACGGGCGTTTCTTGTACCCTTCCTCTTTCCGGGTCCCCTATGTCTTCCCTTTCTTTTAGCCTCCAAACGGAGTCGAAATCTTGCTTTTGAGTGCACCACCACTGGTTTTCGAATGACGAATCCATCCTTGACAAGTTTACGAATATTTTGCCCTATTATACCAAAGATAAACAAGTATCGTCTTTAAGCACTTTCTTGGGTGTAGCATAGTATATTTACTCACGTGAGTTGGCCATAGATATTTCACTCGTTTCATTAGGATCCAGCCATACTTTTCTTTTCCCACAGTGAAGAACAGACGCTGCAAGTCTTTTCTGCAGTTTTAAGGAAACCATTTCTTTCTCAGTCCCTCCTCTTTTAGAGACAATCAATCCAACGTGAAAAGAAGAGCGACGACGAAATAAAGTTGAAAGAATTTGGATTCTTTTTCTTGGGAGAAGAAGACTTGTGATAAGTTTCATCTGCTGGGTATTACTGTTTGAATGTTGTTGATTTACCTCAAGATAGAAATAGTATTAATATGAAGAAGAAAATAGACGCTCGTTTGAAAACACTGTTGGAAGTTTCTTGTCAGGTAATGGTTCATTCCCTTCTGTTCCCATGTGCACTCATACTGTCTTTATATAAACTATAAAAGAACAATCACCGTGCATTGTTGGTTATAATTGGCGACCGTGGTAAGAATCAAGTAGTCAATTTACACTACATGCTATCCAAAATATCCAATATACCCAAGCCCTCCGTGTTATGGTGTTATAAGAAGGAGTTAGGGTTTAGTAGTCACAGGAAGAAAAGAATGAAACAAATTAAGAAACTAGCACAGAGAGGGTTATTAGATACTTCTAGAGATGACCCATTTGAGATATTCGTGTCGAATACCCACATTAGGTATTGTTATTATGCAGAGACTCACAAAATATTGGGAAATACCTTTGGAATGTGTGTGTTGCAAGATTTTGAAGCTCTTACTCCGAATATTTTAGCAAGGACAGTGGAAACTGTACAAGGTGGGGGTTTGGTGGTGTTATTATTGGGAACTATTCAATCCCTAAGACAATTGTATACGATGGCAATGGACGTGCACGATCGTTTTCGTACACAAGCTCACAAGGATGTCGTAGCTAGGTTTAATGAACGATTTATGTTATCACTTTCAAGATGCCAATCATGTTTGATAGTTGATGACGAACTCAACGTATTGCCATTATCCTCACCTATGAAGGAGGGAACTTTTGCTCTTTCGGATAAACAGAAAGAACAAATCAAGAAACAACAACAAGAATGGTCAGAGTTGAAAAGCAATTTGGAAGAAACCCCCATATTAGGCGAATTGATATCTCGTACAAAGTAATGCAATCTTATTTGTTGGATAGGATATATTGATCATTTAATGAATAGGACCTTGGACCAAGCCAAAGCATTGTTGACTTTTATAGAAGCAATTACAGAAAAGACACTTCGTTCTACAATAGCTTTGACTGCAGCAAGAGGAAGAGGAAAGTCAGCAGCTCTAGGATTGGCAGTAGCATCTGCCATTGGTCATCAATATTCCAATATATTCGTTACTTGTCCATCTCCAGAAAATCTAAAGAGTTTTTTCGACTTCGTATTGATAGGTTTTGATGCATTACAATTCAAAGAACATGTGGATTATGAAGTTTTACAAAGTACGGATGCTTCCTTACAACATTGTGTCGTGAGAATCAATGTTTTTCGTTCCCATCGACAAACTATTCAATATATCGACCCACGTGATGCCTCTAAAGCTTTGCATCAGGTTGTTATGGATTCCGTATATATACAGGAAGAATACTCATATAGTCATTTTAGGCTGAATTGTTGGTAATCGATGAAGCAGCAGCTATTCCACTTCCTATTGTAAAGAGCATGTTGGGTCCTTATTTGATTTTCATGTCTTCCACTATTACGGGTTATGAAGGAACAGGAAGAAGCTTATCTCTTAAACTATTTGATCAGTTAAGAAAAGGAGCTCATAGTGATAATCGTCCTGATTCATTTCATCTAGCAGAAGGAGGAAGAACTTTTCGAGAAATCACCTTGGAAGCTCCCATTAGGTAAGATAGTCAAGCATCCCGAGTTTCAAATAAAAAAAGCTGATTGGACATATGAGATATGCTATTGGAGATCCTATTGAGTCGTGGTTATATGACGTATTATGTTTAGAAGCTGGAAAAGGACCACAGCCACTTATTTATGGATGTCCACATCCTCATGACTGTCAACTCTATAGGGTGAATCGAGATGCCTTATTTTCAGGGCATCCTTTGGCAGAATCTTTCTTACAAACCATCATGGCTTTGTTTGTTTCCAGTCATTACAAAAACTCACCCAATGACTTGCAATTATTATCTGATGCTCCTGCTCATCGTCTCTTTGTTTTAATAGCTCCCACTAAGAAACAATTGGATTCCAATGGTTTACCACAAGTCTTATGTGCCATACAGGTAATGAATGTATGATTTTTCCTGGCACTAGTTTCTTATAACCATTATCCATAGGTTTGTTTGGAAGGACAAATTTCCAAAGAGTATGCTCAAGCTTCCATGTCACGTGGTTATAGAGGAGCTGGTGATCTCATTCCTTGGACGATATCACAACAGTTTCAAGACTCCAGTTTTGCAAGTCTTTCAGGAGTTCGGGTTGTTCGTATTGCTACTCATCCAGATGTTCAAAGAATGGGATATGGTTCTAGAGCGTTGACATTATTGAATGATTACTATTCAGGTAAAATGATATCCTTGACTGAAGATGGATGGCGAGGGACCTTAAGTGATGAGCCTTCAACAATAACCAATGTTGACAATAGTAATGATACGTTGAATCATGAAAGACTTGAACCAAGAAAGGAATTACCACCGTTATTAGAACCTTTGAATGTCCCCGACAGAGTCGACTATTTAGGAGTTTCTTATGGATTGACATATGAGTTGTTTTGTTTTTGGAAAAAGCAGGGAATGGTTCCCCTTTATATTAGACTCGTTGCCAATGAATATACCGGTGAACATACGTGTATCATGTTGAAACAATTACCGGAACAGTCCAAAATGTCTTGGTTGTCTAATTTCTTTCATGACTTTATACGACGTTTTCTAGCCCTCTTGCCTTTTGCTTGGAGCAGTTGGAATCCCGCTTTAACTCTGCAAATTATCGATTATGGAAAAGAATACTATGCCTCGCATCAAGTGACGATGTTGAATGAACACAATATGCATTTGCTATTATCTACTTTTGATATTCAACGGTTGGAAGCTTATGCAAAGAATCTGATCGACTATCACATGATCGTCGATTTGCTACCCACCATTGCCAAGTTATATTTTAGTGGACAATTGGATAAGGAGATTCATTTATCTGCAGCCCAATCTGCTATTTTGGTGAGTGTTGGATTGCAATATATGGATTTGGATCGATTGGAAAAAGTATTGAATGTCCCTGCTCAACAATTGTTGGCTTTGTTAAATAAGATGATTCGCAAGTTTGCCCATTATTTCAAAGAGTTGGAATGGAGTCTAATGGAGTCTCATGATGCCTCAACAATAATAACAGAAACAAAAACATCGATGAAGGATACTAATGAGACTTTAGAACCCAAACAAGCACCACTGGTCAAGAAACCCAAAAAGAATATGGAGCATAAGGACAAAAAGGAACATCGTAAACATCGATTGGAATGATCCAAGAAATGGCGTTGATGGTTTCAGGATATTGTTTCGGTGGTATCCAACAGGACGATTCTTTTGGAATACAACTGAATCCTATGGAAAAGAAAAGCCATGTAGACAAATATTCATCGAGATAATAGAGACATACCCAAATAAATTTCTACTAGGACTGGATGAAATGGACACCTGCTGAGGAAGCTCATGGAGTGGAATGGAACAAGAATGAGTCATAGATAATGTATCGGATTGGGAATCGAAAGATATTTTGTTCATTCCTATCCATAAGGAGACTGCACCGTTTTCCTTTTCTGTTGTCGTGGCACACCATAACAAATATTCATCCCGATACCATAAAATACTATAAAGAGAACCCTCAAGGATTGGAATGGCAAAGGACAAATGAATGGATAATTCTCTATTCTCATTATGTTTCAACCATAAACAATGCACTCGTTGTGTTTCAGGTGAAATATATGCAATCACGATGGCAGCATTTCTTTCATTCCTATAAGTGATGGGTTGGGAAGAGGAAAGAAACCAACGAGGAGGAACATCCACTAAAGAATAGGTCCAAACCAAATGAGAAAGGGAGTTCCATTTCAAACTCTCCAACTTTTGATAGTAATCATTCCATTGTTCTTTCCATTCATCGATATCCAACGACATCATCCATTCTTGAGTTGGTGAGAACCACTTTACATTCTCATCATCATCAATAGGATATGGATATATATCTTTCAACTTTCTTACCTCTTCAGGAGTATCGTTGATATCCAAAAATAGTATCACCTTGAACACATCTTTGATAGGTAACGAAGAACTTTGAGAGTCTCCATCCATACAACCACTTTCTTGTGCAAAATGACGAGCATGATAACAAAACCAATCCACAAAACTAACAAGTCTCTCCATATAAGTAAATATACATTGCTTCCACTCATTCCATTGATATAATAAACCAACAACTCTTTGTTTCATTTCCAAGCTTTGATCATATATCGAGGCAAATATATCAGGCCTTTGTTTTCGTTGGTGTTGTAAAAAACTTTCCAATCGACTCCATCTCATCAACATTTGTCGTATTTCAATGGATATCTGAATTGCATAGAAAGCATGAAAAGTGTTCCATATATAGAGAAAGAGAGAGAATTTTATACTTACTTGCTTCATAAGAGGTATCAAATATTGGGATATCTTTTCTTGTATTTGCTTCTTCCATCTCTCAGCACCCATCAATGTGATATGGTTTACGAAATAAGGAGTAAATACGGATAAAGACTGTCCATTGATTAATGATAAAAAGGCCTCTCGAACATGAGATACATCTTCATTGTAATCCTTCAACATATCTTTTAATACGTTCCATTTCTCTGTTACAAGTTGTCCGATTTCTTTCAATGTGGACAGTATCTTTTGATAAGAAGTTTGATAATGAAGAATACTTGTATCCAATTGTAATACATTCTCAGCAAACCATGCAAATGGACTAGAAGAACAATCATCAAAATATTACGAAAGAATAACAAAACCAACCCTCCCCAACTCTGAAGACTATCATCCAAAGATAGAGCTTGCAAAGTAATGGAACGAGTAGAAGAAGAATGAAAAGCATAAAATAGATAACCTTGCCTGCTAAAATAAAGATGAGAAACAGGATAACTTTCAAAGAGACTCAATAAAGGTACTCTTCCATGCATAAACGCACGAATCCACCCACTCCCACTCGATAACCACAATACACTTGATGTGTTGGGTATCTATGTAGATAAATAAATGAAACTGGAGTGCATTGCCGACTTACTTTATCCAATACTTGTTTGCTAATGTATTCTTTTCTCTCTCGTTGAATCAATTCTTGATAACAAGGATCTATACAACCCATATCTTTTTCGAAATCTGTCCAATACAAGTTGGCAACAGAGTCACCAGGAAAGACAGTTTGTTCAAAATGAGAGTCATCACTTTCCAACTGAAATATCTATACAAAAGTATGAGAATAAAAGGAAAAACTTCAACTTCACTAACGTTGAGTCTTCCATCCGACCTTCCAACAGCTATAAAGTTACCGTCTGGAGACCATTCGAGTGCTGTCACCGTCATAGTGGATTGACCAAAGGGTATCATAAAGGAAGACAACTTTTGCCATAAAACTCTATAAACTGCTACCTCACTATCACTTAAAACAACAGCAACCAAGTCTTTAGTAGGACATAGAGATAAAAGTTTGACAGGAATAGGTAAAGTCTTGTCTTGTAATTTTTCAAAAACATTCATGGGACTCTCCAACCAATGGAACAGATGTGCCTCTCTTCGTTGTCTCTTTCTAGTACACTCGAGTTGGAAAAATGATTCAAAGTTTACTATTCATCATAGTTGGAATCGACACTTGGCCTGCCATCATATAGGTCGTGCCCAAAAGTGGTCTTATAAAAATAGAATTCCAGTAATAACCTTTTCTTGCTTAGCAACTGACGTTTCCTCGAAAAGTGATAACAAGATTACACCAAGAAGCGAAGACTATTCTGCCTGGTATTTGCACGTCATTCAAGCTGCTCAACTTGCAGACCAAAGTGCTGTGAAGGGTTGTCTTGTGATACGACCTTATGGTTATGCTGTTTGGGAACTGTTAAGGGACCACTTGGACAAGTTGATCAAAGAAACAGGTGCACAGAATGCCTATTTTCCATTATTTATTCCTCAAAGTTTTTTATCCAAAGAAGCTGAACATGTGGAAGGATTTGCCAAGGAATGTGCAGTAGTGACTCACCATAGGTTGCGATTGAATACCAATTCCACTTTGGAACCAGATCCTGAAGCTATGTTAGAAGAACCTTTGATAGTAAGACCTACTTCCGAGACATTGATTTGGAATATGTTTCAAAAGTGGATAAGTTCTTATCGTGATTTGCCACTTTGTATCAATCAGTGGGCAAACGTAGTACGTTGGGAGTTGAGAACCAGACCTTTTTTACGAACGACTGAATTTCTGTGGCAAGAAGGACACACTGCACATACTAATGCTAAAGAGGCAATGGATAAGGCAAAAGAAATGTTAAATGTGTATACTCAACTATGTGAAGAGTTGTTAGCTATTCCTGTGATAAAAGGATGCAAGTCACCAAGTGAGCGTTTTGCTGGTGCAGAAGAGACTTTCACAATAGAAGCCATGATGCAGAATGGTTGGGCTTTACAAAGTGGTACGAGTCACTTTTTAGGACAAAATTTTGCCAAAGCCTTTCAAGTTTATTATACGGATACATCTAGTCAGGAACAACTGGTTTGGTATGTGACTCTTATGAGAATCCACACACTAGTCAGTGTATCAACTCATACATCTTTATTATTAGGGCTACTTCCTGGGGTGCTTCTACTCGTCTATTGGGAGCTCTTATTATGACCCATTCAGATGATATAGGTTTAGTATTACCTCCCAAGGTTGCTCCCATTCAAGTGATTATTATTCCTATATGGAAGTCACAAGTGGATAAGGAAGATACTTTACGTGTTTCTCAAAAATTATTGGAACAATTAAAAGGAGCTCAAATTCGAGCAAAGTTAGATGATCGAGATTATATTCGTCCTGGAAGTAAATACTTTGAATGGGAAAGGAAAGGCATTCCCCTTCGAATAGAAATAGGACCAAGAGATGTTGTTGATGGAGTAGTTACCATTGCAAGTCGTATAGGAAACCAAAAGAAATATGCGTTACCATGTAATGAAAGTTTGACTATGCATATTCAACAACAACTTGAAAATATGCAACGTTGTTTATTTCAGCAGGCCAAAGAACGAATGGATTCTCGAACTTTCAGAAATGTGAGTTTTGATGAAATGAAGAGAAGATTGAATGAAAAGGATATTCAGAAACAGGGCTTTTTCTTGGTTCCTTGGAAATGCAATGCTATTCATGAAGAAAGGATAAAAGCAGAAACGAAGGCTACCATTCGTTGTTATCCTTTTGATATGCAACATTTGGTAAAGAATGAAAAATGTTTCTATAGTGGTGAACCTGCAACTCATATGGCCCTATTTGCTAGAGCTTATTAAAGAAATACCTAAAATAGTTGATATATCATTCCATACTTGATTGAGTCTTAAGATATTTTGTACTTTTTCTTTCATTCGGCATTGTTTATTGTCTACAAAAATATAACCCATAGAATAATTCATAACAATATCTTAGCATAACGAAATCCAATTTTTATTCGAAACAATGGAATGTATCGTTATTATTATAAAGCAACACATGAAACACACATTTACTTGATCATTTGTTTCACCTGATTGGAACTTTTCTGAACTCCTGTAAACTTGGCAAACATAACCCACTGTTGTGAACCCCAAAAAGTATTACCCCATCGTAATAAAAAGGTAGCTATACTTTCAGCTTTCGGAGTAGACGAAAAGATTCGAGGAAAAATATGTTGTTCAATGCCATTCACGAGTTGATAGCGAGTACCCGCAGAAACTCCAAGAAACAATCCATAGGCTGCTGAAGTTGTCAACACATTAGACATTTGATTTTCTGGAGTAAAAGAAGGGTCAAGTGCCTTGCGAATCATAATTATACTGTTGGTCAAAGCCACTCCAATAAATGAACAACAAAACCCTGTCATCGAAAGTTGTCCGACTTTGTAAAAATACGATATCATTCGCTGACCAAGTGTATATCTGTGACCCACTTGAAATACACTTCCAGGTAGATCCTTTGCAAAGTTGGCTATCCATGAAGAATGAGAAATATGAGAACCACTAAGGGATATAGCAGGAGCTGGGAAATAAACCAAAGCAAAATCAGCTAAAAATGCCATAATGACATTGGCAAAAACAAAGTCAATCTCTTTCCAAAATCTATCGCGTCGACGTTCCCATTCTGCAGATAACTTTCCACATAAGCCTAAAGACTCTTCAATAAGAATTTTCAACAGAAACCTTTCATCCGCTAGAAATCTATTCCTCAAGCCCTGGCTAAGACTCATCAACAAACGACTGACAGGATTTGCTCTTGCTAAAATATAGTTCCGAACAACATCTTCTCCTATTCGACCTTGCTCAAAAGCTTGGCGAACTTCTGTTGAGATAGATTCCCAAGATAATCCATGTTTGGTCATAAGTGCAAGTAATGTGCCATCAGGTCTTCCAGGTTGAGAGGCATCGGAATAATCCCCATCACTTTTACCATTTCCAGCTTTACCTATTCCTCCACCACTAATATTACCTCCATCCATTTCCAACCTTCCAGTTGAATCCTTTTCAGTACCTCGGGAAGTGGAAAAGTTGCCGAGCACTTGTTTCCATTCAGGAGTTTCACTATTCGATCTGATACATAGTTTCCAATATACTCGATGTAAATTAGTATGATTCTTTCTCAACGATGGACTGTGAAAAGAAAAACTGGCTGTATCCGAAAGAAAACGAAAAGAGACTCCAGTGTTGAATGGACACAACGGAATAAATGCACTTGTCATATCGATGGAATGAATAAGCAAAGAATTCTCATTGCAATATGTTGTCGTCATTTGTGCAGCCTTTCGGTGATGCCAAGTGCCAAAGAACTAAGAAAGCACCCCAACTTTCGAAAAGGATGCTTCTTATTCAAAGTAGAACATTTGTTCAAGGTTCGATGAAGATTCCTAGACAAACGTCCGTTCCTCGGTATAGCTGGTTCTCTTCTTCTCATAGAATACTCGTTAGCTGTTGTCAAGCTACAAGAAGGAGTCAAGCAGTGTTGAGAAATTTTGCAGTAATTTTGACTAGCTTACTTCTGAGTGGAAGTGTTTTTCCAGTCATTCCTGGTTCAAACGCAAACAACGTTTTGGAACCCGTTATTGCTTCCTCCTTAAGTAAAAGGAGGGCACGAGAACTATTGAAAGAGAGAACGAAGAATGTTAAAGTTTATATGGTCGCCAACCAAGCAGGGCAACCTTTTTTAGCAGAAGGAGTTGAATCAAATACTCAAGTAGGACTTTTCTTTTTCACAGCCGCAGATGCCTCTATGATGCTGATGCAGATGAGTCAAGGTGCTGGTGGCAGCGCACGAATAGAGGCAATTTCATTGGACAAAGCTTACGATATGGTAACTGCGAAACCTACACCATCAGGATTGAAGGACACCAAAGGACGTGATTTGAAAGTAGTCTTTAGGTTTTGTCCAGAAGTTTATCAAGTTCGTTTTTATAGGCAATTAGCCAAAAACAAGTCTCTACGTAGCGTTCCCGTGTTTGTTGCTCCCGATTTGGTGTTAGAAAAGAATAATGAAAACTTGATTCCCGCTTTTTTAGATAAGGAAGATTTAGAAAAGTCTTGGAAAGAGTTGAAAAAGACTCACCCAGAGCTTCCTCTTCGACCGAAGATTGAGGCTGTGGATCTTTTGGACGTTTTGGAGGAAATGGAAAAAGGAACCAATCCTGATATTTATCAACTAGGATTCTATGCACCTCGTAAGAACCTTGTGTGGGTGCAAGGCAATAATAATCACGCAGATTCCGCAGAAAAAGATCATAATAGCAGTTGACAATAAATGATTATTTTGCTACCGAAAGAGGCAATGAATATTTTTAGGCCATTCTCAATTGGTAATCTCCATTTTGTGTAATATAACGAACCCAAGGAAGTGCACGATAACCACTCTTCTCAATAATTTTCAAATAACGAACTTGTAATCCGGATACTGTAAAATAAGGAATCTCAAACTCCACGGATATGGGACGACGTACAGCCTGCTCTCGGTTTTCAGAGGATGGAATCGAAGGAAGTCCAAAATAACCTCTAACAACAAGTTCTTGTCCTCCATGTAAATGCTTCAACGACCATACCACAACATCCTTTTCAGGAGTATATTTCACTCGTCCAGATGCGCTTTTAAACGAAGGAGTATCGGCATCAGGAGGTGTCGGAATATGAATTTTCACAGAATTAGCTGTATATTTCGGTTTAAATTGCGCTCTGACGTTAATAGTGTAATTAACACGATAGGGATGAAACTCAATCATGGCATCAACCCAGATCAGTGGACGCATTGGAGTACTTAAACGATAACTCATCAGTTCAAACTCCCCATCCGGAGGAATAAAAGAAATTGTTCGATCGGTCTCAAACCGAGATAAGCGAACGCATTGATGAAACTTTATATCTTCTAGCTCTACAGCACGACCTCTATTCAGAAATGTAAAAGTAACAAATAGACAATGAAAAAAAATACTCACTGTCCAGGTCTTCCGGTTGCCTCAAACTGTAGTTTGTCGTTCAAACCCAACTTGAGTTCTGGCATGCCACTAAGATATGACTTCATTTTCATTTGACCTAGAATTTCAGAATAGAGCAAATTTCCATTGGCTCCCACGAGAAGATTAACTTTCTCAATCACATCCAAAAAAACTTCATTACGCTGGTGCTTCACTCCCTCTGAACGCCAAGAAACAGCATTCGTCACAGCTATCGGGGGACGTGGACTTTCTAAAACATGTCGCTCTTGCGTTATGTACTGCAGAAAATATATAAAAACTAAAGCAAAATAAAAACAAAAAATACCTCCTGGAGAACCTTGCTTTCCGTACTTTGTGGAAAACCAAAGTCCATCATTTCGTCCAAAAGTTCATAAATAAGGACAAAGTTATCTCTAATAGACTCTTCCTCAACGTCCTTGAAATATTCACGAAATACGAGCACAACACGATATAAAAAAGACAACATAAGTGCAGCGTTCGCGTTGGTTCTGGTGACAGCTACTAGAAAAATATCCGCCACTTTGATGAAAGCCAAAGAATATCCTCTTTGCTCATCGTGGAGAATGGGTTTTGTGGAGCTATCCTATAGAGAAAGTCTCCGAAAAATTTAAAGTTATAAGAGGAAACCCTACTTACATCTTCTGCCTCGATGACTTTTAGTTTCACTTGACTTATCACATCGACTGGAACGTCTCCTCGATAATTTCGTGAAATAAGTACCCTTCCTCTGGCGTCCAATATATACAGGGCAGAAACCTTTACCAAAAACAATAAGAACAACAACACACCAAAACGTCCTTTCTCACCACCATAGTTACGTTCAGAACTCAACCCACCCACCAAAAAGTATAGAAATGCAGAGAGTGGGATTTGAACCCACGCCATCTAGGATGACTGCGACCTAAACGCAGCGCCTTAGACCGCTCGGCCATCTCTGCGAATTATGGAAAGGAGGCACTTCTCTATATGAAATGAAGTCATTGTTCTAGAAAATTCCAATAGAAAGCCCTAGCGCCATCTTGAATCTTCGGATTAGATTTTAAATACCTATGCCAAACTATCTTTTCGTTGCATTGGATTTCGAAAGAGTAGTTGACAACTTATGAGCGAGTTGGTACGACCTGGTCGTTTCTTTGATAGCAACTTTGGTGACTTGTTTTCATGGACAAATGACCCCTTCTTTCGTGATACCTGGAACTTGGTGCCTAGATCCAGCAACTCAGAGTCTCAGTTATGGTCTCCAAGAATCGACCTTATGGAAAAAGAAGATGCGTTTCTGGTCAAAGCGGAAGTACCTGGTGTGCCTAGGGAAAACATAAAAGTTGATTTGAAAGGAGATATTTTGAGTGTTTCTGGGGAGAGAGCAGATGAAAAGAAATCCGATGAAGAACGAGAAGGGACAGTCTTTCACAGGATGGAGAGAAGTTACGGAAAATTTGAAAGGAGCATAAGGCTACCAAAACAGATTGATAAGCAAGGAATCAAAGCATCGTGTAAAGATGGAATATTGACCATAACGGTGCCTAAGAAGCATGTCGAGAAGTCGGAGTCACAGAAGATCGAGGTATCCTTTGAGTAGTCATAGTTTGTATTTGTCTCATGTATGATTTGACTGTTTACGATGAACCATAAACTTATATTTTAAGCATCAAGACAATCCCACTATTTTGCCCGTTTCTGGGTCTAAATCAATTTCGTAATATGCTGGTCTTGTTGGCAACCCAGGTATAGTTTGCATTTCGCCACACAAAGGATAAACGAACCCTATCAACACTCAAGTCCGTCTGTTGGGTTTAGGAATGTAGACCTGCTTACCTGCGCCAGCACTTAAACGCACATCTCTGATAGGCAAAGTGAAGTTCTCCGGAGCACCTTTTAGAGATGCATCCGCTGAGAAACTGTATTGAGTTTTTGCAACACAAATGGGTAAATTGCCAAACCCTTGAGACTGATACCTGTCTACCTTCCTTTTTGCTTCTTCCTAATTCCAAACTCTTGAATACGGAATCACACGATATATTAGCCACTTCTTACCGAAAATTCAACGTCTTTTGCTTTGTAAACATTTTTTGCTACGGCGTTTATCTTCTCTATCAAAGAATCTTCCAACCGATAGCTAAAACGTAAGGGAGACTTTGCGAATTGGCAAGCACGAATGACTGCTTCCCCTTTATGCAAACATTTTTTGTATCAAATGTGCGACAAACAATTGAAAATAACTTACCCAATTCTGTGGCACCCTGACCACCTTGTGCCCAGTGATCTGCCAAAACTGCATCAAAGGCGCCTGCTTCCTTACAGCTCTTTATCACGAGCTGTATTTCTGAGTCTGTATCGTATTGAAATTTGTTTAAAGCAACAACCACAGGAATACCAAAAGCTCTCGTGTTGGATATATGCCTTTTTAAATTGCACATTCCATTTTCTACCAGTTGCAAATTTTCCTGAGTATACTCATGAGGAAGTGGTGCCCCTGCAGTCACTTGTGGACCACCCTAATAACATTATTTCCAACCGAAAGCAATCATGAATTTCATTTACTCACACCATGCATTTTCAAAGCTCGAATGGTCGCCACAATCACAGCACAGTTGGGAAGCAAGCCTGAAGCCCTTTTCAAATAGTCCTTCAGACACTTCACTTCAAACTCTACAAGACATACCGGCATTTGATATTGACGAACTTTTCCAAACCAATATCCGCACCAAAACCAGCTTCTGTCAAAACATATCCATCTTTGCCTACCAATTTCAACGCCAACATATCTGCAATAACCGAAGAATTTCCATGAGCTATGTTTGCAAATGGACCTAAACAGCCATTATCTTCGTCATTATCTCAAATTAGAACAAACTAATTACCTGCATGAACAAAAACTGGAGTCCCTTCCAAGGTCTGCATCAGATTTGGCATAATTGCATCCTTCATCAGCACAGTGAGAGCACCACCGATGCCCAAGTCATCTGCTGTAATAGGATCTCCATTTCTTGATGTGCCAATTACCATTTTACCAAGTCTTTCACGCATGTCTTTTAGGCTTGTACTTAGTGCCAATACTGCCATGATTTCTGAAGCTACCGTTATATCGAATCCAGTAACACGTTCATGACCCTGTTGACAAAATTAAGCAATATGATCTGGGTTGATATAGTAATATACCCTTTCTGTGTCACTCTGGCCAATAGTAATCTTACGTAGAAATCGGTCATTGACGTCAACAACGCGTCTAAAAGTAATAGTTTCGGGATCAATGTCCAAACGCACAAACTTTGCTCTCTCCTCAGCAGTCAGTTCGTTGGGATCTCTTTTATGGATACCCAGTTTCTCCAGTCTCTGTAGCATGACAGGTGCGAATCGACGAGAACCGTCCTAGAATAGCTGAGTATAAACCAATCAGGTAGTTTGATTTCCAAACCTTATTGGGGGGACAAAGTCTGCGAAATAGTGCTTCATCGGACTGGGTAGCTTCATGAAACATACGAGTGTCTATTGCTGCAGCGAGTAGATTGTTGGCAGCACCGATGGCATGAATATCACCGGTCAGGTGTAAATTGAACTCTTCCATAGGAATGACCTTGAAGAAATTGTCGCATAACACTTTCATATTTATAAAAGTTGCACACACCTGTGAATATCCACCACCTGCTGCACCTCCTTTTATACCAAAAGTGGGACCTTGGGAGGGTTGTCTCACACAAGTAAAGACTTTTCTTCCCAGGTGTGCTCCAAGTGACTGACTTAAGCCTACAGTTGTTGTGCTCTTTCCTTCTCCTAAGGGCGTTGGAGTGATGCCTATAAAAATATCTCTCAGCGTCCCAAAAACACAATAACCATAAATACTTTACCTCCAACCACAATATAGTTTCCATCATCTCGATCTTTTAACCTCTCCAAAACGGAGAGATGCACTTTGGCTTTAGAGGGACCTGTGAATGTATTATTCAGGCGAGAGGCAACAAGGACATCGTTCACTCACCATACAAGTCAATTTCGTTATCCTTGAGACCTATTGCGTCACCAATCTCTTTGATGGATAACGGTTCTACCGACTGTGCAATATCAATATCTGACGGTACAGGTTTTCGAAGCTTGTCCAACTTTCTAACAGTTTTCCAACAGCTATTCATCTGTATAGAACAACGACGTTATTCTAATTCAAAAGGTAGAAAATATTTTCAATTTCTGCCACCAGTGGGAAATTCAAAGGGGGAGCTTCAAACTAACCACCGAATGGGTGATAAAGGTTAATGGCCTTCCTCCAGTCTTGCTCATTTGGCCATCCATATCGTTCGCAAGTAACTTTGTTGTTTAGGCATAAAGGTATCAGGCATTGCAGAAGCAATCTTTTTGGCCTTTTCTTAAGAATGACAACAAACTCACCTGCAAACCTTCTCGTTACGGGAGCCTCGGGAAGGACAGGTTCTCTAGCTCTAAAGAAGGCAGCTACCCTCCCACAACTATTTAGCCCCAGAGGACTGGCCAGATCCAAAGAAAAGACAAGTAAGTTATTCGACAACAACTATACTTTCTTTTTCGGTTCTATTCTCGACGAGAAAATCCTGAGAGAGGCACTTGATAACTGTAAGAAGTTGTTGATTTTAACCAGTGCAGTTCCTATTATGCGCCTTAATCCCGATGGAACTCCCAAACAACCTCCTGAATTTTTTTTCAAACAAGGAGAGGAACCTGAGCAGGTATTTTCTTCGGAAAGTATTTTATGTGTCTCTTTGATGCTAAGTAATAGTTTAGATAAAATGGCATAGGAAAGAAAAAACAAATAGAAATAACAAAACATTGTGAAGAAGAAAACATTAAAATAATAAGCAATAAAACCGTTACTCAAAAGGACCATCCTTTGAATCGCCTTGGAAATATTCTCATGTGGAAGAAAAAGTCCGAAGATTATCTTATGTCTTGTGGTATTCCCTTCACTATTATCCATCCTGGAGGTGAGAGTTTAAAGCTTTTTCTAAACAGTTTTTTGCTAAAGTTTCCAAAGGTCTCGTAGATAAAGCTGAAAGTCGACGTTCTCTAGTGATTGGCCATAATGACAACTTGGTGAATAGCACACACAGAACTATATCTCGTGAAGAAGTTGCCGACATAGCCTTACAATCTTTCCTGCATGAAGATGCAAAATATAAATCTTTTGACGTTGTCTCTGCACCTTGCAAGAAAGACGAACAAGTGGTTCGCGACTGGAAGAATTTTTTTTCAAATACATAAAATCAAAAGCATGACTCTCAGAACGTTATTCGTTTTGCATGTTTGAATTCAACAAAACGTTTTTTGTATGAAACTCAAGCACTGTTTGTTTTGAAAGCATCGACTCTACATTTCCCAGACTCCTTTGCAAGGGCCTTTGACATTTTCAAAAAGAGGTTTTAATAGTCATTCAAAATTTAAAAATTTCGATTGGGACGAAAGAAAGCGCGGGTGGGATGACTCGAGACGGAGAACGATTACTGACTCATAACAAAATACAGTATATGCAAAATGCTTTTTCGCTTTTAGACCGAAACAAAGATGGAAAGATTGACTTGAAAGATTTGGATATCATTTCTAATGTCTTCAAGGATATCAGTAGAGACAAGGTGGAAGAAGCCTTGAGGATTGCGGACTTGGACGAAGACGAAAATTTGGATATTTTCGAATTTCAGGCTCTTATCGCAAAGACTTACGAAACTGAATCTCAAAGAAAACTAGAAGTGGCATCTCTTTGCTCTTTTCTTCAAGGCGCCAAAGATAACGAAATATCCATTGCAACACTGGCTTCCATTATATGTCAAATGGATAGCGAAATGACAAAGGCAAAGGTAAACAATTTTCACTACATTGAAAGGTATACTCAACTTGAGTTGAAGGCAGAAGAAATGTTACAAAGTGTTTTTCCTGGAAAACAAACAGTCAAAATGGAAGAGATATATGAGTTGTTTCCTTAAATGGGTTTATTACAAAAGAACAAATTATTCTCAAGGAAATACTACAGCTATTCTATCTCACTTACTTTCTCCGTTGACGACCTGAGATACTTGTTCATAGGCCCAATGCAACCACTGAGTCAAACTCTCCAAATCTGATGACTCTACAGTAGCACCGCACCATATCCTTAGGCCTGGTGGTGCTTCTCTGTAGGAATCAATATCATATGCTACTTGTTCTTTGGCAAGAAGTGACGAAATCTGCTTCACCTTTTCCTTGTCTAGGTTCAAAACGAGACAGACAGAAGTATTAGAACGTATCGTCTTATTTTCGGCCAAAAAATCGATCCATGAATGCTTTTGCACAAATTCCTCTATAACTGCCAGATTCTTTTCCGACCTAGCTATAAGACCTTGTAAGCCACCCACAGACTCTGCCCATTCAAGTGCATCTAAATAGTCTTCAACGCACAACATAGAAGGCGTGTTGATAACATTTCCTTCAAACAGAGCTTCATCCAACTTGCCATTTTTCGCCATTCGAAAAAGTTTCGGCAACGGCCAAGGAGGGGTATACTGTTCTAGTCTTTCGACTGCCCTTGGGGACAAAATAAGCATTCCATGCGCTGCTTCTCCACCCAATACCTTCTGCCAAGAATACGTCACAACATCCAACTTTTCCCACGGAAGAGACATAGCAAATACAGCAGAAGTTGCGTCACAAATGGTTAGCCCTTCTCTATCGTTACTTATCCAGGAACCATCTGGTACTCGTACTCCGGAAGTTGTTCCGTTCCACGTGAAAACAACGTCGTGACTAGGATCTACTTGAGAGAGATCGGGAAGCTTTCCATATTCTGCAGTAAAGTATCTTACATCTTTCAACTTGAGCTCATTGACAATGTCTGTAAGCCAACCTTTTCCAAACGACTCCCAGTAACAGACGTCTACCGGACGAGGTCCTACCATGCTCCAAAGTGCCATCTCCACTGCGCCGGTATCGGATCCTGGAACGATGGCAACACGATAGGACTGAGGAAGCTGCAGAATTTCTTTTGTCTTTTCGATAGAATTCTTGAGTTTGGCTTTCCCAAGTGCTGAGCGATGCGAACGACCCAGTGCTGCCTTATAAAGACTATTTTCTAAAGAATACCCAGGGTGTTTTGCACAAGGCCCAGAAGAAAAGCAAGGAGACGTTGGTTTTGTGCTTGGTTTATTCATGGTCATTGACTCCAACAATCTATTTTGAACAACTATGAAAGGTTGTTCTGATTGATGCCAAAGCTGAGGGCGAGGAAGAATTATCCAATCAGAAAATGAAACATGGAAATGGAACTCCTCTACTAGAAGAATGCTGCGCTTTTCCACCTCCAACTTTCCTCTACTTTTCTTACCCTTTTTCCACTTCCAGGAAACTTTGTCTTCCTTTTTCTTATCGCTCTTTTACCTTTCTTTAAAGTTCTTTGCTTTGTTTAATTTTTTTCTTCTGGAAGACAGACGAGGCTACCCGATTTCGGCCAATAACTGTTGTTAACATTCAGATTTGTCCTTCGGATAGTTTAGTCTCTTTAAAAACGTCAAGCACATTTGAGCACAAAAGAAACTGTGACATGTATTCAAGTGGCTTATGAATATTATGTTAGACAAGGATGGAAGCTTCGTTTCTACTCCAAAAATGTCGTAAGAGAAATTTTCGCATTGATATCTAATGAGCTTGTAGCAATGTCTTTTTTGAACTGGAATTCTTCCCCACCCTTAGAAGTATTCCCGCTGAAATGATCAGATGTTGATGGCAATGTTTTTTCATTCTTTGACTGTTTCTCAATTACTTGACGTCACTAATCGACCTCTTGAGAGTGACACTCTTTTCATTCCTCCAAAACTTTATTTAGCAACGAAACAATGACTAAACTAACAAGAGTATGCCCGTAAAATTATCAACCACTATTTTCGGAATTTCATAAACAGCTTTTAGGCGATTGACTCCTTTACAACCGAACTCAATTTTGAGTCTTCCATCTTAGAATCATCCTTCCGAACTTTGTCAGAGTCATTGACATCTTCTTTACACATCTCCATAAAGTTCACATTGCAGTCCCATAAGGATGTCTTCCTCAAGTCAGGAACAAGGAGAAGCGCAACAAGCAAGCCAAGAATTGCAAATGCAGCATCAAAATACTGCATTCCTCTTAAACCCTTCGTACCTCCTCCAAATGACTGCTGCATTGAAAGAAACACATGAACACCGATTGCAGCACCTACCTTACCAAAGGCTGAGCAGAATCTATACAGCCTAGCTCTGTAAATTGTCGGAAAAATTTCATTGGGAGTGAGATAAATGGATACTGCAAGGAAGTATTGCAATGCAGCTCGAACAGTATTGAGGAAAACATACACGGAGGCATGATTAAAAAGTAATGGATAGGTGCCTACTGTGATGGCAATAATGGATGCTAATGACAGCCAACCGATCAACTGCACGTTTCTTCTTCCCAAAATATCAATTAGAAATGAGGATGCTAGAGGTCCAAGAACCATCAAAACTACGGTAAGTAGAGTAATCCAAGTAGCTGTAAACAGAGAGGCTCCCTCTTATTTCATGAAGAATAGAAGCGCCAAAGGTACTTATGGAGAAAGTTTCAAAATCTCTTATAAACCAAGAATTTGCACATCCAACAATACATGGCCAATATCCTCTCCAAACGACAATCATATTCTTCCATTGATTTTCGAGAGACAGTGAGAGTCCATTAACGGAGCTACCATAAGATGCTGTTGAAATAATAGCACCTATAACAACAAAGCTAGATGTAATAACAAGGCCTGCTTTCCTACCGTGAATATCAGCAACAATTCCAAAAAACAGCTGACCAATGAGAACTCCAAATAGAGGAGCACCTGTTAAGGAATACTCTAGAAAGGAACTGTACTGATTTCCATATTCAAGTTGAAATATAAGGTTCATTATACCAGTCACTTCATACTGATATCCATTAGAAAGAAAGCCAAGTGCAGTTCCAAGTCGATTGGCACTTATAGCAGTAGTCGTCAGTTCCATTTTGTTCTTGTCTGGCATAATAGATGATGCATTGTTCGACCCTACATTTTTGTTCTCCTCATCTTTGATATCTTCCATTATTTGGCTTGCATCTAGTTGCATATACAGGCTCTCGTCCAAAGTGCATTTCTCTTTGGCGGAATTCATGATATATGGAATTCACTACTACTTCAAAAATCTAGAATTTGCAGATGGAAGGAAAGTCTTCCACAGATATAAATGTCGCTTCAGAACTTGAAGACATAGATAACAGACGATTTCCGTTAGCAGAAGTCTCACTGACTCTTGTCTATAAAGGCGACATTTTGATAGCTACAGCAATTGTCGTCTCTTGGTTTGTCCCATGATCATGATTTTCCTTTCAACGGATTGAAAAGTAAATTGATTCTCTAGTAATAGTGCTCTTATTGTCTGTGATATTCAAGAAGGATTTCGTAGCTCGATATTATCATTCCCTGAACTTTTACAAGCAGCCGGCTTTCTTAGAAAAAGCGCAAAGTTACTCGGAGTTCCTACTTTGTTTTCTGAGCAATGGCCTGAAGAGTACGGCCACACAGGTGAAAATAACAATTCTTTCCTTGAATAAGTCGAAAAATTCGATGCTAGTTGTAGCAAAGTTTTCTCAAAAAGGACATTTAGCTTGCTTGAAAATCAAAAAGGAAAAGAGCTGCTTTTTTCAACTAAGCGCGAGAATATAATTTTGGATGGCGTTCAAGCACATATTTGCGTACAACAGTCAGTTTTAGATATCCTAAAAGAAGGCTTTCCAGTATTTCTTGCAGTCGACACAGTCGGAGCGAGAAGAGATGTTGAATATGAAACTGCCATTCATTGCATAGAACGGGCGGGTGCCGTTCTCACCACAAGCGGTTGGTTGTGGTTTTTACATTCTGATGCTTGAGAATTCAAACCATGAAGAGAAACAATAGTGTTCCAGTGGTTACGAGATATCGATCATCCTTGTTTTTCAAAAGTACAAAGTCATTTAAAAAGACCATCGGAAAAAAAGGAATACGGATAGCTTAACAATTTAGCATTGATAAAACCAAGCAAGTCATTTAATAGATGCGAAGTTATTCGGATGGATAATATACAGTTTGTTCCAAGAAGCACTTGTTTAATTTGCAAAAATTTCAAAACGTAGGCAACAAAGGTTTCAATGTTTTTGGTTTAAGAGCAAGAACACTTGTGCACAACTCTCCATCCAAATCCTCCATTCCATTCTACTTTATTTCAATCTCTATTGCTTCTTCATCTTCTTCTAATGGAACACCATCTAAATCCTCCTCCTCGATCCAATCCTTCTCGTCTCTTGCAACCGTTACAGAAGTCTTCATTTCTTCTTCCTGCTTACTAGTGACAGAAACTGGAGACTGTCCTTGAATACTTGTAGAAGCTTCTCCTTGAATTGATTCAGACTTGAGATAAGAACGACGATAACACGAACGCAAATGCTCTATGAACTCTTCCGGGTATAAGGACCATGTGCTCCAAGCCTCTAGAACTGCCTCGATTTGTGCACGAACCGAACTAGATGCTATGAAACCTTGAATCTTTTCGTAGCTTTTTCCAATAGAATCAAATATTTGCGGAAGTACCATTTGAAAACGTGAACGAAATGCAGAAGCATTGTGTACTGGAGCCACACTATTATGGAGAATATCAGATATTAGATACAAACGAGCAGTCTTAATAGCAATGGGGGTTTCGTCCAACATCAAAGACTCCGCAATAATGGATGCGATATCCCCAGCTGCAAAGGCTCGTTCCACACAAAATACCATAGCTTCTGCAATACAACTTCTTTCAGGTGAAATATTCTGTAACAACTTCATCAACTGATCCACATCTCCCTGTTTTAAACTAGCATCTTTTCGGCTAACTTTGCTAATAATGTCTTCTCCTTCCTGTTCTCTAAAATTTTCTGTCAAAACTTCCAACTCATTCTTCTTCATGCCAGGGTTGTTATAGGGCTTGGAACAAGTCGGTGGCCTCCATGAAGGTCCATTTTCATACATCACAAAAGGTATCGTTCGCCATCTCGATTCCATATCTCCTTGACACAAAGAATAAACTTTCCAACGATAGTATATGCTTTCTTCAGAAAGACTTTCGTTGACATCAAATAGAAAACGAAATCGAGACCGACCCTGGCTACTTAATTTTTTCTCTCTTTCTATTACCAGACTCTCAAAGGCATAGCCTTCCTTGGAAACGTGCAAGGCTAAAAGATCAATCTCTCTTCTACGTTGCAGGTCAAAAGGAGGGACGACATCAATAACTACGTTGTTCTCTTTGGCGTGCTCTCCAGCAGTATCCAAAGCAGTCGTTTTCAGAGAAGAACCACCATAAACAAACCCACTTGGAGGAGACAGCGGCTTCAGAGGTCTCTTTACAGGCTTCCCCCAAGCCAAGCGGACAAGAAACCCATCCAATAAAGTTCCTTGTAACGCTTCCAGTGCTGCTTCTGCATCGTCTCTTTCCATAAAGGATACAAAACCAGAATTATATCCTCGTAAGTGTTCTTCTGGAGTTCTAGGGTACATGATTTTAATACTCCCAACTGGACCAAAGCGACCAAAAGTTCTCAACAACGTTTCCTCCGTCGTAGAAGGGTTCTGTTGAAAAAAGTTAGTCGTTGCGACCAACAAATCTCCCAAAAAAGCTACTATGAATAAAAGTCACCTTACCAAGTTTCCAAGAAAAATATTGGTTGTCAACGGGTCTCCCGAATCATGAGAACCGACAGGATTCAGAAAAGTTTTTGGAGCTGATTGTGGAACAGACTGCGGAGTTGCTGTCTTTCCTTTTTTGATTTCCTCCAAAAATGTATCGATATTTCGCTTCTTCTTTACCGACTTCCTGGTATTTACGAAGACTCAAAGGTGAGAAGAATATTTTGGAAAAACATACAAAAACGCTGCCTGTACTTGTTTTCCAGTAGTCCCATGGGGCTCAATAGAGTCCCTTCACTTGCTTTCTTGGGTCCGCTGTTTAGGTCTTGGTTCCAGGTCGACTGTGTTTCTTGTAAAGTCTCCTGTTCTGGTTCATCCTCAGCCGCAAACGCGCGAACAAACTCTTGATATAACTCTGCAGCTTCGGCCTTTTCTCTTTGGTTCTTTTCTTCTACTTTTTTCAAGTGCCGTTCAAATGGCGTAAGTCTTTCTTGAGACATTCACCAATTAAGAAATGACAATTTTTTCATTCATTCCAAACAAAACATGTTTTAAGAAATTTTATTCAAAACTGCAAAGCACTGAAAATTATTCGCCTTTCAAGAGAGCGAAATTTCCCTATTATCTTGCATACGTACAAAATGTGTGTTTCTATGCTCTCCAGCTATGAAGCTCAAGTAACCAAATATTTGTCTTCTTTAGACTCTACAGGAACCAATTCCACAACTTCAAGCGTATCACCTTGCTGGAAATCCTCAAAACCAGATATAATAACACCACACTCCTTTCCTGAAGAAACTGAGGGAACATCCTCTTTGAAGAACTTGAGAGAATCCACTTTGCCTTCCCCAACAATATGGCCTGAACGATAAATTCGAACCTTGTGATCTCTAGCTACTAAACCATAGGAGACTACACAACCTGCAACTCTTGCTTCTTTTCCATGCTTTCTGTCCAAATGGAATATTTGCTTAATTTGTGCAGTACCTATAGGCTTTTCTACAGTGGATGACTCCAACTTGCCCTCTTGTAAGGATTGTATATCGTCTAATAATTCGTATATGATGTTATAGTGACGAATCAACACTCCCTTATGTTTAGCATGTTGTATTACAGCTGTGGGAACTTTACAGTTGAAGGCTAATATTGATGCTCGCGAAGATGCAGCCAAAAATATATCCGAGTCTGAAACTGCACCAACTCCTGAGTGTATCACTTCAACGTCCATTTCTTCGCCTTTCATCTTATTAATGCATTCAAGTACCTACAAAAGTGAGACAAATATAAAACATCACTCGAGATCACAGATTGGTCTTACAGCATCAACTGAACCACGAACATCTGCTTTGACTATAAAGCTCAAGCGTTTCTTCAACTTAGAAGAATGGCTGCTGTTCGTCACAAATGAATCTTCTCCTTCTCGCGACTTTAACTTTTCTGATGCTCGCTGAAGGCTTACTTGTAAGGCTGTTTGTTGGAGTTTCTTAAAGTAGATATCAGCATCAAACTTTTCTGAGAACATCTTGGCATCTTCTTCATCTTTCATAACAAACACAAAACTCCCCGGGTCCACCAATTCTTTCATTCCTACCAATGTAAAAGGAGTAGATGGACCTGCTAAAGAGATTGAATTCCCCCGATCATCTAACATTCGACGTGTACGACCCCATGTTCGACCACTTGCAACATAATCGTGCACACGAAAAGAACCCCAGCGTACCTAAATTGTCGTTTTTAGATTGGATATACGAATATAGACAACGTACAATACAATTCGCAACACTTCCCAATCCCTTGGATACTTTAGACTCTATACAAATTGCTTCTCCAGGATCGTCCTTGTTTGCTCGAAGGTCGGATAGTTCTGCTTGCAACAAAATTGCGTCAATCAAATTCTCGAGACCTTGTCGTTTCACAGCTGAAACAAGTACACATTGTACATCGCCTCCTATTTGCTCCACTTGGAGTTCTGCATAGGAAAATAAATCATTCATAACCTTCTCTGGCGAGCAACCTGAAATATCCACTTTGTTTATTGCCACGATTATCGGAACTTGAGCATTTCTTGCATGATTCACAGCTTCTAATGTCTGAGGCATTACTCCATCATCTGCAGCAACCACTAATACAACTATATCCGTAACTTGAGTACCGCAAGCTCTCATAGCTGCAAATGCCTCATGACCGGGAGTATCTAGAAAAGTAACCATCGCATCATTCGAGAGAGATACCGAAAAAGCTCCAATATTCTGAGTTATGCCACCTCTCTCTGAAGCCGCCACACTGGTATTCCTCAACGCGTCTAATAATGTAGTCTTCCCGTGATCAACGTGTCCCATAATGGTGACTACCGGAGGTCGAAGAGGAAAGGAAGCCCAGACTTTCGGGTCATATTTTTGAAGGAAACGCGGGGTTTTCCAGCCTGTTTTACCAGGTTCAGCTGAAGCCTGCTTTATTACTGATACTTTCGCTCCCCAATCGGACAACACAAGTTCTACAGCGTCAATGGATACTACAGAATCAGCTACAGTCGGTTCTCCAGTAAATTTACGAAGAGCAACAGCAAGTGCTTTTGCAGATACTTTTAACTGCGAAGCCACATCTTTTACCGTTATAGTATCACCACTCAGTATCTCCACTTTAGCACCTTTCAAGTTGCGTTCAAGTTTCTTTAAATTTTCTATTACTTGAGGGCTCTTTTCAGGTTCTTGCTTTAACTGGCTTTTCCTATTCGCTTTTGTCACGAGCTTTCGCGAAGGATTTAAAGTGAACTTGAAAGGGCGCCATATATTCTGATTGTTCCTGTTGGAGGAAACGCCGAGTCGGAGTTGTTTTTCAAGTGAGACTGCTTCAAGAAAATTTTGAGTTTTCTGAAAGAAACGATAAGTGTATACTGCCTTATTGCTATTTAGTTGAATATTTTCTGCGCTTATTCGTTTCCACAGCAAGTTGAGTGACTGTGCCATCATCTCTATCTATCCATTACACAACTCTCCGACATTCTTACGGTTGGCCTTGCATTCTCTATCCAACAACACTCCTATTGAAAACTCAATGACAATTTTTTCAACTTATAAGAACATTGTCGATACACTGTTTTCTTGGAAACTTACTTATTTCAGACAAAAAAATTCCAGAAAGAACTCTTGTTGATCTCTCAATTTATTAACAAGTTCTTCCGATATCAAAACAAGTCACTTAGTTTGCATATCATTTTCTGATGTATGGTTTGCCAATGAAACCCAATCATTCTAATAATTTTAGATTGATTGGTGTTGCCATAAATGAAAATGGTATTTCAAGAATCACGGTTGATTCAAAAAGCCCTTTCTAAAAACCTTCTTCTCAAAAAAACAAAGCGATTCCCCACACACAGACACACACACACATATATATATTATATTATATATTATATATTTACAATCAAAGTATCACACCTTGCTTGCTGCAGCCAAACAAAGACAATAAAAAGATCGCCGCAAGGACTCGTACTAGAACTTCTATTCTATCTCGCCTTTATAAAAACGATGAGAAGCAGTTCCATGTTCCGCTAACAGATGCATTTCTTCAGTTCGTATTTGAACTTCTACTGGAAAGCCACTTGGATGTTGTACAGTAGTATGAATGGAACGATAGCCATTCGGTTTGGGTGCAATAACATAGTCCTTATATCTACCCTCAACTTCCTTCCACAGCGAACTAACTATTTCATAAACACGTGTACAAACTGCCAACTCTGTATCGTCTCCATGTTCTACTCGGACTCCTGGTCGCAAACGAATAACGACTCTCATTGCGATAAAGTCAAGTATCTGCTCTTTTGTCTTGTTCTGTTTCAGCATTTTCATAAAAGTGGATACCATATTCTTCGTACGTCCAGTAATTGTAAACTGCTCTGCAAGACGAACCAGAAAAGGATCTCTCATGAGACAAGTAAGAAGTTCACGTTGTGCACAAGAAAGAACACGTTGTCCATTGTCTCGAATACGCAAATGCCACTTCTCTAACTTCAAATAGGACTGAGGAAACAATATTCTCAGACTTCGATCGCCCATTTCATACATGTGTCTAGAAAATAGGGTTTCAATGTAATCGAATGCCATCCAAAACGATATTCCTACCTTCCGAATCCTGCAGCACTTGCAAGGGGAACAAAAACCTGTAAAGTCTCCAAAGCCGTCGACTGCTGTATATAAAGAGGCCATTTGTAAATCTGTCGAAGTGACCAGAGACGTTCTACTAAACGCAGCAAAACTGCTCGAGAATCGGTGATGGACGCCCAGAGATGAGTTTTAACCCAAGTCGAGTTACCCTCAGGCATATCAAGCATAAGATGAGCCATATTTCCCATAAATATATACTCCCGCAAAATATTCAAAACTGAATAGTCAAACAATAAACAAAGCCTCGCCAAAGTGGGGTATTTCACCTTCCCTTCTAAAACGGAAAGGATACTAGCTATAAGACAGTACTTGTCGACATTGAACGAAGCAAGCATCTCAATCATATCTAAAGCTTTTGTCATCAAAGACGAAGAATTGTTCCCTACCAAGTTATGAATCCACTCAGCACTCAATCTCAGTGCCAACTCGACTTTGTACAAATCTTCCAAAGGTAAATAGGATAACAACGGTTCTATATACTTCCACTGCTTCGAAGAGTCTCTCTTTTCGTCCTTGTTCAAAGTGTAAGGCAATGCAGGGGTCAAGTCTTCTCCATCTAGAACTTCCCCGGTACGGAAAGAATATATAGTACTATTTGAAGGACTTGGAGTCGACGGAAATACGACAAGTGCTTCTTGATTGCACAATGTACTTGTCAAAAAATTATCTTCGTTGTACACAGATTGAAAGAAAGTTTTTCCTTCTTTCTGTGTCTGTTTCTCACCACAAGAAGCTCTGCTAAGACCTTTCGAAAAGTTGGACGAGGCTTTTTCTAACGTATTTCCTGTCATATCAAACGAACAGTGACCCTCTTGTGCTTTGTAGATCTGCTGCACGAGTTGGGCACTGAAATAGGCCACTAACTTTTCAAAGTGGTATTCAACTGCACGGCTTCTTCTGCCTGCTTTGGGAAAGGCGTCTTTTAAAGACTCGGCGTTGACAACGACCTTGCCGCCGATGGCACTCCTGGAAGTTTCAGAAAAACGAACAACACGACTAGACCTGAAAAACCACGGTTCTCTTCTAGGTTTGAACCGACGACTGCTCTTGAAGAATTGTGGTGAAAAACAAGTATTACAAGGCCCAGGAAGAAACAAGACACTTGGGGAAGAAAACTCCATAACCAAACGGCAAAAACTCTCAAGTCCCAAATACTCCAAATAGATTCTTGAGGAAATTGAAGGCCAATATTTTCTGAATCTTCAACATTCGTTTATTTGAAGAATGGCGAATAATCAACCATATTGTATGTTTATCATACTAGCAAGCTCTAACACTTTTAAGCATTTGGATACAGACTAATAAAAGAAAAGCAATAAATGGTCTCATTACATGCAACTATAAAAAATAAGGAACAGCAGCTCGAGCTGGAACAACATGGTGATCCTCTGCAACTTCCCTAAAAATCTTAAACTCTCGTTCCAAATTCTCATCAAAAGCTAATATTGCAGCGACATTTCCGCAGCGATAACAATAATTAGGAGCAGACCAAACTGTGACCAGTGAACGCTCAGGAAACATGTATTTGTAGCCTTCCTGCACTAACTGATGCGCCCGACATATAAGAGATAGCTTATTGATGTGATTGAACTCTGAAGTGACTTTGGAGCCAAACAACCAACCCGCCCCTCTAGGGCTCACTGCCCATGTTTCGATATCCTACAAATAATTAGTGTTTTATTCTGGAGCATAAATCATAGTTTCAAAGTACCTCTGGGTCACTCCACATCAAGTCACAAAACGCCCCTTCGTGAGGTATTTCTTGTCTTCTATCCACCGTGCGAATTTGGTCCAAAGTTCTTATATCAGGACTGAGTCCACCGTGCACACAAAGAATTTCTCCATCTATGAGTGCAGCAATAGTTAGATAGTCGAATACTTCGCAACAATATTTCCATGCATTGGCGTTTCCATACTTCCGTTGACATTCGTCGTAGAAACCATACACTTGGGTAATTTGTCTACTTTCATGGTTCCCTCGAAGTAAGGTAACTCTTGAAGGATACCTTGCCTTTAAGCAAAGTAATAACGTGAATGTTTCAAGACTATTGTAACCACGGTCGACAAAGTCTCCCATAAAAATGTAGTTGGTTTCAGGGACTTCACCTCCTGTTCGAAAAAGCTCCAACAGGTCGTGAAACTGTCCGTGAATATCGCCACATACAGTAACTGGAGAAGAAACAGGCTAAAGGGTGGGTAGTTAGTAGTGTTTCAACGTGAACCACGGACGATTCTGATACCTGCACGTTTGACTCCTCTATAAGAATTTCCTTCACATAGTCACACAGTCGCTTCAAGTCGGGTTCCGGAAGATACTGAGCGCTTTTAACTTTCTCTATCCAATTATCCAAGTCCATACCCATCTGGTTTATGCAACCAAAATAAACGACGCAAAACGCACGTTTCCCAAAACAAAATTATGGACACGCTATCTTAACAGATTTCTCATCTTTATTGGTGAAACACTGTTACGATAGCACTTCATCTTGGTTTTCAGCTCATTTAAAAAGAATGTAACTAATTCTTTTGAAGTTGATAGATTGAGTAACTTCATTTTAGTTTTAATGATTTTCTGCTGTGAAGAGAGGACTATTTCTATGTCTTGGGGTACGTAGTCCTCTTATACAATCTGTCTACTATCATAGTAAACTTTATTGATTGTGTTTACTTTTATCTTTGCAGTATCTTCTTGTCGTATCCTGCATAGCAATCCATCAGGGATTTCTACAATTCTACATATGCTATAACTAAGAGTATCTGCGGACAGTGGAAAGGAGTGGAAATGGATTCAACAACATGGTTCACCTGTGGAAAAGTACATTTGTTATATTGCCTTTATGTTGTGCAGGATAGACAAGTCACGAGTATCGTATAAAAGTAAATATTGATGTATGAGTTGCATCATTTTATAAGTTTTGCTCTTTCAGCTGTGTGATTTCTTCTCCTCCTGTTGTAAACTGAGACGCAATCGTTTGTTCGACTTCAATTTGTTTTCACCTTTAAGTTATTAAGATTGATTTTCTAAGCTTCATGAAGTTGTCTGTATTTTTTATATTATTGTTCTATGAATAAGTTTCTATATGATATAAAATACTCAAGGATAGATGGGCTCACATCATCATCAACAATAATAACCTTCTTAGAATAGTTTTTGAAATTTTATTGGAAAATCAATCGAATGATGGAAGCGACACTTAGGAAGGAAACTTGTCAAGCAGTTGCTCAATATATTCTAGGAGTCGAAAGTGTTTCTGAGGACGTTTCTATTGCTATAATAGAGGACACTGAGTATAGATTGAGACAACTTCTTCAAGAGTCCGTAAAGTTTATGAGGAATTCCAAACGTACAAAGCTCTTACCAAAAGATATCAACTCTGCTCTTCGTCTTGAGAATATGGAGCCTATATTTGGATATTCAGCTCCTCGAAGAAAACAGTTTCGTGTAGTAAAAAGCTGTCCTGGTTTGTATGTGTTAGATGATGACTTGGTAGGTTTATTCAAAGCTTTGCTGATGCACACCCATATTCTTTTATTTAGGTGGATTTGAAACGAGCTTTAGACGAACCCCTTCCAAAAGCTCCATTTGAGCCAGCTTTAGAAGCACATTGGTTGGCAGTGGAGGGTGTCCAACCAGCCATTTGGCAGAATCCTCTAAGAGATCAGTTGAAAGACGCTAAAACCACAAGGTATCCCGTGTATGGTTTGTTGAGTGTGTTGTCTCTCTAATCTCTGTTTAGTGAATCGGTTCCTGTTGAAGCATTGAAGCCTTTAAAACACGCATTGTCCAAAGAGTTTCAGTTGCTGTATGATCACGTTATTTCCATTTTACGAGACGAAGATGGTGAGAAGAAGAAAGCTTGTTTAAGAGAACTTGCGAGACAACCTGGGATACAGCAATTAGTTCCCTATTTCACACTGTATATTCATGAAGAAGTGCGCCTCTATCACAACTTCACCGAACGTCTCTTTTCTGTTATGCAACTAACGAGAGCCTTGATAACGAATCCGAACATTCACATTGAACCATATTTGCACCAGGTTATGCCGTCCGTTCTTACCTGTATTTTAGGTAAAAAGCTTTGTTCTAGTTGGATGGATCCTCATTGGCACCTTCGTGATTATTCTTCGAGTGTTTTGGGTTTTATTTACAAACACTTTGGTCCAAACTATGCAACATTGCAGACAAGAGTGACGAAAACCCTCATAAGTGCTTTGTTGGATGAGAAACGTCCATTAAGTACTCGTTATGGCGCTATTGTAGGACTTGTGAGTTTGGGTGTTTGCGAAGTGCAAATTTGTTTGATGCCTCACTTACCATATTTGTCACAACAAACGGAAGCAGAACTGCATCGTTCTGATTTGGAAGACGAACGTAAACTTTCGCTGGCAAAGATTTATGGAGCTCTCATATTAGCTGCTCATGTTTGTCTTAAGCAGAATGAAATGAAAGGTATCGATAGCGAAGTTAGTCGGAATGAAGACAGCGATGATTATCAAGAAACTAATATCTACACTATTCATATAGAAACTTGTCGAAGTTTTGATACGGAAGAGAAGAATAGAATATTATCTTTTGTACCCAAGTTTGATTCTCTTGTAGAAGTTTTATATGAACAGTTTGGTGATTCTATGTTTCCCACGGTCTCGAACTATTTCTAAGATGAATATATATTTGGTATATGTGAGACGCAAAATAATATTTTCCTAAAGGTTTTTTATGTTTTTACAACGCTTGCAAGTATTAGATATGATTGAAATGTTGGAAAAGGCAAACATTCCTATTATGTGACATAAATGTAAATTTTGAATTCTTTTTTTGCTATGGAAACAGCGCGTTGGAAGTCTTTTTATAAAAGACTACCAAAAGTACAACAAACTTTATCCTTTTTTCAACGTCCGGCTACAATTGCCTTTAGTGGAGGATTTACCTTTGCTTTTTTCTATGCAGTTGTCGTTCGCAACGAGTGGCAGACCCATATGAACCAGTTAAAAACTCAGTTGAATAGAAGCAAGCAAAAGGTCCTTAGCTCTTTTCTATTTCTTTTGATATATTGCTTAACCTTTTTGAAGTGGCAAAATGAACGTCTGTCGCTGGATGCAAAAGTTTCTCGGCTAGAATTGAGGTTGAATCGTACCGAGTTGGAATTGACCTGCATTCTGGAAAGTGCTCCAAAGAACGGCAGTAACTGGTCAAAATCAGTCATTGAATCGAAATATGATGAGTGTATGGCGAATAAGAAGTAAAAAAAGATCACTCGACATTCTGTTGTGCAGGAAATCTGTCTCCCCCTTTTTTGTGTGAAGACTTGAACAAAGAGAGGTAGAGAATAATATGTGTATATGTATCTATATTGGACTTGAATAGTATTCAATCCCTGAGAATATTTCGTCTCGATGAAACTATTTATTAGCTTTTATTTTTCTGACAATGTATGTATATGAAAATAAACAGAAATGATTCTTTCAATATCCGATTTTCTATTAGAAAAGAGTTTCTCTATTCCCGATGTGGAGAAACGCCATAGGGAGGAGACTACACACAACTCGTGGTTTGTTTTCTCAAAAATGCCCTTTGGAAAGGTACTTTTGCACAACTAGAGAATACGACATTGCTATTATTGGTGCTGGTATTGTTGGCATGGCTACGGCAAGAGAATTGGCACAGCGCTATCCAGATAGGAAGATTGTGGTCCTTGAAAAAGAAGCTCAAGTGGCCCAACATCAAAGCAAACATAACAGTGGTGTAATTCATGCTGGAATATTTTATAAACCGGGAAGTAACAAGGCCCGATTATGTGTTCAAGGTGCTTCTTTGATGTACGAATATTGCAAAGAACATAAAATACCTCACGAAAAGGTAGGAAAGTTGATAATTGCCACAAATAATAAGGAATCCGAACAACTTGACAACCTTTTTCAACGAGGCGTTCAAAATGGTGTTAAAGATCTCGAATTGATTGATGAAGAAAGAATTCGTCAGTTGGAGCCTTATGTGCGAGGAAAAAGAGCACTTTATTCTCCACATACTGGAATTTGCCATTTTGAGCTGGTTACTAGAAGCTTCGAAAACGATTTTCTGCAATCTAGTCGACAACATATGATAAAAGGATTTCTCGTGACAAGTTTTCATATTCACAGTTCGGAAGCCATTGAAATTCGAGGAATAGGTCATAAGGACTCGAATGCTTCTTCCATATTTGCCAATTATGTCATATGTTGCGCCGGTCTATCCGCAGATACTCTTGCAACACTGGCAGGTGGACAGAAATATCCTGTAATCATACCTTTTCGAGGACGTTATCGATTACTAAAGGAAGCAGCAAAGCATCTTGTGAAGCGAAATATCTATCCAGTGCCTGACCCTAAATATCCTTTTCTAGGAATACACTTTACTCCAACCGTACAGGGACAAATAACAATTGGTCCGAGTGCAGCACTTTCTCTAACTAAGAATCCCAGTACTTTCAAGAACTTGAGAGCAATTATGGGAGAGAAGGCTTTATGGAATTTTCTCAGAAAGAATCTCACTAGTTCACTGACTGAGGGATATTTTGACGTTTTCCAAAAAGCTTTTGTGAAAAGAGCTCAAAGTCTAGTTCCCAGTTTAAACTGGAATCATACCACTGTTGGTTGGCAAGGCGTTAGAGCCCAAGCCATGGCGGCAGATGGTTCTCTCGTAGAAGATTTTGTGTTTGAAAGTCTCGGTCCAAAGGGAAGATTGCTGCACGTTAGAAACGCTCCTTCACCAGCAGCAACCTCTTCACTAGCTATAGCAAAGAGTATTTGTGATCGTGCAGCAACGGAGTTTTTTTGGCATTCCTAATATTTAAGAAAAATGTGATTAGAACGTAATAATTGCAAATTGTTTTATAGCGATGCCGTTGCTCAACTATCCCAATTTCTCCTCCTTGTCAAACTTGTTCACCTTGACTATTGCAACTACAGGAAGTATTGCGCTAGGCATATTTGCCTATTCGTATATGACAAAAGATAATAAAAAGGAATCAGGAACCTCACAAGCTACAGCTAAATGAATTACAAGGCAAGTTGAAGAGGAAACGTGGTTGTAAGGAATTGTTGAGTCTTGTGCTTTCTAGTAGCTTGCGATTCTGTACCAAAGCCCATTTACCTTATTTGGAGTAATTCTGTAGTAGTTTCGTTTGGATGCTCAACTGTTTAGCGCAATAAAGTGGTCTTACTTTTTGAGCTGCCGTCGAGAATTGTTTAGCTCTTTAAAAACAAGCTTGCTTCTCCAAGGCAGAATGAATACTGTCGAATATTAGGGACGCAGGTTCTTGCAAAAACTGATCTTAATTGTGTCTTCCTTTGGTTTGCTGAAGTCACACAAGACACTCTTTTTATTGTGTTGAACAATATTATCTATTTTTCTAAAAGAATCTGTTCAAAGTAGGGCTTAGACAATAATTTTGTGTTGCTCCGTAGTAGTCTTGTACAAAGTTGCGTTTCATATAGTTATGGACTAGCCATGGCTAGCGTTTTGGTGTCTTCAACTCTTGAATGCTGCCTACGGAAGGCTTGTCAGTTTCTTTAAAGGAAAAGAATATTCTATCAAATATCGACAATTCTCTTACTTAGCAAACAGAACATTTCTAAGAAAACAGCGTATTTTACACTTTGCTTAAAAAACAAACGAAGAGCAGATCATTTGGCCTTTTTTATTCAAAGTACGAGGGGCTTCATAAAGAAAGGAACAGTTAAAAAAGTGATTTGCAACAACCACTAACAGAACTTTCTGATCACCTTTGTAGAGTGTCTACTGGAGTCGATGTTGCTCTTCTCCAAACATATGTAACGCTCAATTTCTTTTTCCAAGTAATGATACACGTTTCCATCTGTCTAGATGTTTAGTCGAATCTGACAGCTTTCACCTGTAGAAAGACGGTCACGATTGTGCAAGGAATTTTACTTTATTCCCCGAATTTCTTAACATTGAAGAACAAACTTGTATTAAGAAGGAACTTTTTTGTATTGTTTTGGAGAGCAGCCCGAGTTGCTTCATCTTTATATGTAAGGATTCGTAGGCTTGTCCAAGGACAGTGAATCTTGAAAATTCCAAACGTTTTTTGTCAAAATACACTGATATATTTTGCTTTGGCAATCAGAGCGATAAACTATTTCTTCTTTCTTTACGTTTTGTCGTAGTCTTGGAGGATAATAGATGAGGCATTTGAAGTTGGCGCTGGTTCGTAGATCCATTGGAGTTTTGTCTTATGCGACTAATATTTCATCACTTGATAAGTTTCTTAGCTAACACAATGACTATTATGCACTATGGAACTCAATGGTGGAACATACTTGAGTATAGGATTCTTTTTAATTTTCCTATCACTATGCCACCTTTTCTAAGTACATCTTCTATATAGCTTATGATGAAATAGACTCAATTTTCCCACTCTAGAACAACGACACCATCGAATATAAAGAATAAGAGTAAATACAATCTCAAATTTGAAACCTGAAAGATTTCTCAGACTTTCTTACCAGATAAAGTCCGTCATTTTCAGTCAATAAACACACCATGAGAACAACAAGTAAAATCGCTCTTCTACATCGATAAAAATAACAAACTTGAAAATGCAAAGACACACCAAATTGCATTTCATTCTGCTACTTTGTGGATGCTTTTGATGGACATAGTAAACATATGATCATTATGACATAATTAATTTTCTTCATTCATAGTGAGCATTTGTAATCCTACATAGATTGCACGGTTTGGGTCGCACAAACAATTTCACTAGAGCCAACTCCTATCTCTTTAGGATATCATATGCATATGATAGAGCCATAATCTTATGGTTCTTTGAACACTGCAAACTAGAGTTGTTTCCATAAAAGCGATTCGTAGTATTTGCAGTTTCTGAAAAGAATTCTTGCTACAACATTTATTAGAACGTGGAAAGTTTCAAGAAAATACAAACGAAATAGACTGGCACTTGGCTTGTGTCAAAGGATATCAAAGTATTGGCAAGTCCAATGCCAAGCTATGGCTTTCATCTGCATTGACATGATGACTCTTTGTTCATGAAAATGTTCAAACAAAGAAAAAATAAACAAAAAATAAGTTCTTGATACTATTTTCCAATGTGAAGAATATAAACATTTGCCAATCTTTCTACTCAGGTCTTGAAGTTAAGTATGGAAGAACACAAAGTAAAATAGACTATTTAGATTGAACCATATCCATCCTTCTACAAGACTTCAATCTGTCGCGTCAAGACCATCCAAACCAACATTTTTCTGTGAGATCACTTAAAGCCTAATTGTACATGATAACTACATTGTTTTCAATAAATACAAGTCTCCTGCATCAAAACCAGAAGAATATCATTTCACTAACTGTCATATTCTTTGGTCCACAAAAGACTTTCATCTTGCAATTCATTGTGAATGGCACAAAAAATGCAACTTGCTTATCGCCACATATTATTTGTACCAGAGCAAACTAGTCGCCAAACTATGTTTCACGGCAACAGCATAACAAGTTTCTTCGACAAGACATTATTGTCTAAACTTGTATTCAATTCTTACAAGACAAAAACCAAAAGACACTCAAGTTCACCGTTTCAAAGGTTTGTGGTCACAAAATGATACAAATAATAAGAGACGTGACTTCACACAGTAGTACTCCTTGTTTGAGTATATTTCAGAAAATTGAGAAATAATCAACTACTTCAAGTTCTTCTTCAAAGTTACGCCAAGTTAGTTTTCATAGACAAGATGATTGAATTGTACAGAAAGTTGTGTCAAAATGCATCCTACATATTACTTTTCTCTATCATTTGTGGTCCAAAAGTTGTCATTCCGTCGCTTTGCGATAAACTCTTGAGAAATATGAAGTATGTGAACTTTTCTGAAAACTTTCGCGTCAAGATGACGAATATACCTCCACCACCACATGAGACTGTTGCTTTAGGAGTTGATCACTTCGCTTATGAACAACTTACAGTCGGAATACTAAGAGATGCGGTGTTGGAGTTTGTCACCATCCAGAAACTGTGGTTACCACTGGAACCACGAATAAACGAGTTTCGTTGGTATGTATTGTAACAAGTCTGACGGATATTTCACATATGTGCACAAGATATCTGATATATTGGCCACAGCAATTCACTGTTCCCTGACTTGTACTTTACGGACCAAACTTAAATATTTGATAGGGCACTAAAAAGTACGCTTCTCGGCAAACCATCCTGGAGAGTTAATCTGAACAGATGGTGTCCGTTTTGGTTCAGTTTCAACACCTATGAGTTATGGGATCCGAACAGCAAAAAACCTCTGCGTGTACTTCATACTGACGAAACTTTATCTGATCTTTTGATCGAGCATACAAAAGCACCAAGAAGAGTCTTTTTCTTTGTGGAGGAGTTGAAAACCCAACTTCAGTGGAAGCCAAAGGTATGCCAATATTCGTTCTTTACTCTGTGGTTTTGCTGAGCACAGTTGAAATCAAAACAGATTTCTTACAAAGATAATATGTTGAAAACAAACTATCGAGATAGGAATACAACAAACTCTGACAAGAAAGCGGACGAAGAAAAAATGCTGATGACGCTGTCCAACTGGGACAGCTGCTCTGATACAAAATGCCAAATGCAATGGAAACAATCACCTATTCAAAGTCTTTCTTTTGTGACTTGCTTTAGTTACCCTGTTCTAGTGCCAATAGTTCTACCAGTTTACACTGTCTTTGGGGTAAATACCGGTGGCTTAGACCCACTAAGATATGGAGCAACTCCCGAAAACAGTCAGTCATAACACAACCAAGTATCTGTGTGCAAGTCTTCCTGAGGATTTACGTTATCTATTCTGTTTGATTACGTGAATGAAAATGTTTCAATACGTGCCCTAACTGTGGGCTCTTTGTTTTTCTATTTCTCTGACTATCAACATCTCTCTTTCAAACAGCACATTTATCCAAACCTGATTCTTTACCTATCTATCTGTCTTGAAATAAGGTTTTAAGAAACCAAGTAATGAATAGTCTGGTCTCTTTCTAAAAAAACTCATTCTAACACTAAACTTATTGTTGTTGCTTCGGTTAGATGTGTTGGAAAAACTTAGGAAATTGTTACCATTTCCACTCAGAATATCCCAGACTCACAAGATTTCCAAAATGATGATGAGAAACGTTGTTGCAATATCACACTGGACTCTAGTTTGTTCGAGACAGCACATGTAATATTATCAAGCAACATGTGCTATAAATACTAAAGGAGTGCTGTGACCAAAGACTTGCCTATTTGCTTTGGAATATGGGACTTTTTTCAGCTTCCGAAGAAAATGGCCTTGTTTCGAAAGCAGCAAATCATTGCAAAGTAGAAGGGTGTTGATCAAGTCAAAAACTCTTTTTTTAAGGATTCAATAACTTTTGGATGCAGCTTTTTTGCTGCTTAACTCGGAGTCTCTGATTTGTTGTTCTGTGTCCAGCTAGTAGATATGATCTCATTTGTATGCTCAAGTGAGAAAAGCAAAAAGAAGCAAAGCGTAACTTTTATTCTAAAGTGTTTTGCCTTGAAGAACATAGAGTCGAGAAACATTTCCTAAGACTTACTATGGTATAGAGAAAGATATTTTTTGTCATTCCAAAGTATTTTGATATTCCCCACCTAGGTTTTGCAGCTGCTTATGAAACTCGCGTCTTATTGCATATATTTATAGTATAAAATAAGAAGAATAGAAGTGATATTTCTGATCATAAAAAAAACTTAGTTCATAAAATAAGATAAAGTTTATACTGGCTCCTCTTTCATTCCTTTCATAGGCTCCTGTCCATCTGCTTGACCTCAATAAAGTCACTCGATGGTTTAAAGTAACTTAAAAAAACCAACCATTTATCAAGTTCTCGTATAGATATACGCAATCCATCGTCAACATCAACGACAATCTACTTGTATGTGTACTTAATTTTCACGTTTACTTATGTTTCGTTGTGCAGGATTCAGGTTTCGTAATATTGAATCAACTCGAGGTAACTTTTGCATTACTTAGATTCCATCAATAACAGGTTTTTGTTATGTATCCGAATCCAAAAAATTGGAAACGAAGCGAACCTTGATACCACCAGTTATAATTAGATGTTTGACTTGACAATCGCAATGCAGGAATCTTACGTGATGGTGCGTTATAAGTGAGTTAATATGATGCGAAATAAAAGACTCTAAGAGAATTGTCTCTAAACACTTTTAAGAAATTTCATACAAATTTAATATCGATGCCAGTTAATCTTAGACACTGTATCGAGAAACCTCACTTCTTGCTCTCAAGATATTCGCAATGAAAACTTGTTTCTGCCACAATTCAGTGACAATTTACTTTCAAAGAATTCATCCAGCCATATAAAGTAAATATAGTCTTCTTTTGCAATCCTTCTAATATAATGCATTTTCATGCCATTGAAATCGAACACTATTCCTCAGGTTGAGAACTGAATTTTCCACAAGTTTGAAAAAGCTTTGTGTTGACAGTCAATCATAGATGACTTTCTAAACATTTTCAAGGGACTCGTCAGCTTGGAGCCCTCAAAAACCCTCAACAATGCAGTAAAGAGCACCACAGTCTGAGAACATAGAGATAAGTTTTCTTCATTTGTACTTTTTTTCGACTAGGTTTTTCTTCATTCAATTTCGATTATCTTTAAAACGTGTAGAAATTTCTGCGATATACATGTTAGCTTTTATTTGCGACTTTGTGCACAATATGTAAAGAGAGTGGATATGAAAAATTGATGACCTTTGGTCGTCTAAAATAGGATGTGTGAATACGGAATTTGTTGAAAGACTGAAATCCAATTTTTGTCAAGTAGACTTCTTTGGCATATATATCGCCTGGTTACTGTTTTCACAAGATATGGTTCCATAATAATACAAGTTATCTTAAGTTATGGCTTAACCAAGGGTGAGAGGTAGCAGTCAACTCTTTCACTTGCTGTAGGAATGGGAGACAGTTTCAAACTGTAATTTTCGCTACTTTAGGTTGAATTATTGCAGAACATTTGTAATATGCAAATTTTAGATGAGTGAGTGTAAGAATTAGGCTTTATATTCCCAAGATCAATTATCTCGGCGAGATAGATCTGAAAACTCGAACTGCAAATATGCGGGTGACAAATAAATAGGGTGTTCAT